TTTATCTTCACTGCCATTTAATATATTCATTATGGCCACAACTGTACTCTTACTTACTAATTTATGTTGCATATATATCTATATGGATTTTGATTCATATAAATATGATATCTATATATCAGGGATATAAACCCTGGTCAGCCTCCAAGAAGGACATACTTTCAAACAACCACTTCACATGTGGTCAAAGAGTATGACAGACAAGAAAACATTCTCAGAAGATGGAACCAGGGGCCATGGACATCAGTGGAACAGAGAAGTCTTTTTAGAGTACGAAATCAGACCTAAGCATGGACTTCAAGGACCAAGAAGTGGGGACCTTCACGATGTCTACACTGAGTCACTGTGGAGGGTATGTGTCTTCCATTCTCGTTTCTGAATGAGAGAGCTGAGTGATCCATAGATTACATGTTGGGTTTGTGTGAGAATAATGGGGGAAGAAAACAAAAAAAAGAAGAATGCTCCTTTGGTCAAGACATCAGTAAAAGATAGGTACTGCCAACAATCTGGAATATTCTCACTTTAACTGCATGAACCTGATGAGCTCTCTGGTTGCTTTAGTGGTATATGAATTAAGTAAGATTCCTTCTAGAAAATGAAGCTGTCTTGACAGGACCATGATACATGTCTTCTGTGAACATGGCAGAATACTACTGGTGACAACCTGTCATCTGGTATTATCACAGTCTCTTAAAGGGTGGGAATCTTTTTTCAGGTTCTGTAAATTGTATTTTTCAACATTTTCACTTGATGGCCAATCGATAGTTTTGAAAATGATCATAAGCTTTGCTGTAGACCCATTTTAACATCAGCCTAATAGCCCACATAGTGTGAACGAGTGCAGTTTATTTAATCATGATCTACTGAAAGCCTACTCTGTGAGGTTTTGTGCTATGACTTGTGGGTGATTAAAATGCATAATCCCCGACAATTATGGTTTAGTCCTTGTACCCAAGAAGAATATAACCCATTATATAACAGAGAGATGAAATCTTTATACAAAGTATTAGAAATGGTCTTAATGTGAGAAGCTAATTAAACAGTAGTGGCACAATATAATAAATAAAGCTTATCATGCAAATTTGAAGCATCCAGATTTCTGAAGGCCGAGAGTTACTGCAAATGATATGTGAGCATCTCATGTGGAATTTTAACTTCCCTTCAGGACATTTTTCTGTCATAGCTGCAAACCACAAATGAAATACTTTGGATTCCCCCTTGCTTTCTTCCTCTTTGTCCTTATGGAGCTGGAGATTATTTAAATGTTGATAAATGAAAAGGAAGAGTAAATATAAGCAGACTGTATGAATCATTAAATTGGAAAGCAGCTTTTGAATCCAAGTTGACTTTTTTTTTTTTTTTAAATAAGTCTCATGCTCTGAGTGGAGCTCGAACTCACAGCCCTGAGATAAGACCTGAGCTGAGCTCAAGAGTCAAGTGTTTGGGGCACCTGGGTAGCTCAGTTGGGTAAGAGTCTGGTTCTTAATCTAAGTTTAGTCCATAATCTCAAGGTCATGAGATCGAGCTCCCACCCAGTGCGGAGCCCAGTGTGGAGCCTAGTGCGGAGCCTGCTTAAGATTCTCCTTCTCCTTCTGTCCCCTCCCCTGCTCCAGTGTTTACTTGCTCTCTCTCTAAAAAAAAAAACAAGAGTTGGATGCTTAACTGACTGAGCCACCCATGCACCCCCAAGTTGACTATTTTAAAGACTATTTCCTTGGAGTCTTATTTTAATAGTTAATGGCTTCAGAAGATTTGCTATGGAAATGATGATCTTAGGCAAAACTATGTTTGCCAAAGGTTGCTTTCTACACATCATGTTGTAAAATATGCAGACTTGGGCACATGCTACTCCAGAAGTAAGAGTTAAAAATCTGCTAAGTTCATGAAAAAATACACAGAAACTTCAAAGTTCTTACAGAAAAAAAAATACATAGAAACAAATTTTTGTATATTTCATTGTATAACAATATAATCATTAATTTCTCATTACCCAAATAGTCACTGATGAAGTTGTATCTAATATGATCTTGCCCATTTGCACAAATTTAAACTAATCTTCCTGGTGAAAACAGCATGTAAATTTTCTTTTCAAACCTGTAAAATTAGAGATATTAACCAACTGAGCCCAGTTTCAACAATGAGCTATATTGATTTATAATTATCTAATAATTATTATTAACTGATAAGTCTTCACGATGTAACATATTAATTTGAAATCTTTTCCACAAAGGCAAACATCATTTTTTACAAATTTCCTTTATATCTTCATAAATCTGTCAACCACCCATAGTTCAATGAAAGAGATATTCATATACTATCTGTATTTGTGACTCTGAAATCAACGGTTTGATAAATGTTGAAAATAAAAAGTGTCATTGTATTATATACCAGATGAGAAAATGATTTTTTATAACTAATAAAATGTATTAAAAGTGCTGGGTTTATTTGGATAAACTTAGATTTGTTTAAAGTTATGGATTGAAATTATGATACATGATCATTTGTTATATAGGTTCACTTAAAAAATAAGTCATGCTGTGTCTTGTTGCTGCCCTCTGTGCCACTCTACCAAAAACAAGGATGTTTAGCCTAACGTTCTAAGCATGTTCAAAGTCTTCACTATGCAATCCAACTATTCCATGAAAACGCACCTGTGACTGGAAACTATTTTATCTAAATTAAGATGAATAGGGGCACCTGGGTGGCTCAGTCAGTTAAGCGTCCGACTTTAGCTCGGGTAACGATCTCACGGTTTGTGGGTTCGAGCCCCATGTCGGCTCTGTGCTGACAGCTAGCTCAGAGCCTGGAGCCTGTTTCAGATTCTGTATCTCCCTCTCTCTCTGACCCTCCCCTGCTCACGGTGTCTCTATCTCTCTCTCAGAAATAAATTTAAAAAAACATTTAAAAATTTTAAAAAACTGTTTTTAAAAAAGAGGAATAGAATTTGTTTCATAGGTGGTTAGACAAAAAATGTTATACCAGCTTAAAACAAGGTTCTTACATAATGTTAATTTCAGAAATGTTCTGTGAAGACCATTGAAAACCTTTATTAGTCTGTTATAAATACTCCTACCTGGGATATGGCCCAGGGCACATAGTTTTTTTCTTAGAGGCAAATTCCCTTACAACATGGCTCTTGTCACTTCCCACACTGCTTTCAATTTTCCATGAGGCAGTGGATGCCAGGGTTTCTTTTGAATGAGACTGAGACACAAGGTAAACATCACTTAACCAATGTCAGAATATCAACGTTTTTTAAATGTGTGAGAATAGTCTATATATAACAGAGGGCTCCGAGACTAGAAGTCAATGGGTTTTTTTTTTATTTTTGAAACTTGATTTCTAAAAGCCAGTTAAAAGTTTATGGATGTTGTCAGCAATTTTCTGATTAATTTAAATGAAGACTGCCCTTTGTTACATTTCAGAAAACGCTTTAGCAGACACTTTGATCTTGCAAAAGGGAAAGCCACAATTCTATTCCTCAGCGCAGGTGCTGGAGACACTGAGGTGTTAACCTGCTCTTATAATGATGTTTCATAACCACCAGAGTCTGCACCCTGGGGATTATTACTATTGACTCAGAGGCAGGTCTGTGACTGCAAGAGAGAAAATTGTTTTCTCTGCTTTTACAAGAGCCTCTGAGATAAGGGGAGGAGGGTTGACCGTAAAGTGCTCAGGGGTATGGAAAGAGCAGGGGAATATGGAGAAAGAAACTGAATGAGAGGCCATATGTGTGTCAAAGACAATGATCTAGGGATTGTAGGAACTATGATATGTTTTACATATATTGTCAGTGATTCCTACCATAGGAATGAACATTGCACCTCATATCCTGTCTCCCATGTATTTCCAGTGTAGTCACTCCAAGCTTTTATACAGTAATATTTATAATAGCTTATTACAAACTCTTTTTATTTCAGTTTTCCTTTATTTTAAAGGACAGGCACTATAATTCTTTTTTATTTATTAGGAAATAATTTGTTAAATCTACCATCTTGCCACCTCTTTTCTGTTTTTACCACATCTTCTTGTATGAAAAAGATCTAGAAACAAAATAAATATTTTTCAAAGAAGAATTAGCTGAATCAATTATGATATATTTGTGCCATGGATATTTCGCAGCAACTAAAAAGAATGAATTACTGGGGCACCTGGGTTGCTCAGTTAGTTGAGCGTCCAAACAGAAGGAAGTGTATGGAAGTTCAGTTTATTTTCTTCAAAACAACACAAGTCTGAAGCATGTTTTAAAAATATTCTAGGGGCACCTGTGTGGATCAGTCGGTTGGGAGTGTGACGTCAGCTCAGGTCGTGATCTCACAGTCTGTGGGTTCAAGCCCCGTATCGGGCTCTGTGCTGACAGCTAAGAGACTGGAGCCTGCTTCAGATTCTGTGTCTCCCACTCTCTCTCTGCTCCTCCCCTGCCTGCACTGTCTCTCTCCATCTCTCAAAAATGAATAATCATTAAAAATTTTTTTAGGGGCGCCTGGGTGGCTTAGTCGGTTGGGCGTCCGACTTTCGCTTGGGTCATGGTCTCGTGGTTTGTGGGTTCGAGCCCCGCGTCGGGCTCTGTGCTGACTGCCAGCTCAGAGCCTGGAGCCTATTTCAGAGTCTGTGTCTCCCTCTCTCTCTGACCCTCCCCTGCTCACGCTGTCTCTCTCTCTCTCTCCTAGAAATAAAAATATTAAAAAAAATCTTTTTTTTTAATATTTTAAAGTTTTTCAAGCTAGAAACAAAATTTCCTATAAGAACAATAGCTGTTTTCTTCATTGTTGAGTTTTCCAGATTCAATCCTGTTAGCCCATTTCTGATCTTGTTTTACTACTTACTGAAAATGCAATGAAGACACACATATTTTACCACATTCTAAATATTTTGAGGCACTTTTTATTGAAATTAGAGAAACTTTAACTCTAATGACTGCTCAAATAATAGTTTTCTGGAAACAACAAGAAATGAAACTTAAAATCCAGAAACTAGTACCAAGAAGGAAAACTTCTATTTTTTCTTGGCCTAATACCTCATCAACATGGAAGGCTCTGGATCAGTAAAAAGAAAATAGTAACTAAAGCGTTTTCCTCTTCAGAAAAAGAAGGTGAGTTTTGGGCATCTTCTGGCTACTTCTTCTTTCCTTTCTTTTTTTTCTGTGTATCAGGAACCGGCATCTTCTTTTCTATCTCGGCCCGACTTGCTGCTTCCTCTGCGGCCAGGGCTTCTAATCTTAGCCTCTCAGCTTCCTGCATCCTGTGTCTATACTCTTCCCGGACATCGAAGATCTTCTGCCGGGCGTCATCTAAGGAGTCCTATTCCAAAGCAAAACCTCAAGATATTAAGGTTTACTGATAAAGGCATATGGTCCCAGAAAGAAAGTTTTTTTTAAAGCAATCCCCTTACCCCTCCCTTATGCCCATAGAGTCACATAGCAAATTACTGAGGAGAGATGAAAATTAGCAAATGGTCTTAAATATCTATCAATACCTGAAAATGAGATAGCAACACAGGGGTACATTAGATTTGACACAATGGGGGAATAAAAGCATCAGTAGGAGATCAAGAAAGGTGAAGAGATAGGCATGTGTTCAAATATAATCTATAAAACATGCAGCTATGGGGCGCCTGGGTGGCTTAGTCAGTTGAGCATCGGGCTTTGGGTCAGGTCATGATCTCGCAGTTCACCAGTTCAAGACCCATGTCAGGCTCTGTGCTGACAGCTTGGAGCCTAGAGCCTGCTTTGGAGTCTGCGTCTCTGTCTCTCTCTGCCCCTTCCTCTCTCTCTCTCTCTCTCTCTCTCTCTCTCCCTCAAAAATAAATAAACATTAAAAAAATAAAAATAAATAAAACATGCAGCTCAGTGGGTCTCTCACAGGAATTGTGCTCTGTAAGTTGCTAGTTTTCCACATTGTTCTAGCCCTGATGAAATGTGTCTGAGCTCTATTTGACAAACTTTAAAATACTGTCACCTAGTTCACTGGTTATCTTTGTTATTGTCAGTTTGGCTTTCATTCAAGGACAGCAAACTGAATCCGAAATCACATCTTGGTTCTATTCTTACTCACCCCTACTTTCTCCTCCTGGATAAACTGATTCACTTGGTTTTCTGGACATTACACCCCATTTACTTTTCTTCTACTTCACTAGCTATTCCTTATCAGTTGCTTTTGCTCATTTCTCCTTTTCCCTTTCTTCTCTCTTTCTCTCTCCCCCTCTCTCTATTCCTTCATCTCTAAATGAGGGGATGGCCACATCTTAGATCTTAGGCCTCTTTCCTTGGTGACTTTATCTAACCACATGGCTTTAAATTCATTTCTATACTTATGAGTCCCCAAATTTTTAAATCTCCAGCCCAGATCTCTCTCCCAAATTCTAGAACCATATATGTAACTTCTATTCAACATCTCCATGTGACTATAATAGATATGTAAGAATGTTTTTATTAAGTTTATTTATTTTGAGAGAGAATGCATGAGCAGGGGAGGGGCAGGAGAGAGAGAATCACAAGCAGGCCCTGCACTGTCAATGTAGAGCTCAATGTGATGCCCGAACTCATGAACCGTGATATCATGACCTGAGTGAAACCAAGAGTCAGATGCTTAACCAGCTGAGCCACACAGATGCCCCAAGATTTTTTTTGATACAATACATATATCAAAAAATGTCCCAAGTTTAAATATTTCTTTCCTCTCAAGTCATCAGATTGATGCCCCTCAATCCTATCAGTTGTTTAAGCAAAAACCTTAGAGTATTTCCTGACTCTTTACTTTCTCTTACAGTACACTAACAATCCATCGGAAAACCCTGAGTCTACTTTCCAAATGTGTACGGTATTCAATTTCTTTTCACCACCTCCACTCTCTGACTTGGTGTGAACCACTGTTAAGTGTCCAATGCAGCAGCCTCCTCACAGATTTATCTTCTATTACATGTGCGCCATTCCATACTTTTTGTTTTCCACACAATATCCAGAGTAATAACTTTAAAACAGAAGACTGGGGTGCCCGGGTGGCTCAGTTGGTTAAGTGTCCAACTTCTGCCCAGGTCATCATCTCACAGTTCATGAGTTCGAGCCCCATGTCGGGCTTTGTGCTGACAGAGACTGCTTCGAGTTCTATGTCTCCCTCTGTCTCTGCCCCTACCCCGCTTATGTTCGTGCACATGCACACTCTCTGTCTCTTTCTGAAAAATAAATAAACATTAAAAAATAAAAATAAAATAGAAGTCAGACCATGTTACCCCTCTGTTCTTTAGAACCTGTCATGGCTCCATATATCCTTCTGAATAAAAGCTAATATCCTTACAGTCCTTGGAAAGCCCTTCTCTGTCCAATTCCCCCCATTTCTTCTCTGACCTCCTCTCCCACTCATCTACCCTGGCTCACTCTGCTCCAATGCCACAGACCTCCTTGCTGTCCTGCCTCTAGCACACCAAGTGTGTGCTCCCCCTCGGGGCCTTTACTCCAGCTAGTATCTCCTCTGAACCACTGTGTTCTGATCCTGTTCCACTTTTCTTTTCTTCTCAGCACTTTTCTTTTCTATCCTAACATACAGTGTGTTTACATATTTTGTTTGTATTTTAGTACTTATTTCCCCACTAGCTTGTGAGCTCCACAAATGGCCAGGGTTTATCTTTTTTGTTCATGCTTAGGACAGTCCCTGATACAAAATGCCCAGAAATGTTTCTTGAATGAATAAATTGTGGAAATGGGAAGTGTCAGAAAGTTAAAACGGGTTAGGATAGTTTCCTTAACTCTAACTAAATATAGTTTATATTTTCAAAAAAAGGGGTAGGTTTCAAAGATATAACCAAGAATTGACTTAATGACCCAATGACAACATTAGGCAACATTAATGACAACATTCTAGAAATGGCTTCTCTAAATATGTTCATAAATAAAGCCATGATAACGAAGGGCCAATATAGGTTTAGGAAGAGGCTTTGGCTTTCTCATTTCACTTGTGTTTCTCATAGTATGGGCACAATTATGGTTCAACTGTTGATTGTTTCCTGTTTCAAAAATGATATAATTAAAAATGATATAATTCATTCATAAGGATGAATGAAATGATGCTACCCAGCTTCTAGAGTGACCGTTTTGTCTTCATTGCTGAATTCAAGAAATTTTGCATGGTTTTGCAACTTGCATAAATTAGGAAGAGGTAAATGTCAGAATCAGGCTCTTCTCCAAACTTTTGGTGAAAGCAAAGTACTATATCTACCACAATAAAATTGGCTTTACTAAGCCTATTGTACAAGATGATAGTAGCGCCATATTAAGAAGAGAGAAGAAGTCATGTAAAGGATTTAGTGTAAAGTACGTTTAATATGTGTCAGTAATCTCTTGAGGACTGGTATATTTTTCTCCCATCTGATAAGAAATGTAGTGCTGACAATGTTCTTATTAAGATAGCTGCAGTCAAAACTAGGATTTTTCTACCTCACACTTAAAGAATTGAGATCTGAATTAAAAACCTTCCCAGTTAATATTTCTTCCCTTATGGGCTTCCCTTTTGTCTTATAATATTTTAAACCGTTTTCTATATGATGAATTGAATGCACATAATTTTAACATTCATTTATTGATTCACATATTCATTTTTGAAACAAACTTTTGTGAAACAGACACCTCTTCCAGGTTTGGGGTATCCACCAGTGAATCAAACAAAGTTCCTGTTCGCATACAATCTAAACTCTACACAAGATAGATTTAAAATGTGTGCACTCTCTCTCTCTCTCTCTCTCTCTCTATATATATATATATATGATATGTATGTGTGTGTGCGTGTATGTGTGTATACACACATATATATGATAAATAAATATTTACCATATTTATAAATAATATGTATAAAATAAATACCTTCCTATGCTAAACCATAGGAAATGCTTTATGGAAAATAATGAGGCCAGATATAGGTATACAAATTTTGAAGGGTGCTAATTAAAAAACGGTAGCTTAGAGAAGATCTCTCCAATAAAATGACATAGATGGAAGATCTCAGAAAGTGAAGAGGTAAACCATTTGGCTGTCTAGGGGAAGAATATTCCAGGAAGAAGTAGGAGCAAGAAGTAGAAGGCTCAGAGGTGGGAAACATGTCTGGCTATTAGTAGAAAAATGAAGTCAGTTTGGAAAAAAACAAAAGAAGCGAAGAAGATAGAATCATAGAGAAAAAGATCAGAGAGGAAAGTGGGCACTAGATTATAGACAGCACTAGACAACATAGTTAAGACTTTTTTTCTTAGTGGAAAATGAACCATTACAGGAGTGAGATAATCCCACTCTCCATTTTAAATCAGCACTATGATCACCACTGCTGCAATTCATAACGTGTTTGCAGTTCTTCTCCAAGCTCAGGGTAACATTGCACTCTGTGTCAGCACGCTAGGGCTTTTGTAACAGAGTGCCACAAATTAGGTGGCTTAAGGAACGGAAAATTTATTGTCTCAGGGTTACTGATGCTAGAAATTTGAAATCAAAGCGTCAGCAAGTTTAATTCCTTCACTTAAGTTGTATGTGACTGTGTGACAAACTTGGGCCAAGAAAATGTGACAATGAAATGTAACTGTGAAAAGGATCCTCTGCCCAACTTCACTGGACATGTAGCTAGAAGAAGAAATACTCTTTTATTGTTTTTATTCAGCAGTTGCTAAAGGAAGGCCTATGGAAAAATCTGGCTCATTGCCATTTTGCTAAATAGAATTTATTGAAACAAACGTAGGCATTATCTTTGACTGAATTTGTGGTAACAACGGCAGAGTTGAGTAGATACAACATACGGCCTGTCAAGGCAAAAATACTTACTATCTGGCCCTTTATAGAAAACAACTTTACCAACCCCTGTCTTTTTTTTTTAATGTTTTATTTTTATTTTTGAGGGGGGGTGAGCAAGGGAGGGTCAGAAAGTGAGGGAGACACAGAATCAGAAGCAGGCTCCAGGCTCCGAGCTGCCAGCACAGAGCCCGACAGGGGGCTCGAACCCATGAACGGTGAGATCATGACCTGAGCTGAAGTCACGCTTAACCAACTGAGCATTCAGGTACCCCTACCAACCCGTCTTAAACCACTGAGACACTGGCGCTGTTACCACAGGATAAGATAGTTTATCCTCATGGTTAGAGTCATTTTGGCTTTTAACAGAGATACCATTGTAGAAGGGCAAGATGGAAGCCATGAGATCAGTCAGGAGCCTGGGGCAATACTCTGAATAGAAAACTCTGACAGTTTAGATGGTGATAGGGGTAGAGAGAATGGAATGTGATTGAATGCCACGGTGGCTGAAACGTTTAGAAAGTCTTGTAGCCATCAGCATCTTTGGGAATGTGTGTGTGTGTTGTAGGAAAGAGGGAAAAAAAAAAAAGTCTTTATCCTCTATAGTGGAAGTCATCCATATACATTTATTGAATCTCCCCATTACTAGTATGATACTTTCATTTTTAATTAAACTTGATCTTTTTCATGACACTAATCTCCCCCTCTCCATCCCCCCCTTTTTTTTGGACTTTGTCTAAAGGTCTTCTGCTGGGGTAGAGAGACAACCGCCTGGCTACAAAAGTTGAGGTGGTGATCTGTAATATGAACTACTTCTTAAATAGCTTCAAGCCAAGCAAACCCATAGTCTTGTCTTGCTCCCACTTGACCTCCATTTATTCATGTGGTTGATGCCACCAATTGCTGAGTCTTTTAGGGATTCTGTGGAGCAAATTGGGTTGCTTATTTAAGAGCTTTCCTACTGCCACCTTACAATTTGTGTGCCTCAAGTCTAATAATAAGATCTTCATCCCGCTCTCTTCCAATCACTTTGTTGTTCTCTTCTTTCTCCTTTTTCTCATTTTGTGGTTAGATTCCCAATATTGCATTTTGGAGGGTTTAAGGAAGCAAGTGAAATCAAATGTGTTTCACCAATTCTCCATCTTTCTGAAAGAGCTGAGAACTACTTTCAAAATTTCCTTCTATCCAGGTCCTATCTGATTCTACAATATCTTTTTAACATTCTATGAGAATGTATCAACTCTGACCCATAGGTGTATGTTGAGACTCACCCGCATTTCCCCATACATCTCCAGGATTTTATCCTTTATTTTAAGAAGTTCCTCTTGGTTAATGTCTCGAATGCTGAGAACTCTGGTCCTGTACTGTCGGAACTGGTGAACCTCTTCTGCCTTTTGCATTGCCTGCTGCTGGTTCAGTTCCTCTGTTTGTAGCACAGGATCAGTGTTTGTTGTTTTTCTATAAAGACATCAAAAGAGATGCATAAGTCATTTGGGGACACTGGAATGAACTTTAGAATTCAAATAATTTAAATTCATCTTGACATTGTGTTAGCCTGAATCCAATAGAATATTAGCAATAGAAAGAATAACTACTATTTTTTGATTGGCTATTCTCCACTTACTGATTCACTCATATTTTAGGAAACAATTCTAGAAAAATAAAGTTAGATGCTCCATCTGATGAGGTGTTCATGGAATTTGTGTTGGAATCTATGAGAGGTTATTTTGGAGGTTTTCTTTTTCATTTATGGAGCTAAATAGTGTTGAAATTATTTCATACTTATAAATATGCTTGAATAACTATCTCTCTATTAATCCTATTGTCTTGTTCTTAATAAAATGGAACCTACTAAAAAATTAATTATATTAAATTAAACCTACTTAAATAATACCAACAGGACTAGTGGGATTTTCTTTTTGTAGCTCAACTCATCTTAATCAGCTTGCAAATTACAACTTTACAGAAAATATTTAAATGCTTTTATGATTGACTTAATAAAGCATTTATTAAATTGAAGATGTAGAATCATGTACGTCTAGAAAATTTGAATACACTGAAAACATATTAAGCGCTTAATTTGAAATTTTCACTTATTTAGTAACTGGTTATCTCTGTATTGAAAATTCCACAAACACAGATGTTTGCATTAATCATGTCTATTAAAACTTACCGTACGTATTGAGTTAAGTCTACACATTCTAGCGCTTTTCGAATAAGTCGTGGAGACATTTCCAAAATTGTTGGGGATCGTGAACGAGGCCCTGTTGAAAAAATAAGTCCTAAACTTTCAAAAGAGAATAGACACTAATAGACTATTAACAACTCATCTTAGTTAAAAATAATATCTTTGGTTAAAGGAAAACAATCACCATTGGGATACTTGCATGGCTCAGTCGGTCAAGCGAGCAACTTAGGCTCAGGTCATGATCTCATGGTTCATGAGTTCAAGCCCTGGGTCAGGCTCTGTGCTGACAGCTCAGAGACTGGCGCCTGCTTCAGATTCTGTGTCTCCCTCTCTCTCTGCCCCTCCCCTGCTCTTGCTCTGTCTTTCTCTGTCTCTCTCTTAGAAATATATAAACATTTTTTAAAAAACACCGTCAATTGGACTCTATAAGCAGAGTAACGGAATGTTATCATGGCTGTAGTTAAATGACGGTAGAGACAATAAATAAAAGTCCTACTTTATTTCATTATAAACAAATTAAGTGATGCAATATTCAAAACATTTAGTCTAGGCATGAAAGGCCTCATAAGCATTATGGGAGTAGAATGTAAAAATATTTAAGACACAGTAGTATACTTCAAGAAACTTGCAGATCCAGTGGAGTGGATAACATACACCAGGTAAAAATCAAGTTAGCAGGAGATCTCTGCCCCAGAGACCCATACGTACCCACGAGAACAGACTTAAACAAGAGAGTCTAAAATATTTTAGAGTCTAAGATATTAACCATTCAGCCTTTCCAAGACATTAATCTCCTTTTTAAAAATTTCTGGAGTGTATTTACATGCCATAAAATTCTCCCATTTTAAAAGTGTAATTCAATACATTTCAGTAAGTTTATGGAATTGCATGACCTGCTCCAAAACCCAGTCTCAAAACATTTCCATTTCCACATAGATCTCGAGTGCCTTTTACAGCCCCTCTCCATTCTCACCTCAAGCCCTGGGCAGACATCCATGGACTTTGTCTCTATTTGCCTTTCCTGGACATTCCCATGTAATTAGGAATGGTAAAATTACACCTAACTTTTTATTGTTAGTTTAATAAGAAATTCTGAAATAATGAAGTAAAAATCCTCCCCCTTGGTTCTTTATCAAAATTATTTTGGTCATCCTGGGTCTTTTGCATTTCCAAATAGGTTTTGAGATCAGGTTGTTAAATTCTATAAAATGTCTACTAGAATTTTGATAGAGACTATACTGAATTTATAGATCAATTTGGGAAGAATTGCCATCTTACTATATTGAGTCTTCTAGTCCAAAGCATGGACTCCCTCCCTCTTTAGATTTTTATAAATTTCCTTTAGTGATGTTTTGTAGTTTTCAGCAGACAAGTCTGGTACTTTTGTTAAATTTATTTCCATACGTTTGTTACTGACATTACTGTGAATGAAATCTTTTGTGATTGCTCATCGATAATATGTAGAAATAAAAATAATTTTTGTATATTAATCTTGTGTCTTGTATTTTTTATTTAGTTGTATACTTTCAGAGGTTTAAAATCTTTATTTTTAATTTTTTAAATGTTTATTTATTTTTGAGAGAGAGAGAGAGAGAACGAGAGAGGGGCAGAGAGAGAGGGAGACACAGACTCTGAAACAGGCTCCAGGCTCTGAGCTGTCAGCACAGAGCCCAACACAGAGCTCAAAATCAGGACCAGCAAGATCTTGACATAGGCTAAAGTTGGATGCTTAGCCAACTGAGTCCCTCAGGTGCCCATAAAATGTTTTTTAATTAATGTTTTTTCAGTTTATTATTGCTTTTTAGGAGAGAATATGTCAAATCTTCACTTTGCCATGCAAAAGATTTCATGCCCACTGACTATTTAATCTTGCTTTTTACATGTGGTTGCAATAGCCTTCAGCAATTCTGTAAAGTGCATCATGCATAACAACTTTTAAAAAGTGATCACTCATTCTGAAATATAATCTAATGTAAACCTTTAAAAACACTTAAAGGGGCGTCTGGGTGGCTCAGTTGGTTAAGAGGCCAACTTTGGCTCGAGTCATGAACCCACAGTTCCTGGGTTCGAGCCTTGCGTCGGGCTCTGTGTCAACAGCTCAGAGCCTGGAGCCTGTTTCGGGTTCTGTGTCTCCTTCTCTCTCTGCCCTTCTCATGCTCTGTCTCTCAAAAATAAATAAACATTGAGAAAAATAATAAAAATAAAAATACTTAAAAATAATATCCAACTTAATTTTCATTTTTTCAAAAATGTAAAGACATGGTCCATGTTAGAAAACAGAATATCCCAACTCTACTCCATTATTAAAACATGAAATCAATCATGTTTTTTATTTTGTAATACTAAATAAAACAATCCTGAAGAATTAGCATGGTACAATATATTGTTTAGAAACCAGTGGTGAAGGGTGCTTGGGTGGCTCAGTCAGTTGGTTAAGTGTCCAACTTTGGCTCAGGTCACGAGCTCATGGTTTGTGGGTTCAAGGCCAGCATTGGCTTCTGTGCTGACAGCTCAGAGCCTGGAACTTGCTTTGGATTCTGTGTCTCTGTCTCTCTGCCCCTCCCCTGCTTGTGCTCTGTGTCTCTCTTTCTCAAAAAATGAATAAACATTAAAAAATAAATAAAGCAGTGGCCAGTGGATTTTCTTTTTTCATTGCCTTTACTATGGGATTGTAGATTTCCAAAGTTCATTTGCTTTCCTTATGAACATACCTACTTATGCTGGGTATATTTTTGGCATTTCAAACATGAGTTGTTTCTATAAGACACCAACTCTGCTGACTTTGACTGGAAAGAAAATACTTTCTGATAATTAGATGTTTGTGTTTTCTTACATCCTGCCAAATAACATACATTTAAACAGAAGAGGGTGTGGGAGGGGGCAGAAAAGATTAACCTTCATATTCTTCTACAAAACTCTGTTGTGTCAGAATAGGGTGTGAGTGTACCATGACAGTCTTGTACCTCTAGAATAGGACAGCCCAAAGGGTGTGTGTGTGTGTGTGTGTGTGTGTGTGTGTGTTTACCATCCTGTGTCTGCAAACTGACCCTCTATGGTATAAATTCTGAAAGTGAGAATTTATATTTAGAAATATCTTCATAGCAATTGGTTATCACTGGGCCATTTTATCACATTTTTCAAAAGTTTCAACTTCCAACAGACTAGGGGAGAAAACTTACTTCATCATAGGTAGTCTGAGAATCACTGTTTAATATGCAGTGATTGTGATACCTGGGCGAAAGATGTGGGAATAAACACTGAGATCATCTGCAACCTTGGGAAGAGGAATTTTCTAGAGGCTCCCAGAGATCAAAGGGAATTTGAAAGCGATGTTTATACTCTTGACCTTGATGATGGCTGTGGTATTGAAGAAGAATACCCCAGAGCAAAGTCCGTAATGACTTCATTTCCATGAAGGAAATTATTCTAAGTTGCCTATCATATGAAAATAGAAAGCGACAAGAATAAGGTAGTTTTTTGGGAATTACAAGTATCTATAGGTGTGTAGAGGTCAGATCACCCAAAGCTCTATTGGGATCTTTAATCCCTTATGGGTGATGCTTCCCCAGGAGTGAGGGTCAATATGGTGGACACACCAGCAGCAGAGTCAGGAACAACAGATGCAGTTCCAGAGAACAGCTGGACAACCAAAGCCATGGTTCACAAACAGGATTCCTTCTAGAACCCTAGTGCCTGGGGTACATGGTAGTGTGAGTGCTGCGGGAGGTGCTGGAGACACAGAAGCACACCTCTTCTCGGAGGAAGAGGGGGTCAACTAGTCTTGATACTGTGATTAAATTTATATTTTATTACATTTTTTCATATTATTATATTACACACATGTTATATTATTTATATTTAATAGGAATTATAATAAAACGCATTTAAGAAGGTTTTGGAGAAATTCTACTTGAGGACAGGCTGCTTTGACCTCAGTCCTCCACTCCTGCTCACATTGACCTTTCCTCTCTGTTTCCTGCCCCCTCCTTTCTGCCCAAAGTACACTCTTTCATGAGGTGTGATCTTTAGTACAAAGGTGTGAAGACTCTGCTGGCCAAAAGCGTGAAGACTGAGGAGCAGGAGAGCTGGCCTTGAAGCAGCCCCTCATGACATGGGTCTGGGGCTCTGAGAGAAAAATGAAAGCGGGTGCCTGGGTGGCTCAGTCAGTTAACTGTCTGACTCTTGATTTTAGCTCACGTAATAATCTTGCAGTTCATGGGTTCCAGCCCCGCATCAGGTCTGTGCTGGCAGTGCAGAGCCTGCTTGGAATTCTCTCTCTTCTTCTCTCTCTGCCTCTCCCCTGATCTTTCTTTAAACAAATTAATAGATAAAATCTGCACCATGACTGTGGGACATGGTACCTGAGGCTGGTGTGAAGAATCATGATTACATTCAATTTTTACAACTTAAAAAATTAACTTATTAGCCTATAAATAGTTTGACCTCAGATTTTAATTATATTTTCTTTTCACAGGTCTCTAACCACCTGTGGGGGAAAATTTGCCTTCTGTGAGAGATCACATTGTAAAATCGCAAGAACTAGGGTTTTAGTCCTGATTCACTAAACTGTTTCAGCTTCCTTCCCTGGAGTGAGGCATTAATCAACCACATCAATTTTGAAGCCGAGATACCAGCATATAGTTCGTCTAGTTCATAGAGGCTATAGTGAGATGATATATGCAAAATCATTCTACAAATTAAATATTAATATAGAACAATAAATACTATTCTAATAAGCTTTAGTGTTACATCATGTATGTTATTGTTTTTATTAAACAAGTGCTAACTTTCGAAATATTGGCTCAAAAATCAAATCTCTTGTAACTATAGTAAAATGCCCTTTGAATTTTGGAATTTTCTTCTTCCCCATGGAAATCCTTCCAGGACACGTTTTAACGTTAAACAGTTTTTAATTTTAAACTTCTTAGAATGGTTTAGCCATTTTGAGAAGAGAACCATTGTTGGTGTTTCTGAAGATGCATCCTTCCAAAATATCTCTCTCTCCTGCCTGGGTTCTGAATTAGAGAAATTACGAGTAAAATTGTACTACTGATACCGGTGTAATTGGCGGAAGGCAAACCAGCCAGGGTCACAGAATTTTAGAGCCAGTTGACCCTTGCAGCCCCCTCAGTCATAGGTAGTACTTCCAACTCAGAGACCAGCAGAGGGGACTCAGGATCCCCTGTGAGCAGCCCAATTTACTGATTCAACCACATAGGACACTTAGTCCCTTAGCAGCAGAAAGTCCAGGAGTTGCTTAAGGGAAATCTTTTCTCATGGAGGCCAGCATGGAAAGACATTTCTCTGTAAAACCTTCAATCAAGGATTTACATTCATTTTATTTTTATTTTCTTTAAAGTTGCTTTATTTATTTTGAGAGAGAGAGAGAGAGTGCCAACAAGAGAGGGACAAAGAGAGAAGGAGAGAGAATCCTAAGCAGGCTCCTCACTGTCAGTACAGAGCCCTGTGCAGGGCTGGAACTCAGAAAAACTGAGATCATGACCTGGACTGAAATCAAGAGTCAGACGTTTAACTGACTAAGCCACCAACGTGCCCTGGATTTATGCTCATTTTAGTGACTGAATACGAATCCCCATTATATAGAAATGTACCAAATTAGTGTGACTTGTACACCACTGAAAATTCCTCCCTTCCAAAATTTCAGAACCCAGATATTTAAAATCTGTTATAAAAGGTATAAAGAAAATCTACCATGTAGCACATCATAGATCAACAAAAGAGATCTGCATTTAGTGACAATGGCATATATGGCCACTGCAATTTTATTTTTAGTATTTGTAGATGGAAAAATCTACAAAAGTTTACCTGCTCCTTTTTTGACCCACTTCTATCTCTAAGATAACTAGTTAGTAATGAGGCCCTTGAGCAGACTATCAGCTCTGACAAGCATAATGAAGACCTATACATCCAAGATACGTATTTTTCTATGTTCCCGCCCTAGACATCATGTATGTTTGTGCCTCTTCCAGAATTTTTATTTCCAAGTGTGTCTTTGTCTCATAAATGAGAATAATACTTACTGATATTTTCCTTCCGCATCGTCTGTTCCTCCTTCCCTGCTGAAGACGTCCCTCCCCTTTCGCCGATCACCGATTTTGACAAGTCCCTCAAGCTCTTGGTCATCTGCCACTTCCTCCACAGTATATTCCCCAACGGCAGGAGATCTTTGCTCTCTGAACTCACGGAACCCTTTGTATCTGGCTCTTTTATGGCACTTGCAGATGTTTCAACTACAACACGATACATGCATTACTGGAAAACAAAACTTGCATTCTATGAAATCATATGCAAAAAGTAACCAGCTGAGTGGGAGCACAAATTTGGAGCAGACTTGAAAGACTTGTCACCTCTAAGGAGAGCACTAGCCAAAACAATCACTGGTCCCTCAGAAAACTTTGTGATGGCCCTTGCAAGGGTATGTCTGGTAGCTGTCTCAGGATATGAAAACATTACATAAAAATTGAGGCTTTCTGGAGGTGAGACCTTACAAATGGAAATGGGATCTCTGAGCCACTGGGCTCTGGAGGAAATACAATCTGCCTTGTGTGAAAAATGCCTGTGAATGGGATTCTCACCTCTGGGGAGGGGAGCCCTGTGTACAGGTACTTGTCTAAAGTTTTCTTAAAATAGAGCCAAGAAGAACTATTGCTTGTGAAGTAGGAAAGTTTTTCCTTCACACTGTAATTCTACTCTCACTGTTCTAGATCCTTATGCCTAGGAAACACTATGCAAAACCTATCACAATTCCACATTATGCAGACATTTCCCCTCTATTTAATTGCAAATAATTTAATTGACATTATATTCCACTTTGAATAAAAGGTGATGATAAAGTAGTGCTTAAAAACAGGGAGAAATATTGAAATAACTACTTTTAAAAACAATATTAAAATTGAAACACCCCTAGAGCAAAACTGATCAAGAAAAAAGAGATTAAAGAGATTTTCCAGGAAGTTTAACTTAGATGAAATAGACAAATTTCTTATAAAACACAACTTACGAATCTTGACAGGAGAACAGTTTCATAGTGAGGAGTATAAAGTGTATCCTGTATGAGTCCAAATATAGGAAGCTCAAGAACAGACAAAATCAATACATGGTATCAGAGGTCAGATAAGAAGCTACCTTGAGGGAGGAAATGGCTGAGGGAAGGGAAGGAGGAAGACTCTGGGATATAGTTATGAGCTTTATATCTTGATCTGAATGGTGGTTCCTGAGTGTACACATATATAAAAGTGTATCAAGCTATATAATCAGTATTTGTGCCTTTACTGCATGTATGTTGAAGACATGTTCAGGCTCCTCGGAGTCTTGTTCTTTACTAGGCCTTGTCCTTGGCTGGACTCCTAGTTTTATCAAAAAATCCTGCTAGACTGGTTTATCAAAAATCGCACCCTCACCCACCCACCCCAACCCCCTGCCTTGACATCCAGTCCAGATCCTCTCTTCTTCCACCCTTCATACCTAACCAAGTTTTTCTGGGTAAATCTCCAAGCTCTACCTGCCTATTTGCTATGAATCCCCACTTGTCCCTGTTGTATTTAAAGCTGAATTCAATCTCTCTGCCTCCTGAGGCAACAGTCTTGACTCCTATTGTAATCGTCTTAAATGGTCTCCCTTGTGGTTTTTAACAAGTGTCCAGTGCAACATTTTTCTTTTACATATAACTTAATACAACGTTGAAAAAATAATGAAATCTAATTAAACAATATAATTTAAAATAACAAAATCATAGAATCATAATAAAACCTATTCACCTTTGTATTCTTAATATGACATTAGGCTTCAAGACTTAGAAAACGGAGTACTCTAGCACTTGGAAATATTTCAAACCCCAACTCCGTCACATTCTAGATGTGAGTCTTAGGAGGAGTAAGGCGATTCTGAGCATCTACAAAGTGGGAATAGCAGTGTCTACCCCATAGTTGCTACAGGTTAAAATGAGATAAACAAAAAGTGAGGTGAAGAGTGCCCATCCCAAGAAAACAAAATCAGGATGATATTTGTTATTTATACTCCTTATATGAAAAGGTAAAGGGCATTGTTGTCTTTATAACAATTATTATTGAATAATACTCCTGAAGATGTGACCATGGAAAAGCATGAATTGGGATGTGAATGCCTTCAGCCTCTCTGGCTGTCCCAGGCAGTTTTGTGAGAAGCCACTCGGGGTCATGAGGAGCTGTTTGCAAGCTAACTCTGTCTCTGGTATCTTGTGAACTTAACAAATTACAGAGCAAATTACTCTTGGCCTGTGTTCTTATTAGTAAGTTGAAAATAATATTATGGATCAGTGGATTAATGTGAGTGTTAAGTGAAATAATTAGTATTTTCAGTTTCAGGCCCATGGCAATCACTCAGTAAAACAGTTTGATATTATTGCTATTATTTATAGCTATTATTCCTAGAAAGGTACCAGATTAAGAGTAGCAGTCCTGCCTTAAAGTTTACATACCACTACCTTTGAACTATGTTGCATTCTTATTTCTGGTTTTGTAAGGACACAAGTCTAAACCAGACTGACTCCCATAATAGGCTTTAAGTTTCCCCTCTAAACTAGAAGTCCTAAGTTTCAGTTTCCCTGAAACTATCAGGCAGCTACACATTGCCCAAGGCCGAAGAAACTGCCCACCACTTCACTCCACCACACTACCTTGGCAACGCCCAATCAAGAAAGACCAGCAACTATAGATAAATCTCAGCTGCCTAATGTAAAAGTTAACCCATTAGTCACTGAACAAGACTCTAGGCTCGCTCTATGGTTGGTTAAATTTAAGGGTACCCTGAATGTTGTAATTGGATCCTGCCAAAAGTAACAGATACTCTGGATAACATGTATGATTAAACCCACTGTCAATAATGTTGTATAATTATGATAGGATCACTGTTCCCATGCCACAATTTCTGTAACTCCCCCGTCACAAACCCCATAAAAACCTTATTCTGCCTTTGTTCGAGGCTCTCAGCACGGATCCACTGTGCTGGTAAGGTCTGGGAGCCCGAGCTCGAGCCCGTAATAAAGCCCTTTGCCTTTGCATGCGTGACTCGGTCTCCCCGGTGGTCTCTGGTCGTTGAGGATACTGCGATTTGGGTATAACAGTTTCATCTTTCCTTTGTGTGTGTGTGTGTGTGTTTGTTTGTTTGTTTGTTTGTTTGAGAGAGAGAGGGAGGGAGGAAAAGAGCACATGTGAGCTGAGGAGAGGCAGAGATAGTGAAAGAGAGAATCCCTAGCAGCCTCCACGCTCAGTCAGAGCCTGACACAGGGCTCAGTCCTACTACCCTGGGATCATGATCTGAGCAGAAATCAAGGGTGGGATGCTTAACCGACTGAGCCACCCAGGCGCCCCTGGATTCATTTTTTCTGAAGTGAGGAAAACCTAGAGGAAAAGTAAACATCTGCTAGGTAAAGAGAAAACCTTCCAGAATCTGTTTTCCTACAGTATTGTACATGACTTTTTTACAATCCTATAGGAAAACAGATTCTCCAGTTCTCTTTTTACCAAGCATGATGCTCTGATTATCTTTTAAGAGGTGCAAGGAACAGCCTTGCGCTCTGAGGTAGCAGGAGCAGCATTTACTGACCTTCCTCCGGTGCTTTAGTTTTGCTTTCAGACACAGGCACACTCTCAGCTTCCGGAATTTTCTTAATGAACTGGCTGAGGTAATGCAGGCGAGCCTGGGAAGCCTAAAGAACAAACACTTTCAACAAACAGTATAGGCGGCAATATATTAATAGTACACGAAATAAACAGGAAAATGTGAATAAATTCAGCAGCTGGGACTAGTGTAGTTCTTATTATCAAATACAGTCAGATTCTGAGCTGTCTATAATTTTGACCATTATTTTTGAGAACTAATGAAGCCGCAGTCCTAAAGCAAATACACTAGTCACGCAGTCTTAGATCCAGTTGTTCCTGAAACCTTTTTTATCTGGCTTAGTAACCCTGAGTTGGGACATGAAACACATAAAGTAATAAATGGTTCACTAGAGCAATGATTCTTACATACAGTACAGTGGGAGGAAACCATGAAGTGTGTATATCACACATGCTGTTTGTCTAGTCAAGGCTGTTCAAAGTACATGAAAGGACATATTAAATACTTTCATGCTTTCTTACTTGGAGTATGAAGGACAGACATGGATACAGCCCACACTTGTGGAAGGATGAGGGGACCCATGGTTTGGGCCAATAAGTGGCACCATTATGGGCTTTGCTTTTGCGACTTATCTGGTACCAGTCATCTGCGTAACATTTCACACTGTGTTCAGATGTGGTCTTAACATTTAGTTAGTCAGTGTCTAACAAAATTCCAGATATCACTCCCAAAGGAAAGGCTGTGTGGTTTCACCACCATGGCACAACTTTTCAAACTCAAGTGACCTTGATGGCCCTTCCAGGCTCAGTCATTTCCCAGGCTTGCTTCATGGCTCGGATTTCATCTGCTCGTTCGGTATCTTTTTTCACTTCAAAACCATCTGCTTCATTGTGCTCAGTGACCAACCTCAAGATCCAGAAGGGTTTATTTGGGTCTTCTTGTTGAGAATGAACAGTGGACATCTGATCAATAACAGACAAACCTGTGGGTCAGGTGTTTTGCTCCATTTAAAAAGGCCTGAATTTTAACCTACGATCCATAATTTTCACTACTAAGTATTTACCCAAGAGAAACGAAAACACATGTTCACAAAAATACTTGGATGAGAACATTCATTGCATCTTACTCTTAAGAGCCAAAAAAAGGAAACAATATAAATGTTCAGCAATTGATGAATAAACAAATTATCATCTCTCCTTAAGATTGAATCCTACTTAACTTATAAAGTAACTGGGGCGTCTGGGTGATTCAGTCGGTTATGCATTTGACTTCAGCTCAGATCACAATCTCAGGGTTCATGAGTTTGAGCCCCACATCAGGCTATGTGCTGACAGCTCAGAGCCTGGAGCCTGCTTCGGATTCTGTGTCGCCCTCTCTCTCTCTGCCCTTCCCTGACTTGCACTCTCTCTCTCTCTCTCAAAAATAAATAAACATTAAAAAATTAAAAAATAAATAAAAAGTAATAAACTACAGATATATGTCACAATGTAGAGGAATCTCACATAATGGCATCATCCTGAGATAAAGAAGCTGAGCAGAAGGGAATAAATCGTGTATGATTCATGTGTATGAAATAAGAGAACAGTCAAAACTGCTCCCTGGGATGAGGTATGAAGATGGCAGAATCCATTGCAAAGAGATTTGAGGGATTTCCAAGCTTATGGAAATGGCCTGTACTTTACTCCTTGATAGAGACGTGATATAAATTACAGGGTGAATGCACTTGTCAAAATTCATTGAATTGTACAATTAAGATTATTGCATTTCACTGCTGTAGACAAAAGAAGAAAATTCTAAATTATATCCAGGGTTACATAGTATCTCTTTCCAAACATGAAGGCAGGGATAGGTGCTGATTTCCACGTGTGGATAGACTGGGTATACAGTCATTATGAAAGTTAACATTTTGATATTTCATAGGATCATTTTCATGAACTACAGGCTGGGAGCAGGTTGACATAAGGCTTGAAATGTCTAGATAAGTGAGGCTCATTGGTGACCATCTGGTAGAGAGAGAGGCTTGACTCTAACATGCTTACTAGCACTTTATATATGACAGAGACAATGTCAGTTACCCAGATTAAATAATACAGGGGAAAACAGGGATCACTGGGGTCACCCAACAAAGTTTTTGTGGCAGTTTGCTTTCAATGTTACCAAAAAAAATCTTGCTTTCCTACAATATTCCCCTAATATTTGGAGGAGACCCTAAATCTCACAATGGGAAATTCTTTTATTTCTTCTTTTTACAATACAGTTCAAAGGATTTTTATCATCTTTTATATCGCTTGATAAATGAGTTTATCAGAAACTTCTCTGGGATCAAGAAAGGGAGTATTATGAAGTATTAAGGGGTGGGGAGTCACATGTCTTATAAATGAGTTTATGGATTGAGTTAAGCTCATTTGTTTAAAATTTCAATAACTTTTCATTGATGATAAAAATATTTTAAGAATATTTTCTCAGTGAGTTCAAATAATTGATTTCATAGCACTGAATTATAAATTGGAGCTACATTTAGAAAAGTTAACACACAGCATTGTTTTGAAAGCTTCAGGGAAAAAAAAGTAGTTGATTGAAACCAATTCACCTATGTTTTTTAAACAATGTTAAATAAGCTAATTTTATTTAATTTTAAAAATATTTATTTATCTTAGGGAGAATGCAAGGAGGAGAGGGGCAGAGAGATGGGGACAGAGGACAAGAAGCAGGTGCTGTGCTGATTGGCTGATAGGCTGACAGAAGTGAGCTAATGTGAGACTTGAACTCAGGAACCGTGAGATCATGACCTGAGCCAAAGCCAGACATTCAACTGATTAAGCCACCCAGGTGACCCCAAATAAGCTCATTTTAAATGGAAAACTGTATCTGGTCATCTCACATTTCAAATATATAAGAAAATAATAATCATTATTTTAAAATGTTTTTATTTATTTTTGAGAGACAGAGAGAGACAGAGCACAAATTTTGGAGGGTCAGAAAGAGAGAGATGCAGAATCTGAAGCAGGCTTCAGGCTCTAAGCTGTCAGCACAGAGCTTGATGCGGGGCTCAGACTCACGAACTGCAAGATCCTGACCTGAGCCAAAGTCAGACGCTCAACTGATTAAGCCACTCAGGTGCCTGTATAATAATCCCTTGATAGAGAAACTTCCCCTTTTCTCTATCCATTTAGATGTTACAATAAAAGACAGCATTTAGATTGTAAAATGTAGCCAGTGAAAAAATAAGTAATGTAAATTTAAGAAATTAGCTTTTCCACATGAAATAAAATCAATGATCAAATAAATTCAACATGATCATGGTGACTAAGGTGAAAATACAAAGTATAATATGATAGTTTCCAGTTTCTGGTTTGGCATATACATTAATACATTTTCAAATAGGAAACATTATATAAAACCGATTAGCACAGTATTAAGATTCCTAAGCTTAGTTATTAATGTCTTAAAAACATGATGAATTCTGTAACCAAGCATACACTTTTTGCTGTGCAAACTGAACCAAGCACCATCTTTTCCAGGATTCCCCAGAATTCCTGAGTATCTCAAAATTAACTCAGACCAGATCCTACAATTCCTTATTAAATGGTAGATCTTCTGAACAAACTTTTCATTTTCCAGAATATATGCATACATTCATCACAATTTCAAACAGAAAGGAAGGCCGCTGTCCATGTCAGTTTTTAGTTTTAGACAATCATCAATTTTCCGCAGAAATGTTTTTCCTTGACTTAATATTTTTGCAAGATTTTGAATTTTTTTCTTCAATTTTCTTTATGTACCTGAACCCTTCCAACTGCAGCTGATTCAGCTTTTCATTTTGACTTTCATCTAGATGTACGTTTTCACACATTATAGGGCTAAATCTAAGGTGAGTGTCCCAGGGCACTTGGGTGGCTCGGTCAGCTGAGCCACTGAGTCTTGATTTCGGCTCAGGTCATGATCTCATGGTCATGAGATTCAGCCCCACACTGGGCTCTGCTCTGACAGTGCGGAGTCAGCTTGGGACTCTCCCTCTCTCTCTGTACCCCTCCCTTCCTCACTCTCTCAAAATAAATAAATAAACCTTTTAAAAAAAGATTCTCTCTTCCTCTCTCTCTCTCTCTCTCTCTCTTTCTCTCAAAAATAAAATAAAATAGGCATCAGAAGGTAGTAAATTATCAAGTACTATACAGATTTCTGTATCTGTAGCACTGTTTATGACATTAGATAGTTTGGTTTCCTAGCTTGTGTATGTTGTGGTGTTTTTCACGTCTGTTTTGTAATCTCCAACGCCCAGGGACACTATGCACATCAACGGAACATCTGGCCCAAGACGTTTACGTGACCACGTTTATGCTCAAAGACAAACTACCTTGATGAAGACTGTTTCCCAAATGCACACTCTGCAAAGTAGCCAGGAGCAGCAGATGAGGCTCAGATGGCCTGCCACATTTTATAGTGATGGCTGCCCAAATCGTGAGAGCTGACTCCAGAACGTGACTATAGTTTCTGCACACAAAAGTGTTGGCATTATCCTCTGTTTATCATGGTGCTTCCCGCAGCTACCTCAGGATGGGCAGGGTTTCTTGCTCTTTCTATCATTACTGCATACTCCATTCTAATCTTAAACATATTTCCCCGCATCTGACTCATAAAATGCATGGCTCCAACTCATTTGACTGCTTTAATCGTGACATTTAGTGAAAACATAAGGGATACTAAATTTTGATCAAGTTTCTCGCATTCATCCAGGGACCTATGAATTAACCCAAACAGGAGGGCTTATAGGGCACCTGTGTCTACACGTCAAATGCAGTCGCAGGGCTGAGGAACTGGCTTCTAAGTAAGTTCAACTAATTTTTGAAGTATCCAAAAGTGCTCCTCTACCATCAGTGGTGAGAATTTGGACACCTCTTCCTTTCACTGGATTCAGGTAGCCATTTAAGGCCTGAAGTGCAAGGTTCTTGTCTTCATTATATTAAGTGTGGACTAATTCATTCCATGGAAGCGTTTCTCCTCCCTCAGAAAATTCTAGTAGGTGAGCAGTCTGTTCTTCAACCCTATTAATGCAGAGCTTTGGACCAGTTGTTCTTAATGTTTGAGCTAAAGCCTGGGTTCTGTCATTTATACTCACCCCTGAGATCTTTACTTGCTGAGGAGATAAATCCTTCTTCTCCTCTGCTTTTTTGTCTTTGCCATAGCCCACTCAGCTTTAATCACCTGTTTTTGTTCTCTGACTCTTCTGAATGGATCATACTTTGATTTGGGAGTAAGCACACCATAGAACCATCTATCAAGTTTCTAGACCTTCAGTGGGACAAGGAAATAAGTTAGCAGTACTTTGTTTAGTAGAAACTGGAAGCGTGTCAGCTGTCCCAGTGGGGTTTGAAGATGTGTCCGTAGCATATAAAGAAGATTCTGAGTGGGGCGCCTGGGTGGCTCAGCCGGTTAAGCGTCCAGCTTCAGCTCAGGTCATGATCTCACGGTTCGTGGGTTCGAGCCCCGCGTGGGGCTCTGTGCTGACAGCCAGCTCAGAGCCTGGAGCTTGTTTCAGATTCTGTGTCTCCCTCTCTCTCTCACCCTCCCCTGCTCACGCTGTGTGTGTGTGTGTGTGTCTCTCTCTCTCAGAAATAAATAAAACATTTTTTAAAAAGTTAAAAAAATAAAAAAAGATTCTGAGCACAGCGTCTTGTCAGTCAGGATGCCAGGACCTGGAGAACCAGATTTTTCTTTTCCAATGTTTTTGTCTTCAATTTCTGATCTATCCTAACAATGTTTATGTTCCCTCTATTGAGGCATTTTCCCCTCAACATTTGAAGTATGAATTAATATGATTTGACAAAAGCTGGAATGACTTCAAATTTTGTGTTATACTATTTGTGTGATAAAAGGCTTTGCTCATCATGACTTTTCTTGAAAACTATTTTCTGCTGATTGAGTGCTATGTCTTCTCAGAGATTTTTAACCAGCCACTAACCGATACTTTTTTAAAATACTCTAGAATGTGGCTTACCTTGAGCTAAATGTGAAATCATTTCATTCTGATTGCCAAAAACAGCCTCTGGAACAAATTTCAAAGTACTTTTAAAAACAAGACATTCAGACTCTCCCTTTTGTAAGTCCCCTGAGACAAGTGCTAAGGTTCCAAATTCCAATATGTAAACTCTGAGTAACGGGGCTTACAGCAAGAAACTGCTTCACTTGTGGCCCGTTTACATCTTATTTCACTTGTATGAAAACCCCTTTATAGACTGATGTGACTTGTCCTGTGAGCACAAGAAAGGCAGCCGCTCGCTTCTGGGCTTCCCACGGGACTTGAGGTGTCGTGGGCTTCAAGTTGCAGCTGCTCCAGAGCAGTGGTGACTTGGCCGTTCCCAGCAATGACACGGACTCGGGCCAGCCTGCGTCAGCCGAGTCCCAACATAAAAGGAAGAGCAACAGCCCAGGGGCCACCTGGCCATTTCCATTCCAGCCCCAGCAGAGATCTCGTGAAGCTTCTCTGCTTCACAATGTTTCCAAGAGTGCCTCCAACTAAGAAATTAAATCTTGGCAATGCAAGTGGACAGGGTTTTCCGCTGCCGGAGTGTAGGACAGCTGATCATTAGCTCTTCTAGTTACTTTCCCTTTCTTGTCCTTTACTGGTGGTCTCAACACCCTAGTCAGTTGATTCAACGGCAAACTTGCGAGACAGCCTTTGTTCCTTCTTGTGCCTTACCACCCACTTGGGATTAAGAACTGTTTTGTACACTGTTGATTTCCTTGATGGTTCTTTTTGGTCTTCTTCTTCCTTTCTTACCTGTGCCTGACTCACCTTGCCCTCGCTTGCTGGGCAAGCGATTTTCCCCATCTCTAGACTTTTCCCCTTTAAAAGCCACCAGGGTATCTGAAATGTAAGTCTGATCATGTCAATACATTTTTTAAAACCCCCCTTCTGCCATCCAACATCTACCCTGGCTTAGCCTATGTGGTGATCACCAATGTTGGGAAGACTTTGTCCTCAGAGGTATTTTGAATTCAGTGCTTTTTAAATAACCTGAATTTGAGTATATTTAGGCCTGTACTTATATTTCTCAACTTTGCCCCACTTCCTCTTCCTTACCCCTAATCACTGTAATTACCTAAAGGTAATTTGGCCCTAAAGGAATTTGGAATCATGACCTCTGGGCTGCAGACAGAGTCCCAGCCTCCTATGCAGAATCAAAGGCCCTCCTCCTTTTGACCCTTACTTATCCCTCCAACCCCATCTCTCAAACTTTAATGCTAAAGAAAAAAAAAAAGGCAGACTGTGTTAGATTTCATTTTAGAATGTCTTTGCTCATTAACTCGGGTCAGGATGTGGCTGCTCTAGTAGAAAGAGGCTAGAGTAAGTACTTCTTCTACCACTTCACATGCAATATCTAACATTAAAACTCTGTTTACCTTCAGTCTCCTCCACTAGACTGTAAAGAAGCACCCGTATAATTTATTAATTTTAGAAGCCCAATGCCCCAAAGCAGTGTCTTGTAGACATACATGTTTTAACATTTTAATTAATGATTTTTGATACTAAAGTAGGGAAAGCAACTTGCAGAAGGTGTCCAAGGAATTTCCCTAAGGTATCAGGACAGTTGCTAAAATCAAGGAGATGGAATTTTTCAGTTTTGTCCTCAGTTTTGTCAAGTAGGGACTCAATGAACCTACATTTATTAAGTGACTCCAATTTAAAAAAAAAAGTATCACACCCACCTGAGGCTCGAAGCGAGGTGATTGTTTTTCTTTGGCAATCTTGTCTTTCTCAGAAGACCTGTCTTTGCCTTTTCTTGTTTTGGAAGTTCCTGAAGATTTTTGCCCTTCACTAATAGTATGGGAGTCTGGGCTTCCTAAGGTAATTAATTCCTCATGTTTCTCTCCATGAGCTAGAGAAACATAAAAATGGAAACCAGTGAGTCATAACAATAAAATCATGTCATGTTGGAAAAGGGAAACAAATCAGGAAAAAGGTGTTCATTTAAGAGGTTCAGATTTCTTTTTTTTTTAAAACAAATATTTTATAAAGATATGTGTGACTCTCTTTTACAAAATTGAGAGATAATTCATATGCCATGCACTCACCATGTATAAAGTGTATAAATCAGTAAGTTTTGCTATATTTGTAAGGTTATGCAAAAATTATCACTAATTTGTTTCCAATCTGGATACTTTCAGTTCATTTTGTTGCCTAATTTCCTTGGCCAGGATCTCCATTACAATATTGAATTCATTTATCTCTGCTATAATAAGTATTATTCTCTTCCCTTTGCTTGTTCCAATGAGGATGTGAAGGATTTTGCCTCATGTTCTATTAATTCTTTCTAACAACTAAATATCCAAGTGGCAGAGGGAGAAGTAACATTTGTTGAATCCCTACAATGTTTCTTTCATTTTTAATTCTCAAAGACCCCAACAAGGCAGATTCACAGAGTTTGTGAAATTCACTGAATTTGCTTATGTTCCCCCAAGTGGTGGGAGTTCAAATATAAGTTCCAAAGACATGTCAGCCCTTTTCAAAACTGGAGTCTTATAAGTAGTAAGTTATCCTGTTAGCAAAGTAAAATAGTAGTTGTCAAGAACCCAGCTCTTATCAATCGCTAGTGCTAGTTATTAGCTACTTTCAAATTTGGGCAGATCATCTTGCATGACTGCGAAGGGACTGTGAGTAACACAAGTTTGCAAGGGGACAAGTATCTTTCTGCCAACAACCCAGCCGCTGAGAAGTGATTGCACTAGGGAAAATTCTTCAGTCATATGATCAAATGGCCTGGAGGTGAATCGTGGATCAGCCACTGGATAGGTTAAATTTGGCAGTTTATTATATTCTTTGATTTTGTTTCCTCTTTTGTATAATGGAGATATTAATTCCATGCCCACAGGACTTAAAAATAATCAGCATAGGGGGAAGCCTGGCTGGTTCTGTAGGTTAAGCATCCAACTTGGGCTCAGGTCATCATCTCACAGTTTGTGAGTTCGAGTCCTGCATCGGGCTTTGTGCTGACAGCTCAGAGCCTGGAGCCTGCTTCAGATTCTGTGTCTCCCTCTCTGCCCCTCCGCAACTTGCACTCCCTCACTCAAGGAAGAAAAAAACATTTAAAAAGTAATCAATATATGGCATTTAAAATAGGACCATATCAAAAATAAATAAATAAATAAATAAATAAATAAATAGGATCGTATCTGGTATCATTCACGCTGGAATTTTAAGATATTAACAAATGTTGGCTGAAATTGAGTCTCAAACTGCGCCATTAAGTATTTGTGGGGCTCTATTTTTCTTACTACCCATAAGTCTTAGTGTTTCAATCATATATTTAGGTGTATTTGATTCCTTTCAAATTAACATATTCTGTTATTCAAGTTTACATATGTGAGCATGTAATACAGTATCAGGCAAACAGCAGGTGCGCATCATCCTCTTCTTTTACATTATTGATATATAAAGTAAAATAATTTCCTTTTTCTTTAATGTCATATAGTATAGTAACATTTTTTCCAATGAATTACAAATTCTCCAAAGGCCAGAATATCATTATAGACTTCATTATTTTTAATGTTTATTTTTGAGAGTGAGTGAGCACTAGTTGCGTAGGGACAGAGAGAGAGAGAGAGGATCTGAACCAAGCTCTGCCCTTACAGCAGGGAACCCAATGTGGGGCTCAATCTCAGGACCACGAGATCATGACCTAAGCCGAAGTCCAATGCTCAACTGACTGAGCCATTCAAGTGCCCCTGTATATTTCCTTTTGATCCCTAATTTCACCTAGTATGGTTCTGAACTCATAGTATGTATTCATGATAAAAAAAAATTTTTAACTTTAATATGTAAAACTTTATAGGGAAACTGTATGTGTTGAGAGTATATCAACAAGGCGCAAAAATAAATATCCTCGTGATTCAAACACTGTGAAAAATGTGACATCATATTGTATTTTCATGTAATTAGAAGAGCTGTAGAGTAAATGACCATCAGAATAAACTAATACACCTCTTGCAGAGAGGAAGCAGCAGTAACTGTTGATGAACTTGAAAAGACTGTTAACATTATGGCTTAATTTTCCTCTTATATTATCTTACATTTATCCAGAATGCAGTAAACAGAAATCTTCAGCGGATACTAGGACATAAAAATTACGGAAATGTGTTTTTATCATTAAACTTCAGTGCTTTGATTTATGTATCCAGGAACTAAAAACTGGCTGGGAATTTAGCACTGACATAATTTTAAACTAGAATACTTGTTCAGGATAAGTTATACATTTACCAAGTACAATCACATTTGGTAAATACAAACAGGAAAATCTTTAGATAATAGATGATAGATAGATGATAGATAGATAGATAGATAGATAGAATCTAATGTTTGGTTTCTTCAAAGACCTTGAATTGGAAACACCATGCATACATTGCGCTGAAGAAAGAACAATATACCATTAATTAGAGTTAAGAAAATGGTGTTACAATCCTGCTAATAAATAATATGGTCCTGCTAATAAACTTGGGTTGGGCTTGAAACCAAAGACTTTTGAGAATGATAAGCAACATTTCTATGTGTCTTTGCAAATAGACTAGAACCTGAAAAGTGCAGGCCAGTAACATAAAAATGTAACATATTGGCAAAAGGACTTTAAATAATAACACAACTAATTATACATGAAGGCAGATGATATCCCAAAGTACTATCTACTCCAGATCCTCTAATTTCTATTTCCTTAAGAGAAAGTCACCTGTCTCTGCAAGCAATTTTTACCAAAACTTAACTAAAGATGGCACTGTTGTCTCATGTTAACCAGAGGCTAAGCTTCCCAAACATTTATAACAGAAATATTCTCAGTTGAACATAGTTATATTTCAGAACTTACTTTTTATTATGGGTTATAAAGATGTGAATCTTTGGGGAAAATTATGTATTTTATTTCTCACAGAAATGAAATGTTAAATTTAAATGAATAAATGTGGTGATATTTCCATTGAATTCAGGATGTAGACAAAATATTAAATTAGGACACCAATATACTAATGAAATAAATACTTCCTCAACTTATCTTTTTTTTAAAATTTTTTTAATGTTTTATTTATTTCTAGGAGAGAGAGAGAGACAGCGTGAGCAGGGGAGGGTCAGAGAGAGAGGGAGTCACAGACTGAAACAGGCTCCAGGCTCCGAGCTGGCAGTCAGCACAGGGCCCGACGCGGGGCTCGAACCCACGAACCGCGAGATCATGACCTAAGCGAAAGTCGGACGCCTAACCGACTAAGCCACCCAGGCGCCCCAGCCACTCCACTTTTATTTTATTTTTTTTTTATTGATTAGCNGCGAGATCATGACCTAAGCGAAAGTCGGACGCTTAACCGACTAAGCCACCCAGGCGCCCCTTCAACTTCTTGATCTGAAGTATTGATAATGGAAAAATAAGCTTCGTTAATAATTGAAGATGTTAGTAACAATTTTTCTAAAATGCATCATATCCTTAAAGTTGAAGTTTGTAGGTCTTGAGTTGAAAATATAATTGACACATAGAAGCTGACATATGACTATGTTTTTATTTAAACAAATTGGCTGCCTAAAAATCCACATTTATAAACAGGATACTCATTATTCTGAATTCAAAAGCTGCTGAACTTTCATAAATATTGGCCAACATATTCTTTTAAATAGAAAAATTACCTAGTTCATTTTAAGTACAATTCGATTCTGAATTTATTTGTTGGCTACTTTCAGCAACAAATGTATTCTACAATGTAACATGTAATTTAATTTTAGCAGCTGCTCATTAACACGTAAAATTGTCAAATGTGTGTTATATCAAAAAAAAAAGAGGATGAAATTCCTGGAGGCTATTTTTTTCTAGCTAGATGTATAATAATGAGAATATCATTTTGCTGAGGTCCACCAAGTTCTAGGAACTTTACATATATATCTTGAATCTTACAACAACCTTGAAAGAAAGGAGCTATTATTCTAATTTCTCAGGTGATAAATAACTCCGTTTCAGACAGCTTAAGGTATGTTGTCTTTCTCTGTTTTATATGAACTTCGGTTTCTTTTCTTTCTTTTTTTGTTTTTATTGATGTATATTTGGCATACAACATTATATTAGTTTCAGATATACAATGTAATATTTGATATGTGTACATATTGCAAAATGATCACTACCATAAAGCTAGTAAATGTTAAAGAAAACTTAATTCATATTATTGATTTTGTACCATTACCCGACTCTATACATTATACTAGTTCATGAATTATACTACTGTGTTTATTTCAGATATTAATTTTTTAGTGTCTTCTAGAATTTTAACATGTATTCATTAATATACCAAATGTATTAAATATGATAATTTGTCACACTGATTTGTTTACTGGAACTCCATCTGTGGCGGACAACTTGAGGTTGAGAAACTTAACAGATCTTCAGGAAAAATATGATAAGACTACAGAAATGTGTATGTTCCGTAAAGAAATATACACAGTTCCCTAAATAAAGACATTAAATGAGGATAATAAAGACCTGAAATTGGTACCATCATATATTATTATTTCTTCCATTCAAAACACCTTGGTAGAAAATTAACTCCCATTTAAAATCCTAGCTGTTCCAGGGCTCCTGTGTAGCTCAGTTGGTTAAGCGTCTGACTCTTGGTTTTGACTCACCATTCATGAGTTCGAGCCCAACATAGAGCCTGCTTGGGATTCTCTCTTTCCCCACTCTCTCTGTTTCCATCTCAAAAAATAAATAAACTTTAAAAAATATTTAAAAATAAGAATAAATAAATAAACAAAATCCTAGCAGTGCCAGGTACTAGCTATGAGACCATGGAAAACTTCCATAAGCACCCTGTGTTTTAGTGTTCTCTTCTGTAAAGTGTTAATAGTTACAGCATCTCCCTCATAGGTTTATTGTGAGGATTATTGAGTCAATATACCTCCACGAAGCCTCCGACATAAATGTTAGTAGCTACCACCATCAGTACTAAGTCAACTCTACCAGTTAGAAAGCCTCTAAAGGGATAAAAACCGTCTAGTGAAAAGGTTCTGGGCTTTGGAATAAGTCAGACTTAGGTGAAAATCTTTACTCTGCTTCATCCAGCTGTGTAAGTTTAGGCAAATTATTTACAGCATTTAAGCTTCATTTTCTCATGTGTAAAACCATGATGGTGATAACTACTTCCCAAATTTTTGTGAGAATTGAGAATAAAAATATATGGAAAGTACACAGTGCAACAAGAGGTTCATAATAGCACTAGAAAAATCATAATCATAGCAACCAAACTTCTAGATATCTCCAGTGTTTCCTCTTTTTGCTTACAAAATGCAATCACAGTCTCTTCATTTTTTTGTTCAAATAGTAAGTGCTCATTGAACACTTCTGATTTATACATTTTTAACTTTAAATTTTGTCTTTAGGTACTAAAAAATAGAAATAAGAAATTACCACGTCAACATACTGGTATATACTCATTTTTTTCTGTGTGTACCCCTTTTGCTCTCTGAGCCACTCATATATTTTTGAAGAGTAGTGGCAATTGAGGGTCACGGAGGTCCAACAGTTTATGAAGTCCTCATATTAACAATAATGGATTTCTGTAAGGTAAACACAGGAAAGCCTTTCTGCATCTTTCTTTCCCACCCTTCCTGACCTAGAGAAGGAAGGGGAATGGCCTCGAATGGTGAGATGTGCATCAAGTTTTCCTTGCGCTTTGTTCCTCATATTCCTCTGACTAGAACCAGCCTCTCTCAAGCCACACCTTACACTTGATAGTGGTCCTGCAAGTCAGGTGTGTCCAAATCGGAGCTCCTAGGTATCTTCTGAGACACATTCTCCTTCTTACCACTTCCACTTCAAAGCAGGGTTCATGTCTGAGGCATCTGGGGGGGCTCCATTGGCTAAGCCTCTGACTTCCTCTGGGGTCATGTTACCATGGTTCCTTGGTTTGAGCCCCACATCAGGCTCTGCCATGACAAAGCCCAGCCAGCTTGAGATACCTAGTCTCCCTCTCTCTTGCCGCTCCCTTGCCCATGTGCATGCTCTCACTCTCTACCTCTCTCTCTCACTTCCCCTGTTTGGCATTCTTTAGGACTTGGTTGTACAAACTCAAAGTGCCATTTCTTCTTTTCCGAAGTATCCACATTTTACATTCGTTTACATAATCCACACAACTTACCGATACTGGAAACAAATTTCTAATTATTGAAGAAAATATACACAGAGATTTTAAAACCTGAATTTGTCTAGGTGTAAGGGTATTTGCAAGTATTCTGTGCCTTTTTAGATGTTAGAATTTCACCTTGGAGAGTTGAAAAGAAAGCCCTCATTCACTATTCTGACAGCATCGTTCATTGTGGTGCTATCTTTCCTGAGCAACTTAAATGTTTTCACAAATACCTCCTCCTTTATCACTGTGCACTCTTCTATCTTATTGGAATATTATTTAGACACAGGTTTCCCCTGTGAACAAGATCTCCAATTAAATTTAGAGATTTAAATCTGTCTGTTGTTTCCTTTCCATGATTTAAGATGGGATTACCTCTATTGACTCTAAATGATCACGTTCATGCAGTTAGTATTAGCAAGCAAACACGTGAACAGTTTTTGATAATTAGTGAGAATAGGCAATAATAATAATAATGAGTAGCTTCAGTGTATTCTCTCATTCACTCAGTCAACAATAATCGGGGAGTGATTACAGTGTGCATAGTTTGCACTGTGGATAATGTAAGATTGAACAGGCAAGATTCGACAGAACTCCCTGTCCTCAAGGGGATTGTGTTCTAGTAGGAAGTCATGTTGACCCTGGAACAACATTGGGTTGAACTGCATGAGTCCATTTTGTGAATTTCTTTTTCTAATGCATCAAATTTCCTGCTCAGGAATATTGAGAGTAGTTTATATTTGAAAAATAAACCTGAATCTTCTTTCACTAGGAGATTATCCTCTTAAATATTTCAAGGTAATACTTTCTCAACTACTTAGACAATTACAACTTTATAACTAGAAAGGTTTTTGGTACACTTCTTAGATAATCATCAAGTAATACTAACTGGACAAAATATGTTTAAACTAGGCCTAAACCTAGTTTAAACATAAACTATATAAACCAAGTGGTAAAGATTTTGAAACATAATCAATTCACAAAACAGAAAATGCCACTGGATATTAAATACAAAGTAAGCAGTAATGTTTTAATAATTACATGATTAATTTACTATTATATATTTACATAAAATATAAAATGCACGAATAACACTTAGGGTTACATACCTTTGCTATCATTTTTCTCCATTTCTTTTAGTGCTTGAACAAATGTCAGCTGACTTTCAGTGAGAGGCCAACTGTTATACAACACCAAACACTGTATAATGTACTTGTTAACCTGTGATATATAATGTAATGTTTAAGCACAAACAGTAAGAATAAACAAGTATAAGTCTAATAATTTATTCATTTAGGTACATAATAAATGCATTTTTCTGGATTGAATAATCACAATTTGATTAAACATTATCAGATGTTCTCCAAAATTTTGTAATGCCAGTCTATAAAATTTATCCTCACCTCCCCCACCAACAACCATTATCAATAATATCAATATCAACCTAGTATCAATAAGTTTTGCATCCGTGTTTAACAGTGAAACATTTATTTTACTTTTGTTACTTATCAATATCAGAATCAGAATTACATTAATCTCTTAAGAAAGACTGGGAACTTTGTATTGTTTTTCTGTTTTCTAGAACAGTTTATTCTTCAGAAGTCTATTAGATCTATCCTGTGAAGCCAGCTGAGTCTGTGACTTTTGGAAAGGAAAAACTTTGATTATCATTTCGGTTTTATTATTCTTTATTATTATTATTTCGTATTTTCTATTTTCTGTTGAAGCAGCGTTGACAATCCTCTCTCACTCCTGGAACTTTTTGTCCTAGGTTTTAAATTCACTAGCATAGAGTTGTGTGTAATAGTTTACAGGTTTTTTAATTTCTAAAACTGTTTCTTGCAGTTATACCTCCATCTAGTTTTGGTTCTGTATTTGATTTCTTTTTATTTCATTTTATTTTTCTTTTTACAAGAAGCATGTTCACTTACTAATTTTAAAAATGCTTAGGGTTCATGAATCTTGCTAAATTTTGTTTCTCATTTTATGAATTTTTACCCTCACTTTTATTAAAACGTTTTCTTATGTTTTCTTTGAGTTATTCTTTGGCACTTTTTCTAACTGTTTTGTTTCAATAGCTTAGCTCATTTGTTTTGAATCATTCATTCTTCCTAATGAATTAATTTAAAAGTGAACATCCCACTGAATGCTGTTTTAGATGTGGCTATAAATTTTTATTTGTATTTTCGAGTTGTTACTGCGTTCTTTGTATTCATGGTTTCTTTTGTGATGTTCTTTGTAACTAAAGAACTATTTAGCGTATTTTAGTTTGTTTCCACATTTATGGGAATTTAGGCTGTTATTTACTAACTTCTATATTATTGCACTATGTTCAGATAACACCTATATAATATGGTTTGATTTTTATTGAGGCCTCCTTTATGTGTTATGAAAAGTATAGTCTCAGTTTATTAAGGGAAGTGTTCTATATAAATATCTCAAGAATTAAGCTTATGCTTAAAACTTTCAAACCCTAGGGATCATATATGTTTTTTGAGCTTGGTCTATTGGTTTCATAGAGTTGTATATTCAAGTCTTCACCTGTGAATTAACCTTGTTTTTGTCTGTAGTCCTAAACCATTTTTGCTTTTTCTTCATTGAGTCTTGATACTTAGGTTATGTTATATGTTAGTTATGGTCATTTTTACTTGCTATATTCTTCCTTTTATTTGTATACAATATCCTTCATGAATTCTATGTGCTGAGATATTGATGTATCATCACAGTTCTCTCAGTTCAACTTTAAACTTTCTGTGCCCTTTTGCTTAAAAGTGTCACTTTTAGATTACTTATAGTTGGATCTTATTTTTTAATCTAATTTTAGTTTTTTCTTTTAATTGATTAATAATTTGTTTTTATTTATTGTAATTAGATTAGGATTTATTTCTGGTTTTTTATTTTATTTATTTCTTATTTATTTATTTATTTTAGTTAGTTTCCAGTGGATAGATTATGTTTTTTATTATTTTTAATCTTAATTTATTTTTGAGAGAGGGAGAGAGACAGAGCACGAGCAAGGGAAGGGCAGAGAGAGAGGGAGACACAGAATCCGAAGCAGGCTCCAGGCTCTGAGCTGTCAGCACAGAGCCCGACATGAGGCTCGAACTCACAAACCGTGAGATCATGACCTGAGCCAAAGTCAGAAGCTTAACCAACTGAGCCACCCAGGCGCCCCAGATTATTTTTCCTTCTATTGCTTTAAATTATGTGAATTGTCATATATATATACACACATATATATATATGTATATATATATACACACACACACTTAAGTCACATACAAATATATATATTTGTATGTCATATATATATTTATATATATATAACCTTAAGTCACATACAAATTAGTTTTTATTAATATAAGACCTTTCCCAAATTATAGAGCCTCATAACTCATACGTAACATAATATTTTTAGATCTACATTATAGGGTTAGTATATATATTAAATTTGCTATATATTTAAAAAAATCCCTGCACAGAGAAACTATTAAATAATGTCAAGTTCCTTAATTATGCTTATACTGGTGGCATTACACTAGTGGCACTGCATATAGAAAGAATCATATACAGTGGGGGCTGGGTGGCTTAGTCAGTTAAGCGTCCGACTTTCACTTGGGTCATGATCTCGTGGTTCGTGGGTTCGAGCCCTGCGTCGGGCTCTGTGCTGACTGCCGGCTCAGAGCCTGGAGCCTGTTTCAGTCTGTGACTCCCCCTCTCTCTGACCCTCCCCTGCTCACGCTGTCTCTCTCTCTCTCTCTCCTAGAAATAAATAAAACATTAAAAAAATAAGTTTAAAAAAAAGAAAATCATATACAATTCACTGACAGTTTTTATGGAGAGAATTATTATAATTTTGTCAGATTTTTAGAAGCAATACCATTCATTGAATGATTCTCTTAAATGTAAATATACCTGCTGTGGCATGCTAGCATTTTCTTCTATGGTGGGCACACTGGTAGTTTCCTCATCCAAAATAGGCTGACCAGAGTCTACCATTGCACTTGCAGGTCTACCCCTATAGGATTTCTGACTTCCTAGGGCAGATTTCTTCTTAATGTACAATTCTTGCTCCTTCTTGGGTGAAGTATGCATTGTGAGAATTTGCTTGCTAGCTGAAGAGGAGAAATATCACGCTTAAGTTAAAATGTGTGAAATGCATAGTTATGACTGACTGTGCTATTTAGGTATATCCTTTTACAAGACACTCAGAGGAATAGGTTAATTTGTTTTGTTTTAATGAGAAAAAAAGCAACATCACTGGCTTTGGAAATATGGTGTTAAACGAACTTACCACAATAACATGTGACTTGTATAGAGCAATGCATATTCTAAGCAACGACTGATTACATTAATTATGTTATATCAACAAAACTGAGCCTTATACAGCCATATGAAATAAAATATTTTACTATCCCTAGTCCAAAATACATCCCCAAGGACCCAGTTTCTTAGACTGTAAATTTTGTGGGAAATTACACATTGTATATTAACCTTATAGCATGAGTACTGGTAAAGATCTTGTTCCTGAAAATTCTATGAACTGTATTGACATTCTTTAAAATTCCCAGGAGATAAAGCAAAAACCTGAAGAGACCTAGGTTTAAGATTTGTTACTGGGTCACTTCAAAGCCTTCTACATCTTTGCAATGGAGTTTATTTCTTTAGTGGCCACAAATACCGTAGAAGAGTTGCACATAAGTGCCTGCTGGCATTTTGGAATTAAGATATCCCTGCATGAAGAAAACTATGAAATCTGTGTAAAGTGGATTAGAGTGAAGAAAACAGAACCAATTTAAAGAGTAGGAGCATCATTCAGACTAGCAAAATTTAATGGTCCTCTGATGGTCTTCACGTACCAGAAAGAAGATATAAATGGAGAGCAGGCAGATTTGAATGAAAAACCACACGTAGTAATGTGAACTGAGTACTGAAAACAACTGTGGGTATATTCAGGGATGAAGGTCAAATAATGGCAGCAAAGGAAACAGGATCAAAAGAATTGCTTAATTTGTAATTTCACTCAAGTTCGGCCTTACTAATCTAATATAGTACAGTTCCTAGTCTCCTGTATCTATCTAAAGCACTACATTTGTGCCATCACAGTGTAGAGTCTTCAGTTCTCTGCTCCTTGAAATTTTTGCTCATATTGGAAAGGAATATCCCTAAACTACCATGACAACTTGCACATTGTTTCCAGGCTTAATAAAGGAAAATAAAGAGAGGCCTTCTTTGGGTGCATCTATTTTAAAAAAGAAAGAAAAGAAAAAAACATACAAACAATAGAATATAGGTAAAAAGTTCTTTTTAGTAAGTTGCTTGCACACTTAAGATAAGCACTATTGGGAATGAGAGTTCAGGAAGGATGCTGGCTACAAATTGTTATGCAAAGGTCAACTATAAGATATAGTCAATTATTTAAAAAAAAACACAATGGCAGTATTCAGGAAAAGCACAAGGGATTTCTTGTTTTCTTGTTTATAACTTTCTGTTTCAAAATTTTCTACACTGGGAAATGTATTATCTTTATGGTCAGAATCAAGTTACTAAAATAACTGAATATATTCCTCAGTAACTCTGTTTTCCATTATTTCAGAAACAATTTTACTTTATGAATTAATAGTTCTTGTGACTATTACATTGAAAGTAATAACTTCAAAACTTCTGTTAATTTTAATACATAAGAGTATTTTCTAAAAATAATGAATGAAGGATAAAAGAACAGTGGAAACTTTTAAAATAATAAAAAATATTTCTTATTCAGAATTCTAAGAATTATATTATAATTATCTAATATCTTCAGAGACTAATTACACACAAATGCAATCAATGTTTTTAAAAACATTTTACTATAATTTCAGGTTTTACAGATTTAATGTTTATTTAATATTTTCTCTTAAATAAACCATTTAAAAATCAGTTATGTGAACATAAATATCCACTTATGGATCTAAATAACAAATTTAAAAAAAAAAAACACTTACATTGGGAGCTCACAGTTTTTTCACTCCCCAAGAAGTTAATTGCTGGGATTATAGCTTGGCCTTTCCCAGTAGAGCTGACAATAGTTTCTTCATTTTCTAAGATCTGTAGCTTGATGAAAGTATCTGATTTAGACGTGCGTACCTGCACTGTAACAGGATGTGGTGAAGCAACTTTAACTGAATACCTATAAGGAAAAACATTTGACTTGTAAGCAATTTATTGATCTCCCCTTTAAGTCAGTAAAAGAAACTGTATAATCAGCTGATATGATAATCTAAAAGTAAAACCATTTTGTAAAATTGATCCAAAACCTAAAAATATTACTGCTGTTGTAGACTTTGACAGAAGATCTCAATATACTACGGTAAAATGAAATAGGTATAGGACATTTATTAACATCAATTCCCAAACAGGAAATGCAACTTTTTGTTTGTATATGATAAGCACTTATAAAACATGATAGATCTGCAAACCACTGACACATCAGAGCTTTCCATTATACCCTCCTCTCCTGTTGGACAACAGCATCCTTCAAAGCTTCATTGTTTACTATGTTTTCTTTGACTCATAGAAATACAGAGAAATCAAAATTAGTACCCACCGCCTATACTCTTGACCATGCAGGTTAGGAACCTTTTACAAAAAGAAAAAATGTGTAGTATATTGCTATCCAAACCTCTCCCTTACTGCTACTGAGGAGGTTCTTGGTGTGTTTTTTTGTTTGTTTGTTTCTTTTATCTTGGTTTATTTTTTATTTTTTGGTTTTGTTTGTTTTGTTTTTGTTTGTTTTTTTACTATTTTAGGTGAATCTTCATAAATGTTCAGGACCCTATCAACTTCCAATTTGTCTATAAATTTGCTTTTCTGTGTATCCTTTTTCTCCTGTATCTTAAACCTCCTCCTTATTTTTTTTTAAGTTTATTTCTTTTATTTATTTTGAGAAAGAGAAAGAGAGGGAGAGTGAGCATTGTTGCCTTTAAGGTGAAATCTAAATCTCTTGCCTTATGAGGCCCTTCAGGAAAGGGCTCTTCCAACCTCTCTGGCCTTACTGCTTGCCATCGCCCCCTAGAACTCCACTTTGCAAACAAATATCTTCAGTTCCCTGAAAAGGTTACACACTCTTTAATTTCTGAAATCTCACATATGCTTATGAGGCAGTTCCCTCCACACCTTCCCCCCACTCTGCTTGACAGCTTTGGGACCAGCTTGTAGGACTAATTTAGGTATTGGGTTAAATACCACTTCTTAGTCTATTAGTGGTCCTGCAATGTGATACAATGGTTTCCTAACAGAGTAGTTAAAATATCTTATCACAATTGTTATTTTTAATTGCTGGTATATTTTCCTCCTACTTATTTCCTTTATTCCCTTGCTTTCTAATAGCCAATATGCAGATATAGGACAAGAGGTAGATGGATTAAAAAGAGAATTTTTGCTCCTTCTATTACCTTCAGTTCACATGTTTTCTTTTAGTATTCTTTCTAAACTTTTACCTAAATGTAAAGTATATAAAGAAGTATAAAAATAAAACATATGCTTGAGATATACTATATACTGTTCTGTAATTTAATTTTACTACTGAATATTTTACATTGCAAAAATGTATGCATGTTTTTTAAAAGAAAAAAAGTTTTAAAATAAAAATAAATAAAGGGGCACATGGATGGTTCAGTCGGTTAAGCATCCAACTTCAGCTTAGGTCATGATCTTGCAGTCCATGCTCTATGCTGACAGCTCAGAGCCTGGAGCCTATTTCAGATTCTGTATCTCCTTCTCTGTCTGCCCCTCCCCTGCTCACACTCTGTCTCTCTGTCTCTCTCTCTCTCTCTCAAAAGTAAATAAACAATTTTTTAAGTAAAATTTAAAAAATTGTAATACAAATAAATAAGAATTAGAGGCAAAAATCAGCCAGAATACAATAAATTATATTTGTGCATATATTGTCAAATAGACTTAGGTGTTTCTTTTTTTTTTTTTTTTTAAGTGTTTTATTTATTTCTAGGAGAGAGAGAGAGAGACAGCGTGAGCAGGGCAGGGTCAGAGAGAGAGGGAGTCACAGACTGAAACAGGCTCCAGGCTCTGAGCTGGCAGTCAGCACAGAGCCCAACGCGGGGCTCAAACCCACGAACCGCGAGATCATGACCTAAGCGAAAGTCGGACGCTTAACTGACTAAGCCACCCAGGCGCCCCTTAGGTGTTTCTTTAAAAGACAAATTTACCAATACATATCAAATCTTTAAAACATATAATCTCTTCAAAATAATAAATATTTATACAATAATCAATAATTTACTTTAATATTTATAATAAAATGTGCCTATCCTATCTCTATTAATAGTGTGGCAAATATAGACACGTGAAATTTGTACTAAAAACAAAAAATTACCACAAATTGTTGTATATTCATACAAATGATTACTATGTAATCAATAGTTTACAAAATGTCTTAATGGCACTGGGAAGTAAGTACACTGTAATGTTAAATAAAAAGGTCATATTATGGGGGCACCTGGATGGCTTAGTTGATTATCTGACTTCAGCTCAGGTCATGATCTCACAGTTCTGAGTCCCAGCCCCACACTGGGCTCACTGTTGTTAGCACAGAGCCCTCTTCGTATCCTCTGTCTTCCTCGCTCTTCGCCCCTCCCCCACTCACTCTTCTCTCAAAAATGAATAAACATTTATTTTAAAAAATCAGGTTACAAAACTTAAATTATGCTATGCTTTTAATAATGATAAACTGTGACTAGAATAAAAGACTCTAAGAAAATACAATAGGTTACTAACAGTGATCGTTTCTAGGTTGTTTGATTACAGGTGACATTTACTTCCTTTTTCTTAAAGTTTATTTATTTTTACTTTGAGAGAGAGAGAGAGCACATGCAGGGGAGGAGCAGAGAGAGAGGAAGAGAGAGAGAGTCTCAAGTAGGTTCTGTGTTGTCAGCGTGGTGCCCAATGTAAGGCTTGAGCTTATGAACTGTGAGATCATGACTTGAGCCAAAATAACAAGTCAGATGCTCAACCGACTGAATCATCCAGGTGCCCTACTTCCTTAATAATATACTTACATATTTATAATTAGCTGTAGTCAAGCCCAGAGCCTTGTGTATCTAGAGGCCTGTGTATCTCTGGCCGCAGTCACTGAAGGACAATATGTCAGCACCTATCTGGTGGCCAAAAAATGCCAATTTCAGGTATTTCCCTCCTGTCATATACTTATACCTGAATAAAATTTTCTTATCATTGGGTATGTAGTAATCTCTGATTTCCTTTATGGTGAAGCTATTGGATGGGGAGTCTCGAGATAGGCATGGGAGTGGAGTATAAGAGCCAATGAGGCGTAGTTTCCATCGTGAGGACAATACGTATGTGTCACCAGTAAATGCTTCAGCCACGAATGTGTAGCCTTTCTAGAGGAAAGAATTAGACAGAAGTAAGTCATACCATTACTGGTCTCTCAAATGTACAACATATGGCTTCACAGTATTAAATGCTTTATTACCTTGATATATGTAAATATCCTAGACCTCTTGATAAACGAAAATTACTAGCATTAGGTTTTGAAATCCCTTTTAGAAAGTCCCATCTTACAAGTTTTCGGAAAAGATGAGGAACTCTAACACTTCTGTTTGTTTGGTTCCCAATCTATAACACAAAGTGTGTAACTCTGGTAAAGGATTTCTTTCCTTCAATTCTTTTAATGCTTCCTTAGGCAGATTTTTATTATCACATCATCCTAGAGTATCCCAATAACCTCCTACTTGATTTCCCTGTTTTTTATTTACAAGGTGAGAAAAGCAGGAGTGCTCAAGGCATTCCCTTGAAATGCCAAACTGCAGTTAAGCTATCAAGTTAGTAGCAGATATGGTTGCAGGGATCCCACGTGTGAGTATGGGAATGAGCTCTTCAGGTTGCAGAAAGAAGCAGCTGAGAAACCTGGAGTGACATCATAGTGGGTAATAACTCGGTTCTACATAATTGGCTGTCCAAGCAGACCAAAATGTCAGTGAAGCAAGAGCATGATATCATAATGAGATATGTTGTGATGTTCAAAGCAATTCTGAGTTTATAATTCCAGACACTTCTTTTTTTTATTTTTTTAATGTTTATTTATTTTTGATAGAGAGAGGGAGAGTGTGAGTCGGGGAGGGGCAGAGAAAGAGGGAGACAAAGAGTACGAAGTAGGCTCCAGGCTCTGAGCTGTCCGCACAGAGCCCAACATGGGGCTTGAACTCTCAAACTGTGAGATCATGACCTGAACTGAAGTTGGATGATCAACCTACTGAACCACCCAGGTGCTCCAAGACACTTCTAATAAGGAAGAAAAATATAGATTTGGATTCCTTGCTTCTGATGCAAAGGACACTCTTTGAAGTGTTTAAATTTCCAGAAACAAAAATAAGAAATACATAAGACAGAATGAATTCAACACATTGCAATAAACATCTAGGAATATTAACCAGAATTATAATACTCATGAGATGAGAATTGTTACACCAGTGAAAACCTTTTGACATTATATTTGGGGCAAGGAACTAAAAGAAGATAAATCATATATGCTAAAGTATTTTTACCTGCAAAGTATAATGCACAGATTTATTGTTGTTTTCATTATTATGTGAGTTTGTAGTACTAATGCATTAAGGAAACAAAACAAAATTATATGACTCTGATTTTGTGTTTGTCTAGGCTCAGAAAATAATTTTAAGAAGGAAAAAGAGAGCTATAAAATAGTAGGATAGATATGGGTAAGTGAAAGTCTAAAGCTAAACCAGTAATAGGCCTTTAAGAGAGAACCTGAATATTCTAAACAACTTCAAGACTTCTGAGTAACAGTAACATAATATTTAAATATTTGCAAAAGACACATATAATAAAGGACCATTATCCAAAATATACAAAAACTCTTAAAACTCAACAATAAGAAAACAAGCAATTTGGTTTAAAAAAAAAAATTAACAGACATCTCACCAAAGAAAATACACAGATGGCAAATAAGCACAAAAAAAGGTGGTCCACATCCTACTTTATCAGAGAAACTCAAACAACTATGAGATACCACTACACACCCATTACAACAGTGAAGATCCACAACACTGGACGTATCAAATGCTGATGAGGACATAGAGGAACTCTCATTCACTGCTAGTGGGAATAAAAAATGATGCAGATACTTTGAAGTGTACTGTGGTGGTTTCTTACAAACTACACATATGCTTACTATTCAGTCCAGCAATAGTGCTCCTTGGTATTTACAGAGAAGAGTTGAATTGTGTCCATACAAAAACCTGCACACAGATGTTCTTAAGTGCTTTAGCCAGAGTTGCCATGACTTGGAACCAGCCAAAATGTCCTTCGGTAAGTGAATTGATAAACTTTGATACATGCAGACCATGGACTAGTGTTATTAAAAAGAAATGAGCTATTAAACCAGAAAAAGACATGGAAAAAATGTAAATGCATGTTTTTAAGTGAAAGAAGCCAATCTGAAAGGATTATATACTATAAGATTCCAATTCAATGACATTCTGGAAAGCAAATCTAGGCAGACAGAAAAAAGGTCAGGGATTGCAAGGGGCTGGAGGAGGGAGAATACATAGGCAGATCACAGAGGATTTTCATGGCTGTGAAAACACTCTTTCTGACACCATAATGATGGATACATGTTATTTTACATTTGTTCAAACCCACTTGAATGAACAGCACCATCACGGAACCATAATGTAAACTATAAGCTTTGGGAGGTTATGATGTGTCATTGTAGAGTGATCAGTGTAATAAATGTGGCACTCTGGTGGGTCTTGTTGATACTGGGGGAGGTTATGCATGTGTGGGGGCAGGACAATTATGAGAAATCTCTGTACTTGCCTGTCGATTTTGCTGTGAACGTAAAACTGCTCTTATTTATTGTTACTAAAACTTGTAATGAAGTCTTAAAAATTTTTTATTCATATTTTTAAGCCCTAAAACTACTCAAAAGAGCTGTTAGGTTTTTTTTTATGGAGTTAGTATTTTTAAAAAATTTACTATTCACTCCTATAAACTAGTATTCATGTTTTAATTTGTGCAAAATAATTCACAGAATTGTAGGCTGAAATGAACTTTCAAAGTCAATTACAGCCATAGCTCAAAAAGAAAGATGAAGAGGTACAAAATCATCCAGCCAAAGAATGAAGGATTAGAAAAAAAATGTCCCAACTTGCAGAGTAGGTATACACTACCTTTCGTTATCCTTCCCTCTTAGAGAAAATAGCCAAAAACACAAAGATGAGATTCAAATAGAGAGGCAACATGATTTGAGTGATCATCAGAGATTAAAGTTTACCATCCAGCAGGAATAAGGTGTCAAGTGTGTTTTAAGGAAATTTTGTAGCCCTAGAAATCCCCAGGGGTGGTGGGTAAGGAGTGGCCATGTAATCACAATCTTCTGAAATATTTAGGGATAGAATAAAAATCCAGAGGGAAACTGAGGCAACCCGCTGATTTGATCAAATAACAGGACTAAATGAATCCTTTAGCTCCATTTCCATTTTAAGAGTTTATATGATTTTATGACTTTAATAAGAATTTCCAATGCTTTACTTTGGTCATACTTTCTTTGGAGAGAAGAAAAAATGAGAGCTGAGAGGCAAATGTTCTAGCACTCACGTTAAGTACATAAGGCTGTCAAATAAATGGGGCTTTTGTAGAAAAAGACCAGGACCCTTATTCCTCTCTTAAGTAGATTGAAAGCACATCTGGTCTACCTTCTCCTGGAATCTTACAAGGTGCTGACTTCTCACTGTTATTGTATCATATGGGGAGAATACATTTTCACCTACCTTATTCTTGGTATAATGATAAGGCACCACTTTTTGGAACACCTTTGGCACTTGTTCCATTGTGTCATTATTAACAATATGCAGCATGCAGACTGGAAGCGTGGTATATACTTTGGGAAGCAAAATCATGTCTTGAGGAACCAAAAATGTTTCTCTGTAATTACAAAAGCATGAACTTTCTCTTGACATGAATAGTAAAATGAGTTTGAAATTAGATTTAATGCCAAGAAATAAAAAAAAGTAAGTATAAAGTTTCAAATAACAAAGTGTACATATTTGTTTTTTAGTTATTAATATACTTTGCCATATAAATGCAAACCCTTTAAAAATCCCATTCTATAAGTAACTTGTGGCTTTTACCTAATAATATTACTTAAAAATGAAATTATTTATTTCTATATAGGAAGCACGTCTATTTATTATATTTTTATAATACACATAAAATTTCTAATAATTAACTTCATATTCTTCATATTTTATTTAAAGAAACATGGATAAAAATTCCTATAATATCTTAATAATGTGTAGCAGGTGGGAAGAAGTGCTAACTTGTGAAAGCAACCTATAAGTTTGTATTTTCACTACTAACCATAAATAAAACTATACATATGAATATTGCATGCCATTCAAAGTTCACATCATATGACAATTTATGATAGCCTCACCTGAATACTATAAACCAACTATTTGGTGGCTGGTCTGCATAAGTCACAGTATAGTCAGCAAAAACAACTTTAGTTTCTTCATCTTGATAGCATGGATAAGATTCAACAGACTTGCACTTGCTTTTAAACATTAGTCTAGAAATGTAAAAATAGTTTAAGTTGCAACGACAAAGGTAGCTTCTAAAATAAACTTTATTTCCAAAAATAAATAGGCAACATAGCAAAAAATACCACAGTCTGCTGTTGGCTGGATTGAGTCCTTAATCAAAGGCTGAGGACTCATGCATGGTGCATGGCCCCCAAGTAGGGGAGCCCACTCCAGGTCAACCATGAAGGATGTCTCTCAATGATCTCTAAAGCTATCTGAAGTTCTTAATCAAAGGTGAACTTAATTCATGATTAAGAAAGTAATTAACATTTCTGGGTAGGAAATCAGCACCAAAACTCAAGCTATAAGGGTAGGAAAAAGAGGAACAAGAAAAGTAGCAATAAAACTGGGTGCAGGTCACTGAAAGTCTGGAAATGACATAAGGAATTGATACCAGAATATAGTTTAAAGTAAGGAATGGGAATGCTCAAAACAAACTGAGGGCTGATGGGGTTGGGGGTGAGGGGAAGGGGGGTGATGGGCATGGAGGAGGGCACTTTTTGGGATGAGTACTGGTTGTTATATGGAAACCAATTTGACAATAAACTATTAAAGAAACAAATAAAGTAAGGAATGGATTTGCAAAGAAGGATTCAAACAAACAAATAAAACACTAAGGACATGAACAAAGGGAGAATGTCAGAGTTTTCCTTCTGGATTTCTGGCCCAGAAGAGTATGGTGTATGCAACTGGCTAAAAGAATTATGGGTAGAGGTTTCTCTATGTTTCCTCCTGGAAGGCTGTGGCATATCTCAGAGCATGATGAAAGTGATGTGAACGATCCTTATGTCCTTACCCTCCCACTCTGCTAGGAACTGGATCTAGCTTCAGTAGCACCAGGAATCTAGGGTCATTGGAATAATGCCGATGGAATTAGCTGGAATGGAAGCCATCATGGCTATAGAAAATGGTTCTGTGTTAGAGCTCTAGGCAGAACTAGAGGTTTTCTTGTTCTCCAGAAGGCAGACGAGTTACCTGTACTGTCAGTGAGAAGCAAAGCCATGGAGAGTTTTATGGGGGTAGGATCCACATGTTTCATTTGATCATTGGTCTTTGATGATGGGAGAAAATTGATAGATTTGCCCTTGGGGGAGTTGGGAGCCTTTTAGGTAGTCATGAGAACCAAGATTGACCACATATCCTGGTTTGCCTGGGGCATCCTGGTGTATGCTCATAATCCTGACATAATTATTAATAGTGGTTCCTCTGTTTCTTTTGGAAAAGTATCCCAGCTCAAATGACAAAGACCCCGATCACCTTAACTAAGAACTATATGTGATGGTCTTTCAATGCAGAGCACCACTGCCAATCACACAGGAACTGGCCTAACCCAAATGTGGGTGTTTGCTGACCCAAAGCAGCAGCTAAGCAGGCTACCTCGGGAATTGACTGCAATGGGACCAGCCACCATTCTAAGATAATTCCAGCTACTATTCCCATTATACATTTCACACTTTTTCATAAACCTTAGGATATTCTAATGCATATAGGGCCATCAAAATCCTGATATACTGTATAGGATATCTTCAATGACCGGGAGAAATATTCCTGACAGACTTGAAAGATTTTAACTTTGCATCCTAGGACAGGAAGAAAGTTATATCCATAAACTGAGCCTTGCCTATAGTTCACTTGAGGAAGTTTTGCCCCTTAAGATCTCAGGATGTAAGCCTAAGCTCCAGGACCTCAAAGTTTCTCATTCAGTAGTAATAATAAAGCAGTATTGATAATAGCTAATGTTCTGTAATGACTCAATTTGTTGCTTGTGCTAAGTACTTTTCTTATGTTACTCTAATTTATCTTTACATCCTTATAAAGGAATAGTACATGAGGTACATATTTTCCCTATATTAAAATTATTTCCCTATATTAAATATTATTAATAAAATTTTAATTTTAACTTCAGAAAGAATAAGAGACTTTACCCCAGGTTACACATCTGATGATTAGTATAGCTGTGGTTAGTATTAGGTCTTATACTGAAAGATGGGCTTTTGACCAAATAAGAGAATCCAGCTAGGATGAGGAGGTAGCTTTGGATCACCCCGTATTTAAATTTAAAGATCAGTCAGCCATATCAGTTTCATCCATCTGAAAGATGTGGGTCTAGAACTCAAACTATGGAAGAGTATGACCTCTGTATTGGATATTCACTGAATTTCTAAGAAATGCTCTTGGCCATGGTGGAAATAGCACCTGGAGAGAATAGGAGCCCCCGATATAGTTCTTCTTCTGTTTCAGAGACACCTACACCTCAAATACATCAACTCCCAAATAAGGTAGCTTATGTTTTTGACACTTCGTTTACATGAAAACTACATGGAATTTCTGGCCCAGAGATCTCCACAGTGCAAAGGCAGGTTAGAGAAGAAGGGTTGTGTCCTTTCTTCGTGTCCATTCAACTGGAATCTTAGGCAAAAGAGTTGCCCTTTTTAATACTTTTATTGTTTATTTATTTTTGTAAGAGACAGAATGTGAGCGGGGGAGGGTTAGAGAGAGAGAGAGAGAGAGAGAGAGAGAGAGGGAGACACAAAATCTGGAACAGGCTCCAGGCTCTAGGCTGTCAGCACAGATCCAATGCAGGGCTTGAACTCATGGACTGTGAGACCATGTCCAGAGTCAGACACCCAACCCACTGAGCCATCCAGGCATCCTGAGAGTAGCCCTTTTAGAAAATATGTGCTGGAGCAAAATGTTAGTCAAGCTGGATGGTCAGGTATTGACAGTATCTGTGAGCCAGGATTAGGGTGCAGTGAATGAGACTCACTCTCAGAGTTACACAAACACTATAAAGATTTGGATTTATTTTCTGTGTTTAAAATTTTGATATTTGGTCCACTGTGAAATTTTTCTCATTATTTTTAGGTTATTTAAAATTTTTATATATTTTCATACATAATTTTCTATTGGTCTCTTACTATAAGTGGAAATCCAATTGTTATTTTATATTGACTTCATATCCAGCAACTTTGCTTAATTCTGTCATTAATTCTAATAATTTTTCTGCAGATTTTTTAAAAAACTTTCTACATATACAGTCTCATTATCTATAAACAGTGGCGGTTTTATGTTTTCCCTTCAAATACTAATAACTTTTATTTTGCTTTATTGCCATTTTGTGCTTCTCAGAATTATTCGAGGATTATCTTGAATGGAAGTAGTCAGGCAGACGTTTTTGTCTCATTTCTAAAGTTGAGAAAAAGCTTTCAAAATTTTACCACTAATCATGTTTGTAGTAAGTTTTGAAAATACTGGATACCAATAACACATTAGTGAAAGACTTCTCCAGTCTAATTTTTCTAAAAACAAAAAAAAAAATTTTCAATTTGTGTTAAATACTATCAAATGTTTTTTTTCCCTTAACCTATCTGCAGGACCAAATGATTTTTTTCATTTCCCTGTTAATGCAATGAATTAAAATGACAAGTTTTCTAATGTTAAACCACCATTTTATGTCTAAGATTGGGAGACCCACTTGATTATAAGATATTATGCTTTTTATTTAATTCCAATGTTGATTTGCTAATATTTTATTCCATATTTTTGCACCTATTAAAAAAGGTGATTATGGGGTGCCTGAGTGGCTCAGTCGGTTGGATGTCTGACTTCGGCTCAGGTCATGATCTCACGGTTCGTGGGTTTGAGCCCCGCATAGAGCTGTGTGCTGACAGCTAACTCAGAGCCTGGAGCCTATTTCAGATTTTGAGTCTTGCTCTCTCTCTCTGACCCTCCCCTGCTCATGCTGTCTCTCTTTGTCTCTCAGAAGTAAATAAAACATTAAAAAATAAGTGATTGGATGGCAATTTCAAGAGGGTGATTGGTTTGCAATTTCATTTTCTTTCTGCCTTTGTTGAATTTTTTATTTTTTTTAATTTTTTAATTTTATATTTTTATTTATTTCTAGAGAGAGAGAGAGAGACAGCGTGAGCAGGGGAGGGTCAGAGAGAGAGGGAGTCACGGACTGAAACAGGCTCCAGGCTCTGAGCCGGCAGTCAGCACAGAGCCCGACGCGGGGCTCGAACCCACGAACCGCGAGATCATGACCTAAGCGAAAGTCGGACGCTTAACCGACTAAGCCACCCAGGCGCCCCTGTTGAATTTTTTAAATCAAGATTATGAATTGGTTAATGTTTCCTCCTTTTCTGTTCTCTAGGAGATTTGTGAGATTAATCTTATTCTTCTTACAATCATTAGTTTTTTCATTAGCATATTGCTAGAAAGGATACTAGGCATCCCTCCCCTGTTAGAGTTTCATCTGAATTATTACTTATACCATTTCTGAAATAATGCTATAACATTAGAACTCTTTAAAACCTTTTACCCAATTTCTACATTTTTCATTGCTAAGGTCATGAAATTTACTCGTATATGTAGCTATTGGTTGATTGCCCTTTGAAGATAATATGCATTAAATTTCTGGCTCTTTGAAGGTTTTTCTCTCAGCCTTTGTTTTTCAGTGGTTTGACTACTGTGAGTCTAGATGTTCTTTTGTTTGTATCCTTTCTGCATGGGGTTTGCATGCAGAGTCTCCAGAAAAAAAATGAGTTCATGTGTTTTAGGAGTTTGGGAAAGGTCTCAGCCATTATCTTTTTACATTCTGGGGCTACAATTACAATAGCAAACTTTCTGAACATATTCCACATGTCCCTTATGCTCTTTTCTTATTTCCTACTCACTTTCCTCTATGCTTCAGTTTGGATACTTTTCTATTGCTCTGTCTCCAAGTTCAAGTTCACCAAGCTTTTCTTCTGTTCTGACAAATCTTCTGTTAAACCCACCAAAAAGGTTTTTTTAAGTTTATTTATTTTGAAAGAGAAAGAGGGGAAGAGGGGCAGATAAAGGGAGGAAGAGAGAATCCCATTCCCTGCACTGTCAGTGCAAAGCCTGATGCAGGGTTCGATCTCATGAAATTTGAGATCAGAACCTGAGCCAAAATCAAGAGTTGGACACTTAACCGACTCAGCCACCCTGGTGCCCCAAATCCACTAATAAGTTTTAATATTAGTTGTTAAAATCTTCATTTATGTTATTTCTATTTGACTGTGCTTTATTAATCTAAATATTTGATCTATTTTCTCCATATTCTTTATTTTCTTTGGCATTTCCATTATAGTTAACTTTTGAGATTTTGTTCACTAACTCCAACATCACCAGGAGGTCTACTTTTATGTGTGTGTGTACGTGTGTGTGTGTGTGTAAATCATATATATTATTATTTCTCTTAGTTTTGTTCAGATTATCATGTCTCTCAGATATGGTTTGTGGCTATAGTACAGTTTAGCTGAGGCTCGGTCTACTTTTGGTTTACCTCTATTTTTAGAGTGTTGACCTCCAGAGATTTCAAATGACAACTGTAATTGTTTTCTGGAATCCCCTCCCCCAGAAACTCTGACCTTGGTCATCTCCACACCACAGACTTCAAGAAACTTTGCTCAAGAGAGCAGAGGCTTTCTGCCTAGAGTTTTAGTTAAGTATAATTAAGACAAACAAAAAAAAGTAAGCAGCATAGAAATGTTTCAGAAGTATTGTAGAAGTTCAGAAGCAGTAGTATGTGATTAGGAAAATTCAATGAAAGTGGTCACATTTGAACAGGAACTTACAGGACACAAAGATCCTGTAATTAAAAAAATTCATTATATTGCTTTACCTTAAGAGAGAAACTGCATACTGTTCTGTATTAGGTTCCAGTATAGCCCAAACTTTTTGAAGAATATCTGCAACACTGGTATTTTCCTTTGTGCCTAAAAATAACCATTAAAAATAGCAATAGAAAAGCTGTAAGAGCCTGAAAGATCATCTTGTTCAAAACCCTCCTTTTACAGATAAAGAAGCTGAAATTCATGAGGTGCTATCCAAAGCGATAGGCTTTATTAGCAGCAAAGTCATGTTAAAAATATAAAGCTATGAACTTCCTTGCCAACAGCTATGCTCACCATTTTATGCTGTTTCACTTCATCTTTAGTGTAAAAATCATAAATTAGATTTCAATCATGATCTAATTGAAGATTGTCATCAAAGAGTTTTATATCAGGAGATCTTTTATCACACCAAAAGTTCCTTATGAGAGCTCTGATGTCAGAAAAAAAAATCAACCATTTTTCAAAAAAAGAAACAGTGGATAATGGGATCCCACTAAAGTTCCATTCCATAATCCACCTTGGTTTGGGAGTAGGTGATTTGGCAAGAAAAATGCAAATCCATAGTAAATGGCTCAAATTTAACATGCCGGAAACTGACATTTTCCCCTAAATTATCCTATTTTAATTTCCTCACAGTACTTACCAGTACCTGAAATTGATATCTTAATATATTTACTTGCCTCTTATATGCCTACCCCCACTGGAACACAGATCCATCAAAGCAGAAACTCTGTCAGTTTAAGTGACTTGAAAAAGGTCAGAATTTAGAACAGTGCTGTGCGCCCAAGGTTTTCAATAAATATCCATTGCATGAAAGTAATGCAAACAACTACTAAAACATTAAAATATTCAAGTTTTTGTCTCTCAAAAGAGAAAGAAAATCATTGCTTGAATATAATTTTTACAGAATATGTGGACAACAAAATGGATATTTTACTATATATTTAATTTGATATATTTATCTTTACTTTTTCTAATAGAATAATTTCAAAACCAAGCAACAGTATATTTTTTCCATCACACAACTATACAATGTTGTTTACTTTTTTTAATGTTTACTTGTTTATTTATGCATACTTGCATACGGGATACTTGCGTACGGGATCGGGGAAGGGGCAGAGATAGAGGGAGACAGAGAACCCAAAGCAGCCTCTGCACTGTCTCCACACTGTCAGCACAGAATCCCACACGGGGCTCAAACCCACAAACTGTGAGATCATCACTTGAGCAAAAGTTGGAGGCTTAACCAACTGACTCACCCAGGTACCCCTACAATGTGGTTTATTTATCTTACATTTGTGTATCTGCAGTGTTTACTGCTGATGTGAACATTTTGATTATTCTCATTCAATACTTCAAATAGAAACACGTCACAACAAAATGTTTCATTATATACAAAGAATTAATTCTATTGGAAATGAGGCTTTTCTCATGGAAATATCAACAAAAATTGCAGAATAAAAATGGTTAAATATGTTGTGTACCTCTGCAGTGTTTTGTTTTAAACTGATTAAAAGCTAAAATAAAATAAACCTTTTCACAAAAACAGTTTATTATATATAAATAAATAAGTTGATTTAATAGAATACACTTCAAATGCATTCTGTGCTTTCTAAATATATGTCACATGGATACGTGAAAGCTTCTTTCATCCAATTCATTCATTTACTCATTCATTCATTTCTTTGAAAAATGGTTTAGAAATGTAAAAACATCCATGGCTTAGTTGAAGTTGAGTATTGTGGCATTCTGCTAGGCTTTGGAGATATATAAAGAAGCAGATCTTTTAAAGAACTCATAATACGGGGCGCCTGGGTGGCTTAGTCGGTTGAGCGTCCGACTTTCGCTTGGGTCATGATCTCGCGGTTCGTGGGTTCGAGCCCCGCATCGGGCTCTGTGCTGACTGCCAGCTCAGAGCCTGGAGCCTGTTTCAGAGTCTGTGTCTCCCTCTCTCTCTGACCCTCCCCTGCTCACGCTGTCTCTCTCTCTCTCCTAGAAATAAATAAAACATAAAAAAAAAAAAAAAAAAAAAAAAAAAATAAAGAACTCATAATAGACTGGGAAATCATAGCTGATCATTCACTCACTCATTCATTCTTCGAGCACATATTTGTTGTATGCTTACTCTGTGCCAGGCACTGTGCCAAATTCTGAAAACAAAAGTGAGTGAGCTGACACGTATTCTGATCTCAAAGCATTTTAGTATTTATAAAATTAAAAAAAAAATAGCCAAATCATAAAGTAAGAGAACTCCAAAATGCTTTTCATTAACACACAAATATTCATTCTTACATACACAAGGGCATTTTATAAATGATAGAAAAATCATACCTGGTGTTCTAGCTTTCATAAGTAATCTGACATAAGTTCCTCTCCACATGGCTTGGATTTTAATTGCTGCTGCTACTTCCTCAGGAGAATATTCTTTATCACTTACCGGTACACTGTATTTCACGTCTAACCATTCTGCTGGAAAGAGAAAACCTCAGGATTGAGGGTTAGATTTAATCCCTTCCCAAATTTTCAATGCTTTTAACTGCTGAAGTCCCCTGACATAGAAAGTGCCACAATGATAAATTTGTCTTTATATTGGGGCGCCTGGGTGGCTTAGTCGGTTAAGCGTCCGACTTTGGCTTAGGTCATGATCTCGCGGTTTGTGGGTTTGAGCCCCGCGTCGGGCTCTGTGCTGACTGCCAGCTCAGAGCCTGGAGCCTGTTTCAGTCTGTGACTCCCTCTCTCTCTGACCCTCCCCTGCTCACGCTGTCTCTCTCTCTCTCTCTCCTAGAAATAAATAAAACATTTTTAAAAAAAATTTTCTTTATATTTTATATTGTGCTCTGCAGGTGGTCCTTTTATAGAATGTAAACTTTCTGGAGAAAGGGAACACTAAATATTGACACCCGAGTGAGCCACGCACTATTCATTCTTCTGTGGACGTAGTGAGCAGTTTCTCTCAAAATTTAAAGAAAATGTTTAAATGGCATAGGGACAGCCAGAAGAAGAAGGTTGAGGTTGTGAGGTTGTGGACACATGGCAGATTCTTGGAGCCCATGGGCTTCCCAGGGCATGGCTTGAATTCTCCGCCTGTCGGTACAGAGTCTACTTATGCCACAAAAACTTTGGGCTTTTCTCAAATTGTTTGTCTTATATAAGGCTAGAAATTCCTTTGTCAAACAAATATCTAAAATTATTCAGTACCTAAAGAAGCGTCTTCTAAGGAGGAATCGAGTAACTCTAAATCCAGAACCAAAGCACGGAAGGCAAATTTAAAGTTGGGAGGAAGTTTTGCTACTTGAGTTTTTTTCATTAAGCGCCATAAAGAAATATGAAAAACCTGAAAAAGATAAAATACATTAGTACATTTTTTTAAACCAGGAAAATGCTATGGCCTAGCCAGAGAGGCTCTAAAGAACTTTAGATACTCTCAAAAAAAAAAAAAGAAAACGTATTTTTCAGATGCACAATATAACAGAAGACCTCAAAGTGTCATTCACCCAGTAAGAGCTCAAAATTACTTATCATCTGACTATTTTGTTTTCTAAGACTTCATTTATTTTTTTTAAGTAATCTCTATACCCAATGTGGTGGAGCTTGAACCCACACCCTGAGATAAGAAGTCACCTGCTCCACTGACTGAGGCAGCCAGGTGCCTCTCATCTGACTATTTCCAATTTCATAACACTTAATCACTACAATGTTTATAATGTATGCTCACAAAATATAACTGGTTGAAGAGATATAGTGTAAGGTGAAAAACCTGGCCCATGTGCTTCAGCAAGTTAGATACTTTATTTCATTGATTCTATAACACCATTCCAATAAGACCCACTATGGTTTCATGTGCTACCAAAACTGAAAATATGCTGTTTAGAGTTTTTATCACTTTCTTAAGTTCATCAATGAGTATTCACTTCCTATTGAAAAAGCTCTTTTAGATTTATTTAGACAGACATTTTTCATCATATATCACACTTCAGCATACGTGAAAAAATAAAATAATCTACATAAGATGGTTAAGTATTCTGAAAACATTCATATTCAAAATCTTGTAGATCACTTGTTGAAAATACTTAACATTCATGTTTTCCTATGTAACTTTGTCTTTTTCACCTTTTTTGTCTTGATAGACTGAGGGACTCCATTTACCCAGTCATGCCACTAAGAAAAACAACCAAGCTCCAGCGAATTGCTGCCTGCTTACTGTTAGCTATTTATTTGTCCGCTGGGAGTAATGTGCTTGGTGGATTATATCAGGCACCTGGGGCACTGTTTAAGGTGAGTTTTATTAATGTCTCCTCTCCCTCCCTTTCTTCCCCTGTGCCCTGGGGGGCTCAGTCTGGTATGGGGAAATTCCTTCTCCTTTCATGTTTCCTTGAGAGGCTCAATAATGTCATTTAATTCTCTTCCCCCAAGGATTAGGCTTTTGTCAAATACACACATTTCTTTTGAAGTGGTGACAATATGGACCCTATGAACAAGTCCAGGTGTAGGCGGAAAAATTCGAAGGCCACCTGGCCAGCAATGATTGTAAGGAACCACCAATTATAAGACATACTCTGATTTCCTCCTGACGTTGAAATGTGAAAAGAAATGTACTTCTTCGATTTGGTGAAATACAGTGCCCTTCAAAGGCCTATAACTATTGTACTTCCTGCTTCGTCCATATTTTCTGACTATACCTCACCCTTCCCCATATATTTAGAGACAGAGACCTAATGTTACAATCTGTATTTGTAGCTTCTCCATCAGCCGACAATGGCAGCCAAGCCTGCAAGCAACCATCTAACCCAAGCTAAGCAAATCATTATTACTTTGGCTGAATAATTTGAAATCAGGATCAAGACATTCTAAACTGGCCTCATATGGAAAAGTGATGTAAATCAGGGGCCACTTTTTCCATGATATGCACTTAGGGGTAGAGACACCATGTGAATGAGAGAAAACAAAATGAAGAAGGTAAGTTCTAAGGGCTATCTATATGCTCTTTGAAGTTCCTCACTGTGTCATTCCTATCCTGAGATGTCAACAAGATTTCCCTGTATCCTTATCATAAATTAATATATCCAGCTTCTTGTTATGACTTAAATGAGTTAGATATGTTTTTTGTGATATGCTAATAAAATATCCTAAATATTTCAACATCTAATATATAAATAAGAAAAGTACACAATTATACTAATCCTCCTCTGTTACATTTGAATGTGCAGTCTCTGATCATGTTGGAGTTCTACAGGATATTACTCTGTGCTACCTGTGGGCAGAAAGGGGCCATTACTTCCTGATTAAGACGCATGCATGCTAGAGAGTGGGGAATAAACCTTGCACACTTTCATGGATTCACCACCTCCGTGGAGATTTTAGGGATTCAGAGGATGAGGCATGCTGGGACACGCCCAATAAGCCAAAGGATAAGATACTGCAACTAAGAAAGAAGCCAGTACTTGACAGTCCTCTCTGGAGTGGGACCCAGAATATTCTGCTTTGGGAAATATTATTCCATTGCATTTATTGAGTGGCTTAGAAGGCCATAAGCTTGATAGGGATCTGAAGTAAGAGAGAGATCTGTAGGAGAATTGAGCATCCCAGGGAAATAAAGATCACCTGGCCCAATTCTGTTGTAAACATGCTAATGAAAGGCTTCCCAGATAATACACTAATGTTATTTACTAGTGAGAGAGTCCTTATCTATGTGATACTTACAGAATTCTGCACCTGATCCATCTGGAATTGTTTATGATAGACAAATTTGGAGTCTATTGATTTATGGGACATGGCTCTCTGAAAACTGTCACATAACTATGTAATATAAAGATATAAAAATATTTAAAAATATAAACTCATTTCACTACCAAAATGTGTAAGTGATGCACGCACAAAAGTTCCTTACATATTAGATTTGACCTAGCAACAACAAACTCATGAACAAGTAATCTTGATGGCAGGGACAGGAAATATGAATGGTTCCAACAGTTTGAGCTCTCTTTCACCCAGGCTTAGCTGTCTAACCTGTTAGTAGCAGAAACTTTAACATAATACCATCCTATGGGGAGTCCAGTCAGCCATTTGGCGGCAAGTTTGTATCAATGGGCTTCTGTCAAGGAGGAATAGCGGTTGTCCTTACTAGAATTGACACTTACTTCAATTATGAGTTTGTTTTATCTTTCCTTGGTGCCTCTGTCAGCACCATGAGCTAAGGGAAGTTACATAAAATCTGATTTGCAAACATCAGATCCAGCCTAAGATCCCCTTGGACAAAGGGTCACATACAGAGAGGAGTTAACTACTAAGAAATGTCTGGGACTCAATGGTCCTAATATATATCACAGAAAGAATGGATAAGATTCCTGGTAAAGTGGAATGGCATATAAAAGCCTCAGCTAAGAAGCCAGCCTGAATATGATGCCCTGAAAAACTGACACAGTATCTTTCATGGCATAGTATATATGGACAGAACCAAAGGCTCACGTAGTGCTATATCTGTGAAAGTGAATATATACAGGCCTGGGATTCAAAAATTGGAAGTATGATTGACCTCTCTCACCGTTATTTCCAAAGGCACATTTGCAATTATTAGTGTTCTCTGTCCCAACAGGTAATTTGCTAAATTGGAGAACCTAATTCCTAGGGATGAATGGCAGGGAATGTTTCCATCAGGGAACATGGTATGATTAACAATAACCTAAATTATGATACATGTCTTCTTGCTTTGAGCTCCTCATCCTGATATACAAATAGGAAAAAAGGAACTAATATAATGGGGTGGAGGAAGAATTTACCCTGATTGTCATAAAGTACTAGGGTTTCTGCTGCATAATGGGGACAGGAAGAATTATGTCCGAATTTATCATGATACTATTTTTTTTAATGTTTTTTCATTTTTGAGAGACAGAGCAATCTGGGGAGGGGCAGAGAGAGACACACACAGAATCTAAAGCCAGTTCTAGGCTCTGAGCTGTCAACACAGGGCCCAATGAGGGTCTTGAACCCATGAACCACGAGCTCATGACCTGAGCCGAAGTCAGCCGCTTAACCGACTGAGCCACCCAGGCGCCCCTGTTGAGATATTTCTTGGTGCTTCGACAGTGAATGATTAATCACAGCCTGAAAAGATTAAGGCAATCAAGGTCTTGTACCCATCAGGATTGAAGGTCTAGGTTACCCACCAGGCAACTAGAACAGCTGAAACTTTGGCTGGAAGAATGGGAAATCTAGAATGAGTGGTAGAGGAGAGATGTCAAATACCAACTACGGCCTTAGGGTTGACTGTAGCAGTGGAGACCATAGGTTTCTTGTCATATGATGATTTAATCATTTGATTATTTTTAGAGCTTGTGGATACCACTTTAAGCCATTTAGAGCTATCACCTTCAAGAATGGATGAGAGAGTTCACAGAAGGGAGGCAATCATATTGGTTCAAGAGTAAATCACAGCAGGTAGTTCTTGTAGATTACCCATGCCCTAGGTGAGCAGTTCTCCATTGGGAGGGACTTGTGTCCCAAGTAGAGCTGTCCAGATAGAAGACAAGGTTGCTATAAGGACAAATACAAATTACAAAACCAAGGCTTAATTCTCTATGGAAAATAAAGGAAGAGACTCTTTCCTTCCCTTTTTCTTAGACATCACTTTAGAAAACTTGCAATTGCACGTTCTCTTTCTCTTTGAAATATATGTAAATCTTTTTAAAGGATGAATTTGGGGAGCCACTTAATATAAGATATATTTTTTCAAATAAAAATATCCTTCTAGGATTATCATAACTTTCAACATGCTTACCCTGAAGTGCTGTGCAGTTAGTTCTTTATTGTGGAGGGGAATAGGGTAGTGAGCTGTCTGTAAATCCTTCAGAGCCGCAGAAAGTTTAGTCTTATCTCTGAAACTAGCAATAACATTTCCAACAGCTTTAAAAATTGTTAGAGCCTGCTCTGTGAATCGGTAGCTCTCCTGTGAAGAGAAAGCAAAACAGCCAGCCTCACTTTTTTTTTATTTAAGTGTTATAATTAAGCTTACAAAAGTTTAGTTTCTGTTAATATGATAAACCTCTTTTATATGGTTGATTCAATAGTTATTTATGAAGGGCTTACTTGCTCAAGGCATTTTGCTAGAGGCTGTGATCTCAAAGATATAAAACAAGGGATATACTTCCTGCTGTAGTGAGAACACATAGGAAGAACACCTACCTCATATTGGGAACTAGGGGACATTCTCTGTGGTACCAATATTCAGCTTCAGTTCCGAAGGATGTCTAAGAATTAGTTTGACAAAATTGTGTGTGATTGGAGAACGGATGAGCAGAGAAGAATTCAGGGAGATAGTGATGGAGATTGAAAAGATAAGGGGATAAACTGGGAGAGATTAGCAAAAGGGTACACACCTTCACTTATAAGATGAACAAGGTCTGAAGATCTATCTAAATGTAAACCATAGTGACTATAGTGGATCGCACTATATTGTGTAATAGATATTTGTTAATAAAACTTAAATATTGTCACCCCCCCAAAAAAGGTAAGTACATGAGGTGATGGTTGTGTTAATTAACTAGATGATGGGGATCCTTTCACAATATGTATGTGTATTAAATCACCAGGATGTACAGTTTATACAACTTACAATTTTATTTGCTTATTTTATCTCAATAATAAAACTGGTGGAAAAAAAAGGGATTGAATGTCAAATTGCAAAACTGTAGTTCAAACCAAAAAGTGGGGAGAGATAGAGAAACCTAAGGAGTTTGCGGATTATCTTGATTTGTGTGTGGTGGGTAGCTGGTGGGTAGGGGAAGAACTGAAGAGGGTGCTTTGAGACAGCACAAAGAGGGTGAAGTTAGAGCAAAAATTTGTGAAGTCTGTTTTTGCCCCCTTTCCTAGGAAGCACCACGCCGCCATCACTGCTCCTTGGTTCTGCAGAAATTTTGAGGAATGGCCCAACAGCCATTGCCTGGACAGTAGCGATTCGTGGCTTGGGGCAAGCTGATGAAGACAGATGCAACTAACTTGCCCTCTTAATGCATTTCCTATCCTATTACCTTGTCCCCAACCTCCCAAAGCCTACAGAAAGCCTCTTCTCAATGGTATTTCTCCCTGAGGTGAAGCCAGGACTGGAAAAGATGTCTGGTCAAGCAGCAGCACTGGGCATGGTCATGTATGGCTCTGAACACCTTGAGTCTTTCTGCTCTTGAACTAGTCTATCTCCTCTTGCTTCCTCATTAGAACTGAAGAAGAATAAGATCTGGCTTTAAGCCCCAGTATTTTTTACAAGATGGAGGAATTGATAATCCCAGGAAAAGACGAGTTCACAGATCAAAATAACTAGACACCTATGAAATTCAGTCACCTAAAGAAAAAAACAGGCTGGATAATCCATACAACTTAAAGCAGAATTGTTTTTTTATTTTTTTAAACAAAACAAAGATGAAAAACATAATTTGAAAAAGCAGAATAAACATAATTAAGGGAATAAGAGACATGTACTTATAAGGTGGGCTTGCTGCTCTTCCTTCTATTGTGCAGGAGGGAGAGGAGTGGTGAGAGGAGCAGGGAGGAGGCTGTCACGGGGGAATCCTGCACCACCCCTGCCTAGAAAGGCAAGAATCCATGACTGAGCCTGCCTGGGCCACAGCAACATTAGCACGAAAGAGCTGCCCTGGAATTATCTTGCCGCTACCTTGGCCAAGAGAGTTACTGACTGACTGGCTGAGAGGCTCTCACCTCACTAATAAGAGGCTGTGCTACACGGAGATGGGTTGGGGGAGGGTATAAAACTGAATTGTGCACTGGGAATGTCCCATGCAAATTGATCCTCCAAAAGCAGAGGCCCACATATCTAAAGAGGATGCCTTTTAGAGGACATCTAAAACTGAGACAGGACCTCAGGGGAGAGGCTGGATCCATTTACCTCGTTTCTTCTTTCAGACACTATCAGAACAGAGGTGCAAGAGGCACCAAGAGGAGGCCGAGGAAAGAGGAGATGAACAAGAATGACGGGACTTTCCATGGATCCACTCTCCCTAATCCCGGAGACAAACACTCCAAATTTCTTAGGCCAAGGAAGGGGTACAAGGAGTATATGATTCCAGAATTTCAAGCTGTCATGGAAAGGACTGTACTGATCCTCTATATATTCCCAAGGACCAATCTACCTGAGATGTTGGGATTCCACAGAGCAGAAGTGAATGCAGTTGTTGGAGAAAAACTAAAATTATTTTATTTGCATTCCTACAGAGTGTAGACTATTTATTGTACATGTCATTTTGGAAGATTTCCTACAGAATGTACTTAACCATTTTATTTTTAAAAAATTTTTAATGTTTTATTTATTTCTGAGAGAGAGAGAGAGGCAGCGTGAGCAAGGGAAGGTCAGAGAGAGAGGGAGAAGCAGAACCTGAAGCAGCCTCCAGGCTCTGAGCTGTCAGCACAGAGCCCGATGTGAGTCTCAAACCCACGAACTGTGAGATCATGACCTGAGTCGAAGTCAGATGCTTAACCAGCTGAGCACCCAGGCGCCCCTATACTTAACCATTTTAAAAGGTAAAACACGAGTAAGTTGAATAAAAAAATAGGAATATTATTTAGTTCCAAACCTTTGAAAATAAGCCACACACACACACACACACACACACACATACACACATATCACGATTGCTTAAAATTTACCGGCTCAAAGTTGGGTAGCACGATATCTTCATCCCCAATGACAAAAGTCACCATGCTGCAGACATGTATGGAATGCCCTACGGGGGAGTATGCAGTGAAGAGCAGCATGTGTCTCCTAAAGAGAATGGAAAATATATGAGGACCCAGGGGTTCCTTGGCTGTAGTCCTTACCTCTGCTAGTCATTTGATGACAGCTCATGCTCAGATGAAGTCAGACATTAGTGAGAGTCGAATTCTTTAACACTGGTGGGATAAAGACTTTTGGATATTCACTCTGAAAGAATCATCAGAGATCATGGAATCTATATTGCATTAATCAACTAAGACAAAATGTGGTTATGCTAAATGACAAACTTGCACATGCTGGAGATATCTCCCATATGCTGCAGTCCCAAATGCAAGTGATTCCTCTTGATTTTTCACTAACAACAATAATTCACAGTGGTATAGGGCTTTGTATATTTCATAGTCACTTTCTCACCCATGAATCATTTTATGTGTGTTGTTTGTGTCTTTCCTACCAGGGTTGTGGTGTCGCTGAGAGCAGGGACATTCATTCCCACCCAGTTATTGAGTACTTAGAGAGTGTTGAAAACATACATGTTGATAGGTTAGGCCTTGTGGGGAAACAGTCCGGATATATATAAGCAGGTTCTTTATTAATTTCCTGTTCTTGGTTGTCTTAGCAGATTAGCACTCAGACAGAATAATGACTTCTGGGAGAATCTCTCTATGCCAGGGTTTTAAAGGTAGATGTGAGAAATACTGAAGTTTTAAAATTTATTATTTTCTAGGAAGACTGGATGCTTGCCATGCATTATGTTAGCATCTGATTTTTCTGCTTAGGTGTTGCTTTATTTTTTATAAGGGCCATCACTTTTCATTGATCACTTGGAATTAACATGATTGATCTTGGGAAACAGTAAAAATATTCACTTCATCTGAAATATGAGGTAATATTTTGAAATTTATTCATCAAAATCAAGAAAACTTTTTGATTATGCATATTTTCTTTAAAATGGAAAATATGATCTGCGAGCCAAGTTTATTTTAATTAAAAATAAAGCTATAGGTAAGATTAAAAACAAGGTAAAACTATAGACTGGTAGGAAAAAAATCTGTTTTTAAACAAAATGGTTCTTGCCAAGGAATATCAGATTCTGAAGAAAACAAAAAGGATTGCTTAATAAATTGATTTTTTAAAATGCTGATTAAAACCCTATTCTTTACCAAAGAAATTACCAATCTTTGGCAATCATGAGTCGTCCAAAAGGAGATTCAATGAACAGCCTTTCTTCAATATGTTTACTTAGAGTTATTTTTCTCAAGAATCATAATGATAGATCTGTTCCATATGAAATCACTTTTGGAAACAATATCCTAGATCCCATATTGTTTAATAATTAGGTAGCCAGCAGTTTACAACGCTTCAAAAACTCTTCATGTGGGAAAAACAAAGTCACTCCATACCCAACAGGCAGCCGGACCACTGTAGCCTTCGTAGCATATGTATGAATCTTCATAAGAAGATCTCGTGGCTTCAGAGATTTCCAAGCAAGGGATTCCACTGTAAGCAGTCCAGGCCCTACGTGAGGGCTGTCTTTTGTCAAAGCTAGGGAAGGAAGAAATACGGAAATTTAACTGTGAGACTATAGCTGGCCTTCACTTCACAACACTAGTAATGATAATAATAATATCAGGAATTAGAGGTGTTCTGAAAATATTCATAGAACCCAGAGAAATTATTCTGGGTAGATAATTATTGGAAATAATACTGAAATGGGATTCAGGTGTTTCTCTCTGTCCTGTTTTCCTCCTCAGAATCATCCCCGTCACTTCTATTATCTGTGGCAGAAATCACAATACCCCTCTAGATGCAATTTTAAAGGGGGAAAAACACATCTGGGAAATTAAGAGACTTTCCTAAGAAAGTGGCCAGGCAAAGTCGAAATATCCCATTGTTTACATTTTTACTTTGGATTCTTAGTGTTAATTATGTGTAGAAATAACAAATCATTAACAAAAATTTAATTTTAGCATTAAGTGTTCGTCTTAAAATGAATAAAGAATATTAGGCATTCTTCATTGGTAGCCAAGGCCAAAACACTTAAGTTAAAAAAAATTTCAGTGAAACAAAGTTAACACATAACATTGTATTAGTTTTAGATGTACAGCACAATGATTTGATACATGTATAAACTGTGAAATGGTTACCATGAAAATTTAGTTAACATCTATCACCACACACAATTACAATTTTTTTTCTTGTGATGAGAACCTTTAAGATTCTCTCTGAGCAACTTTCAAATGTACCATATAGTATCATTAACTATAGTCACTCTACTGTATATTACATCTCCAGAACTAACCTGACTTTATATTTTTACCCTATTTCCAGATAATGCTCAAATTGAGGATGTAAGAACACAACATGACCTGAAACACCTGTACACACATGGAATTCCAATGGAATGCGTGAACCAGGAAAGTGCTGGCAGCACTTCGGGGGCCATTTTGAAATCTGTGGCCCTCAGCTGAAAGTGGGGCTAGCTGATAGAGTTAGTTTTTCTCCAGTCACATTCAGTCGATGCACATTCATTGGTGCTCTGATGCACCGCACATAAGATGCAGAGCTCATCCGCTGAATTCAACCAGTATTGAGATTTTGCCAAGACAGTAAGCTGAGAGGGTAAGAAGAGCAATGATGCTGAGGTGTGTCCATGGCTACAATTACAACGGCAGGCCATGCAAACAGGGAGATGAGAGAAATAAGGACATGAGGAGACAGATGAATAGAGACAAGTGGGAAGGTCAGTGGATGGTATTCCCATTGGAGTCAAAGGATTGTAGAAGCAGGGGTTCTAGAAATAGTGAACTGGAGCATTAGGGTGTGTAGTCAGAGTGTGAAATGGAGATGCTTGAGGGAATGTAGTTATTGGCAGGTAAGTTTTCAAGTATAATGATGAAAACCAAGGCCAGGGTGGGATGGAGGAAAACACCTTCATTATTGTCAAATCAAAGAAAAAGTGCATGTCTTTCCATGGATTTTGAAAGACTCAAGAATGATGATATGCAGAGGTGGAAGGGAAAACAGAATGGCCAGGCATGCTGAAGATGTGAGCATAGGACCACGGCAAGGCGAGGATCAGGAGCTAAGAGTGAGCATAACCATGACGCCTGAGGAGGAAGACAATCCTAGGAGGTGGTGTAAGGGTGACTCTCTTAGAGACTCTGGAGAGGAAATAGTCTCCTTCACCCAGAGCCTAAAAATCTTGGATTTCTCCTGGACTGAATGAAAGTGAGCTGGGATTTCAGACTATGATTTTCTCAAAGCCCGCTTACCTCCTGATTCTCCCCATCGTACCAAGGCAGAAAAGCAAACCAGCAGTTCAATAGGTTTCAGACTATCCACAAATAGATAGTAGGACACACGCTCATCTGAGAACTGCAAGAAATCGGACAAATCATTGAATTTAATATTGGTCTGTTAACGGTGTATGTTCCACTTCTAATAATTATACCTAATATTTATAGAGAACCTACTGTGCTCTAGACACCACAAAAGTGTTTTCCAGCTTTAATGATAATGTAGAAAATCACAGTGGGTAAATGTTGACAATAGTCTATGGAAGCTGGGTCCATAGGACCTGCGTGAGATTGGCTGGCCTATCAGATGGGGTCAAAGCTCTTCTCCATGAGTGAAGAAAAGGGATAGGCTTTTCCCAGAAATAACAAATGGAAGAGACTGGCTGAACAATGCTCAGAAAATATAGGTCTCTGATAAATAGGCCACAAAGTAACCTTGACAGAGAATGGAGATGTCTAATGGGGATGTCTTAAGGTATTTTATAGGATGGCATGTGATATAAACCCTTTCTTCCTTTTGTTTACAAGATCTTTAGAAATATAGCCAACGCACACTAATGAACCAGATTGGAATTTTGAGTAACCAGAACTTCTCTTAAGGACAGCCACGTAAGGGTTATATGAACATGATAGTCAATCCGTCATATATGGGCACTATTAATATCCATAATCATGGATGAAGAAACTGAAACACAAAGAGAGTAAGTAACTTTCCAAAGGTCACAGACCTTGCAAATAGCAAAACTGAGATTCAAAAGTAGGTCTCTCTATTTATCAGCTCTAAGGTTGGTCTTTGAGACTACTGCACTTTTATTGCCTCTTAAATTCTTGGTGCTTCCACATAATTTTGATTGATGGTATATGGTATGTGTGTTAAACCAATTTGTTAATATACATTAAAAGCTTTCATATTATTTTACAACAATATATAAACAATTAAAATATGAAAGAAAAGTCTCTAGTGGTACTGTGAAAAATGCAAGCTTGTTACTTAATCAAGAATGACAAGATTTCTGAATGCTTGATACAATGTAACCATGTTTTAAATGATCGTTTCCCTCAATATCTTTCAACAGTTAGCATTTGACATCAATTTTATTTGTTTCTTTTTAGCTGCAACGTGTTGGTGATAAAGACAGATGTTTCTAATATTCACTATCCACAATTAGGAAAGAAGCTTGGATTTGCCAGCCCGGTGTGCATGCCAGAGTAAGAATTTCTGCAAAGAGCTCATTTGCTGTCATTTTTGAGGGTCTGCGAATTTGGGGACAGGGTGGGCATGGAGTCCACACAGAGGTACTCTCCTCTGGTGTCAGCACGGGGCACCTTTGGGAGCTCCTACCCCACCTACATGCTGAGCACCAATGGGACATCTATGGAATGTGCTGGGAGAGATCTCAGGCTCAGCCGGCAGTACCTGTGGCCATTAAAATCAGGAACGCGTGGCCCCAACCCACAACCCCTCCTTCCTCCCATGCCATCCTAAAGGCTGTTAAGTTTGAATTCCAATGCCATCCAAGGAAAAGTTATTGTTTCTTCATACAATTGATGTTAAAAGAAATTCAGGGGAATAAAAAGACTTGTATTGTAGGGTTTGCTATCATCTTATTTTGCCAAGGTGAGACTTGAAAAGGAAAAAAAAAATCTACACTTATCATCAGTCTGTAAAATCAGTTGGCCATTTTACTGCACAGATACGCATGTGTACTAGGAGGGTGATGTATAACAAAAATTCATAACCCAAGTGCCTTTAGTGACAGTAGTGACAGCAACATTGATTCTCACTTGCTGTTAACAGGGATTCTTCTAAGTGTTTGACACACATCCTCTCAATTTTTTTTCCCAACGCTACAATATAGAGCTCTTACTGCAATCATTTTATAAGAAAGGAAACTGAGGCAAAATGGACTTAACTTACTCAGAGTCCCACTCCAGTGAAACCTGGATTCAAAGCCAGGCAGTCTGGTTTCAGGATGCCAATATGGGGTACCTTGTGAGAGAGGTGTACTCATGACAAGGTCCTAGGCTTCACATCAGGCAAACCTTATTCTCATGATCCTTGTGACACCAGTTTGGTGGTCTTTGGGCAATTCACTCACCTTAACCTGCCTCAGTTTCCTTTCCTGAAAAATGATGACAATAATATTCCTTTCATAGGATTTGCTATGGGGAGTTAATGCAATAAAAAACCTCATTTAGGGCCGGCAACAGAGTAGGCACCTATAAATGACTTTCATTTTATTACTGCCAACAATAAATATGGAGATATATCGAAGTACCTGTAAACTGTATGTTATTCTCACATCATATTCTGAGTTCACTTATTCCCAACTAGCAGTTTTGTTATCTTCATTAACTCAAAGCATTCCTCTGGGTGTTTACATAGATAAACTCCAAAGCTAGATTGACCAGTTCTCCTCCAATCTTCCTCCCCCACCCCCCAACCGAGGCACTACTACAGACTTGATTCTTGCTTTTGGAACAGACAACCAGCTACAAAGCACTTCTTGAGAAATGCTCAAAAGGTTTCCTCTGCTGGCATTCTCATCTAGTACAAATGCAATTGGAAAAGCCATCTCCAAGACTTCTTTTTTCCTCCAACTTTGTGTACTGCTCCTGGAGATGTGGCCTTATTGCTAGGGGCTTGAACAGCCCCATACACGTAAGCAACATAAGAGTTTCAGTTAAATTTAGTTTCCCAAAATATGTTTCATAGTTTTCCCTAAAATTCCAGTCCGTGTGAGATGTGTTAATCAATTCACTCAATAATCTTTTGTTGAGTTCCTACCTTATACTAGGACCAATATTGCAATAGTAAACAAAAGGACAGAGTCCTTCTCCCTAAGATGTTGACATTAAATGGGTGGGTAAGTAGAGGGACACAGAGAAACAATCAGGCAGTTGGGATAGAGAAGGGTAAGTATAGATTATACAGAGTGCATACAGTCAGGGTACTTGACTTAGACTCTGTGGCCAGGGAAGGAGATCTCACAGAGTCAAGGACATTCATGCTGTTCTGAATGACTTCTAGCATTAGCCTAATGAAGGCAATAAAGATGAAAAGAAATGAACTCCAGGTAGAGGGAAGAACATGGGCAAAAACAGCAGAAATAACAGTAAAAATGTGCTTTTGTTTTAGGAATAGCATGTAATTCAATAAACAGTAATTTAGTTTTTTAATGTTTTATTTATTTGAGAGAGAGAGAGAGAGAGCAGGGGAGGGTCAGAGAGAGAGGGAGATACAGAATCTGAATCAGGCTCCAGGCTCTGAGCTGGTTGTCAGCACAGAGCACGATGCAGGGCTCAAACCCACGAACCATGAGATCATGACCTGAGCTGAAGTTGGACGCTTAGCCGACTGAGCCACCCAGGTGCCCCTCAATAAACAGTCATTTAAATCAAATATAGTGAATTTGTTTGTGATTCATTTATTCACAAATCAAACATTTTAAATGTGAATCTACATAATAACACAGTTCAGGATTAAACATAATCAGATGAATCATACTTGGAGATACGAGGTAGGAGAATTTTGCTTATTTTCTGGATAAGAGATTAGTAGAAAACTCTAAGAATTGATTCATTAATATAATTCATAATTTTATAAATGCTTGGTAGATTTGAAGCTGTTTCTCACTAGCATGATTTAATTATAAATTTACATATGAGAAGGAAAAGAGATCATAATATATTTACCTTGAATTCTGTTTTTTGAAAGTTAAAGCAATATGAACTTGGTTTGTGAAAAATACATATATTCCTGAAAAACATTTATAACAGGTTACTGTCATCATATGCAACAGACTAGTACATGTTAAGTTTCCTAGGATCAAATAGTTAGAGGGACTGGGGGTGTAGAAAGTAGAAAGAGGTTGGTAAATGTGTACAAACATTCAGTTATAAGATAAATAAGGTCTGAGGATCTAATGTACAACATAGTGACTAAGCTTTAAAAAAATTTTTTGTTTTTATTTATTTTGAGACAGACAGACACAGTGCAAGGGGGGAAGGGTGGTGAGGGAGAGAATCCCAAGCAGGCTCCACGCTGGAGCTGATACTGGGCTCAAATTCACAAAACTGTGAGATCATGACCTGAGCCCAAACCAAGTCTGATGCTTAACCGACTGAGCCACCCAGGCACCCCATATGGTGACTAAATTTGACAATACTGGATTGTGTTACTGAAATTTGCTAAGAGAGTAGAACTCCAATGTTCCTACCCTCTCCCCCCAAATTGGTAAATGTGTGAGGTGTTGGATGTGTGAACTCAATGGGAAGAGTCTTTCACAATGTAGATTTGTATCAATTCATCACCATGTACATTTTAAATATCTTATAATTTTATATATCATTTATATGTCAATAAAGCTGGGAAAATTCATAACTGTATTGAATTAGTTGTCTTAAAGAGACAAAAATGATCTCTCTCAGTGCATAAACTGTCTTCATCTTAATCAATAAATAAATCTCAGAGGATGACCTGAAACTGGCCTGAGATTTGGCTTTTAATGTTTTATGTGGACAGTCAACCCATCTATCTTTCTTTGTAACAGTTCCACTTGCTATTATATCAATGCCAGACCAATGTTGGTTTAACTCTTTTAAATGATAGCTAAAAATTGATGGCTTATACATCACCACATTTAATACACACCAAAAGTTTATACTTACTGAAAGCATACACAGAAGTCTTCAAAATTTAACCATATTTCTTTAGTAACATTATTATTTATTGTTGCAAGCTCCTCCTGTGATTTTTCCTGTGTTGCTGTTGTCTGGCTGACTAAATCTTTTTCCAAACTAAGTCCTTCACCTTGATGAGCTGTGTCATTCAATCCAACTTCTGTTAGTTCTTCTGTGCAGAGCAGAAGACAAAAACATCAACTGCACCTATCTTGCTAATTATTAAGTTACTGAGGTACAGGAAGTTATAGAGGGAATTTGCATATGAATGTCTGTTTTTGAAAGCAAAAACCATTTCCTGAGACAATCATTTACATGCAAGCCTCAGATTTGGGGACATTCATGCAGAGACACATTTTTATACACTCAGGGGAATTTAATCCTAACTTATATACATAGCAGAGTGTTCAGAACTTTGAAATCACTTTCATAAAGTTGTATGCATATTTTTCATTCATATTTCATATTTTGTATGAAGCTATAACAAAATCAGTTAGTTTATATATTTAAAATCTACTATAGGCAGACATGTTCGTATAAGGGGACGGCTCACGCAACAGAAGAAAGGACAACCTGAGAAGCCATTGCAATAAACGTACTTCAGTAAGTCATTTAATGGCTCCTCACAGTCAATCATTCTGTATCTTGTTTTATGTCTATCAAGTAATGTCATAAAGTTCTTACAGACTTCTTGACTCAAAGTGTTAGCTATGCACATGCCACAATGCTTTTTTAGATTTGAGGATTGGCCAAGCCTTTTTGTAGGCCCTGAGGAATAGGCAATGGTTTCAGCACTTTGATCATCACATGCATGTATTAAAACACATGAACTGTATTCATGGGCCCTTAATCAGATCATCTCTTATTTTGACTTTAAGCATGAGGTTAACAAGTGAGATCATCTGAGTTCTCTAGCCCAGAGTAGATTAGACTCAGCACATCAGAGGAGACACTGGAGACAGGCTGCCAAGAGCCAGAAAAGCTGTCAAGAAACAGAGATCCCTTTGTGCTTTGATGTTTTTCAAAGTCATGAGAAGATTATGAATTTACCTTTTCCAGGTATAGCTTGTGAAATAATATTGCCCTGTGAATTGAAAGGAACACATTAAGAAACCATTTTTAAATTCAACAAAACATGTTAGCTATCTAAAGCACCAATGCTTTTAAAAGAGTTAATACTGTCTTTAAATATTAAAGGAACAGGGGCTACTGGGCGGCTCAGTCAGTTAAGTGTCAAACTTCAGCTCAGGTCATGATCACATGGCTTGTGAGTTCAAGCCCTGCTTTGGGCTCTGTGCTGACAGCTCAGAGCCTAGAGCCTGCTTCAGATTCTGTGTCTTCCCCTTTCTCTCCCCTTCTCATGATCATGCTCTGTCTCTCAATGATAAATAAACTTTGAAAAATTTTTAAATATTAAAGAAACAGATTTTTGCAATAGTTACTAAGACATGGCAAAGCATAAACTTTGTTTTCAAACTTAGAGTTCAAAGATGTGAATTTAATTAAATAATTGCCTAAAGGTTTAAGTTTGTGACATTAAAACAAAGAATATGTGAGTTTATTAAATGATTGAATCTTATAAGTTAAATTATTTTTTAATGCTTTATTTATTTCTGAGAGAGAGAGATAGCAAGAGCAGGGGAGGGTCAGAGAGAGAGAGAGAGACACAGAATCCAAAACAGGCTCCAGACTCTGAGCTAACTGTCAACACAGAGCCCAAAGCGGGGCTTGAATCCACGAACCATGAGATCATGACCTGAGTTAAGTCAGACGCTTAACTGACTGAGCGACCCAGGCACCCCTTATAATATAAGTTAAATTAAAACAATAATATCCTTAACTAGTTATTCTACTTGGTATGAAGCACCTGCCATTACTACAGATTGAATATAATGACATTATGATCGGCAATGAATAAATATACAGAACCTAGAAAGTAGATTTCAAATTATAAAAGTGGTTCTTCCAAATTTTAGTAAGGAAATTAAGTTGAATTCGTTTATGCAACTGTTTTTTCTGGAACACAATTAAAATATGTATAAAAGGGGGGCGCCTGGGTGGCTTAGTCGGTTAAGCGTCCGACGTTCGCTTAGGTCATGATCTCGCGGTTCGTGGGTTCGAGCCCCGCGTCGGGCTCTGTGCTGACTGCCAGCTCAGAGCCTGGAGCCTGTTTCAGAGTCTGTGACTCCCTCTCTCTCTGACCCTTCCCTGCTCACGCTGTCTCTCTCTCTCTCTCTCCTAGAAATAAATAAAACATTAAAAAAAATATGTATAAAAGGTAAAATGGTATAGTCATACAGACAAACGATGGGTGATAGCAACAATATTTTGGATGATATAAAGTAGAGGCAGGTGATAACAGAGCTGAGATAACTGAAAAGTAAGTGAAAAGCAATCCCATCCATGCCTTAGGGTCCCTGAAACAATTAGCAGGCATCTGAGATGGAGAGAATGAGATATGGGCTCATATCAAAACACAGGAATGGATTAAATGTGTCACAGCAACAGACAAATCCCCACTTTGCCCTAAATCCTTTCAACTTTAGCATCTAGCCTTCTTCTTCCTAACCGGAATACTGGAAATAGCTTAATGAGGAAAAATTAAAAGAGCAATCTCCAGATATCAGTCCACAGGTACTGTGGGAAACACGAGAAGCAACTATAAGAGAGGAGAGGAATTAAGTGAAAGTCTACATGCTGAACTTTCAGCTCTCAACTTCTCTGTGCTATTTGGTTCAACAACACTTATAGATAAGTGTATACCAACCTCTGTGACCCAATCCATAGCAGGAGGGAGATTAGAGGACTCTATACTGGAGAAATTGACCAGAGTCGGGGGAAAACCCTAAGAAATCTACATTTGGAGCTAATCCCACTCCCAAATGAACCTCATTTATCCCCAATTATCCTAAATTAATTACCCTATCAGCTGACAAGCTCTAGCCATCCTATAAAGCTGCTTCCAGCCCAGCAGCTCTTTAATGCCATAAATTCTTTAGACACATATATGCAGCAGAGTATCACCAGACAATTGAGGAAGGAGTCTTATATCAGAGAAAGAAACTAAAGGGTGTGGGTGGGGAGATTAATGGAAAACAAACTATATAGGGATATATTTTTTAAATTGGTAATATTAGAAAGATAAGGTAATATCCATCTATCAATTAAGAAATGTGTACAAAAATAAAGAATGAGAGCTCTTAGAAACTAAATATAGGAAAGTGAAATAAATTTTACAGAAAGTTTGGATGACAAAGTTGACACAAAAGACAAAGAGATTAAAGCTATAAATTGTTTAGAAGAAAACCTAGGAGGAAAGCTTCCTCCTAGGATCCCACTGGATTTTACAGTGATTTCTTGGTTATGATACTAAACAACAACAATAACAAATGTAAAAATAGATACTACGTCAAAATAAAAACAGTTCTGTGCATCAAAGGACACAATCAATACAGTACAACCTATAGAATGGGAGAAGATATCTGCAAATCATGTATCTGAGAAAAGGGTAACATCAAGAATATATGAAGAACTTATACAAAGAACAACAGAAAACAAATAAATTAATTTAAAAATTGGCAAGGGACTTAAGTAGATGTTTACCCAAATAAGATATACAAATGACCAACAAGCACATGAAAAGATGTTCAACATCACTAATCATTAGGAAAATGCAAATCAAAAGTATAATGAGATGCAACCTCATACCCATTATGATGGCTACTATTATTAAAAAAATAAAAACAGGAATGGATGTTGGTGAGGACGTGGGGAAATTGGAAGCCTTGTGCACTCCTAGTCGGAATATAAAATGAAAAACAGTATCGCAGCTTCTGAAAAATAAAAGTTGATTTACCATGTAATCCAACAATTCCTCACTGGAATAAAAACCCAACAGAATTGAAAGCAGTGTCTCGAGATATGTCTATACCCATGGTCATAGCAGCGTTATTCACCCAGTGTCCATTGCTGGCTGGATAAATAAACAATGTGATATACATATATATGTATATATACTATTCCATTATATTATATACTATTACATATATGTGTGTATATATATGTGTGTGTATATATATACATATATATAATTATATGTACAATCAACCTTAAAGGAAAAAATCTGACACATGCTACAACATGGACTGGACTTTGGAAACATCATACTAGATGATATAAGCCAGTCACAAACATAAATACTGTATGATTCCACTTATATAAGGGTACCTAGAGTAGTCAAATTCATAGAGACAAAAGTAGGATAGTGGCTATAAGGGACTGAGAGAAGGGGGAGTGAGAAATTGTTTAATGGGTATAGACTTTTAGTTCTGTAATATGAAATAAGGTCTGGGGACACCTGGGTGGCTCAGTCAGTTAAGCATCCAACTTTGGCTCAGGTCATGATCTCACGGTTCCTGGGTTCGAGGCCCACATCAGGCTCTGTGCTGAACGCTTGCTCAGAGCCTGGAGCTTGTTTCGGATTCTGTGTCTCCTTCTCTCTCTGCCCCTCCCCCACTCATGCTCTGTCTTACTCTGTCTCTCAAAAATAAATAAATGTAAAATTAAAAAAAATTTTTAAAAAGAAATAAGGTCTGGAGATTGGTGTGCAGCAATGTGAATATACTTAACATTGTGCTGAGAAGAGGGAATTCTCCAAGAGACAGCAGTAAGAAAAATCATCCAGAACTGAATAAATCCTCCAGGAAATACTATTGAGAGTAATTATCCAGAACTGAACAATTATCCAGGATGAATGGGTTCATGAAGTACCCAATACAGTTCATGTAAAAAGACTCATACCAAGGCTAATCACTGCAAAGTTTAATTATTTCCAGAATGAAAAGACAACCCTAAAAGTCTCTGAGATTGCAGAGAGTCACATACGAATGATCAAGAATCTCAATGTCACGTGTGTTCTCAAGGAGAAGGCTTATATGTTCTGCAAATACATTGCAGAATGCTATCAAGATCAAGATAATTTATAAATTCATCCCCTCACACAGTTAACATAGTTAACTATTCTTTGTGTGTGTGTGGTGACATTCAGTAAAGGTTAAAGGGGAAAAAAAGGGAAACCAATGCTTGAAAGTAGAAGACAAGGCATTAAGAAAAAACTGCAAACACATAAATTCTCCTAATTTCCACTACTCATAAATCTTTTCCCAGAAGTTTCAGAAAATGCATCTCACCAAAATTAGATTATAACCTAGAAGAACATAGCTTCCAGAAAACAGGAAATCCATCACAGAGAGATAAAAGGAAGTCTCAAGATGACAGGTGTGAGGTTCCATTCATTTGAACTGTAGGAAGAAAGCAAAGGATTCTGGCATGGGGAGATGTGTCTCCAGGAATATAATTGGCACTTAAAAAATACATAATGTATTTGTGTGCCAAACAGTCTCTAGAGGGATTTTCTTTTCCTTCCTCCCTCCCTTCCTTCCTTCCTTCCTTCCCACCCTCTTCCCTTCCTCCGTCCCTCCCTTTATTTCTTTCTTTCTTATTTGGGAAGGTTTATTAATGTGTCATAGAAAAGTAACCAAATGATAGGTATCTGGGGAGCTCAGTTGGCTAAGTGTCTGACTCTTGATTTTGGCTGATCTCAGGGTTCATGGGCTCAAGCCCCACATCAGGCTCCAGGCTGACAGTGTCGATCCTGCTTGGGATTCTCTCTGTCTCCCTGTCCCTCTCCTGCTTGTGCACACTCACTCTATCTCTCCCCACCACCTGTGTCTCAAAATATATGAATTTGAAAAAAAGGAAAAGTAATCCAAATGAAAAAATGCCATAATTAGCTTGTACAAAAAGCTATGTAAGAAATGTCATTGTATTTTCTTCCACAGTAATAACCCTTACATAGCTAGAACAACAATTCAGTGAAGACTTCTGAAATAAATCCAGCACACTGACCAAAGTTGAAATATCAGACACTGTAAGTGTTGGCCAGGGTGTGGTGTGAAGTACATTCTTATCCAGGGCTGACAGAAGTGGATATTGATAAACCTGCATCAGAAAATTGTTTGGCATTTTGTTGTGATGTTAAATGGGTAAATGCCCGTCAATCACACTCTCACTCAGATTCACATCCTGGAGCTGGGATCCTAGTCTAGTGTCATTTGGGGCCCATTGTTAAGACTTCAGGAATCCACGAATATGGATGATTGAAAAAAATTCATCTTTAGTCCAAGCTCAGCATTTTCCTCCATTATCAATTTCTGAATGCAGATGAGTAGCCACAATGTTATTAACAATAATTGTGACTTTACCCACAAAAGAATCACAGTACTCTACGTATCATTAGAATGGCAAATATCCTAAAATGTCATGTTGTTGATCACTACTCTGAAATTACACAGTTAGGAGGCACATTGTCACATTTCAAGCGGCCAGGTCTTATTCTCTCTGGATACTCCCATGACCTGTAGCTGGCCAATCATTTGACAACTATACTTAGCAGTCATTCCACCCCCAAACAGCCAAGTTATGTGCCGTCACAGTGCTGACACAGACCTCTAATTTGCTTTCCACTATTCCTTATCAATAGTCAACTAATATGCAGACACAAATTAGTTGTCTTCATTGTGTGTTAAGGTTTTAAAGAAATTGGCAAAGGGACCCATAGTCCATAAAAGGTTACAAACCCTGGAGCTAAGGAAACTCTTGCACATGCATTCAGGGACCGCAAAGAATAGTCATGAAACTACTGATTACGATAGTAAGAAACATGAAGCCATGAATAAAGCCATTAACAATGTGAAAGATTAAAAAACACAGTAGGTTGGTTATCCATTAAATACCTTCAACCAGGGAAATGAATCAACTGTGACATGCAGCAAGAGACACATCTCAGAAATGATGTTAAGTAGAGGGAGTCCCAGAAGAATTCATATGAATCCATTCAAATAAAATTATATAGCAATTAAACTAAGCTTATATTGTTTATAAACATGTACATAATAGGCAAAACTAGAAGAGTATGGGGTTGGTTAACACCAAACTCTGAATGGCGGACAGGAGATACAACCCAGAAGAGACACACAGGGGACTGTTATGAGTAAGCCATGTTTGTAGCTAGATGATAGATATGTAAAAAGCTTAGTTTCACAGTATTCTTTATTCTGTTCAAATGCATGCTATGCATTCTTTGGTGTATAACATATTTCACAAGTTAAGAAAAAAACATTTTAGAATTAATAGTTGGGCCAATAATAAGGGTAACATAGTTACCTGAGATACTGCTCCTGTCAATTGACTTATGTCTGGCTGGCTAAAGAAGATGGTTTCATCATTTTCAGTAAGGGGAGGTAAGCCAGATCCTGGAGGTACCCCTTTCTTGATAAACGATTGTACAAAGTGACTAATGAAAAAAAAAAAAAAAAAAAAACTCTGTTACCTTAATTTCTTGTTTAAAGTTATAACTGCATTTTTTTATTGAGGCGTAATTGCCATATAACATGATATTAGTTTCAGGTGTATGATGTGATGATTTTACAGCCATATGTATTGTAAAATGATCATATGTCTAGTTACCAACCATCACCACACATACTTACCATTTTTTTCTTGTAATGCGAACTCTTAAGATAGACTCTTTTAGCAGCTTTCACATATACAATACAGTATTGTTAACTATAGTCATCATGCTGTACATTGCATGTCATGACATTTACTTCATAACTGGAACCTTGTACCTTTTGACTCCTCCTTTACCCATGTCACCCACCCTTTATCTCTGGCAACCACCAATCTGTTTTCTTGGATGTTTTATTTTGTTTTTGAATTTTTAGATTTCACATGTAAGTGAGATCATATGGTATTCAATTTTCTCTGTCTGCCTTATTTCACTTAGCATAAGGCCCTCAAGGTCCATCCATGTTGTCATAAATAGTAAGATTCCCTTTTTTATGGCTGAATGCTATTCATTGTATATTAAGTAACAGCAGTTTTATCAACAGAAATTTCTGATTTTTTCATTTCATCATCTCACCCTATAAAATCCACTAATATATTTTTATTTCATATTAAACACATTGACCTGCTTCTTTACTATGAAGAAGTATCTCTATCTGTCAACGCACTGCTGTAAAAATTTTCTGGAAAACTATTTTAAAACTATGATGGTAATCTTTAAACGTTGATGATTAGGACGCAGGAATTTGACATTTAGACTTGATTTAACTCAGTATCAGAGTAACGTATCACTGGGATAGGGCTCAGAATCAGAAATTTAACTGTAAGTCTTGAGTACTTGAGTCTTATAACTGTGGCATTCCTACTGGCTACTCAAGTGTACAGTATTTCCTTTCAAGTAATTGCTGATAGGATCTTGAATCACCATTGTCATACCTCAAAGTTTATAGGCAAAATAAAAAGACATTTGCTGCAGCACATATATTTGGCATTAATTATTTGTCAAAGATAAAATTAAATTTCATGTATACAGACTTCCTAAACTTTCTTTTTTTCCCTTGCTAATGTTCAGTGTGAAAGTTCTTAGTTCACATGTTAAGCATCTCTGATTTACTTGGAACTGCCACTAGAGGGTAGCACAAACATATTTGTTGGGAGACTTTGGGTCTCTTCCACTTGGCCAGGAGCCAGGAATGGGTAGCTCTGGCATGTTGCTATAGAGGTAGTTTTTCAGGGAAAGGCACTTGTGATCAAAGTCTCTCTCAAGGGCTCGCCAAAAAAGGGCTTGCATTCATGTTGATCTGAGAACTCTGACTGCACAGCAAAACAAGACAAGGGACATTTTTTCGTGTACGATAAAAGACCATTCACATATCTTTGTTTTTGCTCTGGCAGATTGAATAAATATGCCAAGAAATTCATATCAGATTCAAACAGTGAATAGACTAGTTGAATCCAATCAGGTGCCAAAGTCATCTAGATCTGTTGTAGACTTCCGTCCACCTTGACCAGATAATAAAGCTGAATGAAAGTATAAGAAAATGGAGTAAGGAAGTAACTCGAGGAGTTCAGGTTACAAAACCAACTCATTTGCGATGCCTATTGGCACAGAGATTCTAGAAATTTGGGAATGACATTTTGAGTCGTGAGAAAATTTCTCCTGGTTGTCTGCAACTCTGATTCTCAAATTCCATAAAATCTCTGGTTAGTATGAAAATTCAATCAATTGAGAGATAGTAAAAAATGATTTGGAATGGAAAAATCATTATCTTAGTGAGTAATATTAAGTATGAAATTAATTAGGAAAATTATGAAGCACTAACATTTTATGTTAAGTTCAGCAAATTCTATGTATATGTGCTATTTTGTATTTGTAGCATATGAAAGAATTTAGCATGTTACATAATGTGGCAAATTAGGCTTTAAAATATACATGGCATATTTAATTTTAGCTTTATGATTATGTTACAAGGTATAAGAAAATTTTGGTTTATAAAAACTAATGGTATGTATAGGAAAAATTAAGATTCTCAAAATATGTGAGTTTGATTATTTAAACTTAAAAAATTTTTTATTAATGTTTATTTACTTTTGAGAGAGAGACAAAATACAAGTGGAGGAGGGGCAGAGAGAGAGGGAAACACAGAATCCAAAGCAGGCTCCATGCTCTGAGCTGTCAGCATAAAGCCGGACATGGGGTCAAACTCGCCAACAGTGAGATCATGACCTAAGCCAAAGTCAGACAGTAAACTTAGAGACTCAGATGCACTGATTATTTGAACTTTTATGATTTAAATACTTGGCAAGATTTTATTTACTATGATTTTTGGCTTTTAAAGTGCTTAAAGAGATAACGACATATAATGATATTATAAATGCCATTTAAAATTCTTAAATAAGGGAACCTGGGTGGCTCAACTGAGCATCCAACTCTTGACTTCACCTCAGATCATAATCTCATGTTTGTGAGTTCAGGTCCCAGGTCAGGCTCTGTGCTGAATGAAAGATTCTCTCTCTCTCTCTCTCTCTGCTCCTCTCCCACTTTCATTCTCTCCCTCCCCCTCAAAATACACTTAAAAAATTAAAAAAGCTTAAATAAATTTATTTACAACTTTAATGGAATTAATAGATTAATGTATAACATAAAATTTTATTAAAAATTAAAACAAAAGTTTGAGGAAAACTAGATTTACAAATTTGTGACAGTAACACATTTTTTAAATCAAAGTAGCAACAAACTGTCTTTTTGGTTTTCAGAGCTGTCTTTCAAGACTTGACATTGGTGACTGCCAATGACTGCCTTGTAGTAGGGCTGCCTAGGAAGTCCCTCCTAACACCTTCTCAGTGTTCAATTTTTGATGCAATGTATTTTTAAAATACAATCAAAACAGAAACAGATCATAAATGTAAAACTTGCTGAAAATCCCAGAGTAAGCATGGCCATATCACCGTTATTCTGATCAAGGGACATTATCGTCACCAGTGACCCATAAGTGAGTCCTGCTGGATGTGTCTGCCAGCCACGGCCAGTCCTGCGCACCACAGAAAACCATTCTCCTGACTTCCAACACCATAGATTGCTTTTTTTTCCCCTCATGCTGTATATTAATAGAATAATTAAAAGCAACCCATGTACGTTTTCTTCCAGACTTTTTTGGATCTAATATTTCATGTGTGTAACTCATCTATGTTGATGTGTGAGGCAGCCTTTCTTTCACTGTCTCAGGTCACTGTAACTGATTTGTCTTCGGTTTCACTGAGATGGGCCCAGCTGCAGTTTCCTCTGTATTTACTTGTTGGATTTCAGAACTTCCTGAATCTTGACTTGATTTTTTTTTTTTTTTTTTTTTTACTTTTGGGACATTTTGGCATTATATTTTCAGTTTCTGACTATTCCCCCATCTCTCTATCCTCTATGTCTGATACCACTTGGAAGAATGTTTCTCCTTTTCAACCTATTCCATTTGTTTTTACTATGCTTTTCCCTTTCTTTTTTCTTCCTCCCTCCCTCCCTCCCTTCCTTCCTTCCTTCCTTCCTTCCTTCCTTCCTTCCTTCCTTCCTTCCTTCCTTCCCTCCTTCCTTCCCTCCTTCCTTCCTTCCTTCCTTCCTTCCTTCCTTCCTCTTCCTTCCTTTCATCCTTTCTTCCTTTCTTCTTTGTCTTTGTGCTTCAGTTGGGATATTATCCCTGATCTATTTTCCATTTTTCTGTCTTTTTTAGCTGCATCTAATCTCAGATGAAACACATCCATTGAATTCTTAGTTTTAATTATTGTATTCCTTGAATTATTGAATTCCTAGAATTCCCATTTAATTTTTTAAACCCCTTTCACATATTATTATTTAATTTTTATGTATAGCAAATTTGTGGATCGGTAATTCAAGTACAATTAACTGCAAAATTCAGAGTACAAATTTGGCAATTTTGACATATGTATATATCCATGTATTAGTTATCCATGGCTGCATAAGAAATTACCACACTTTGAGTGGTAATAATCATATCTTCCACTCATATCACTCACTGTTTCTTCTCATTATTGATATTTGTTGACTTCCTGTTCACTTATCTGAACTCATTAGAAATCCTAGATCCAGGATGTTAGTCTTTCTTTCTTTGTCATATTCAAATGTCAGTATATTTGGGTTTCTCCTCCTCTTTTTACTTTTTTATTGTCTTTGTTGTTCTATTTAGGGATTTTTCTTCCTCTAAAAGTGACATACCTTCATCTCCCTGGTTTCTATGACAATCATCTGCTCTTATGACTTAAGTAGCAGATAATAACCAAAAACATTTGCTAGGTACAAATGTTTAAGTTAAACAGTGTACTTCATTGTTCTAAAACAGTGGCCAAAGCCATAAAGTCTGGCATATTTAAGCTTTATTTTAATTGATTCAGAATTTATCTTAGCTACTTATTACTGTGGGAAAAAATCTAAGAATATTGTTTTCTTATATTCACTGTCACCAAAGCATAATTGTCAGAAAATTTGTCTTATAACTGTAGATAATTCACACACACTTCATGTGTCAGCCAGATGTATTTCTGGGAAAGAATGTGATATACTTACGTTTCTGTTGGAATTGCAAGTGGAGTCATCCTATAATTCAAAAACGGACTTGAAATTTCAAGAAACTTTTCAGGCTTCTTTATTATTGTTTCTAAAAGAAAAATTCTCTACTATTGATTCTTTATTATTGGTTCTATAAGATCTAGAAGATTCTAAAGGATCTAAAAGATTATTATCGATTCAGTGTGATATACTTTTATAATCTGAGATTAAATGTATAACTTAACATCTACTGTAGTACTGATTAGAATAACTATTTATCCAGCAAACACACAATGTCAAACAATGTCTTCTTATTATTACTGGACATTCACTTTAAAAGCTTTTCACTAAAAACTGTTCTTTTAGTTAACTTCTGCAACACAATTGCTCAAATATGGAGAAGAAATGCAGACTAATACCTGGAGATGGTACTAGAAGAGCCGAAAAATGTAACAAAGTCAAGGTCATGGGTAAGAAAGAAAGCATTAGATCAAGAAAGGCTTTGTGAATATTTCTAAAGGAACCCGAAGCTAATATAGGAGTTAGAAATTCTCAGTGGAGAAGCACCTGGGTGGCTCAGTGGGCTGAGCTTCCAAATCTTGGTTTTGGCTCAAGTCATGATCTCACAGTCCATGGGTTAGAGCCCCGTATCTGGCTCTGCGCTAACAGCACTAAGCCTGCTTGGAATTCTCTCTCTCTGTCCCTCCCTCCCTCTCTCTCCTTCTCTCTCAAAATCAATAAATAAACATTTAAAAAAAAGAAATTAAAAAATTCTCAATATATATAGAACAGAGCTCAAGCACTAACACAGTGATCACTGTGATCAAATTAAACATTAGAGATGATTATTTTAATAAAAGCTCCTGCAACAATGGAAAGATGCCCACTGGAGAAAAATAACTGAAACATTGACACAGTGCACATAACTCCTCTGTGCTTATTCCTTGGTAACCTCTCAAATGATCTCTCTTGCACACGCTGTCTCTCTTCCTATTTCCTGTTAATTTTCACCTTAAATATTAAACTCAATAGATAGAAGAAAGACAATTATGGGGTGTGCCTCGAGGTGGGACACACAGGTTGGAATCCCACCAATTTTAGATTTTCTTCCCCAGCTCGCCCTAGAGCCATCACTTAACTACAATTACACTGTATCAATAGGGAAATTAGAAAATGTCTGTATGTTCAATATTTTTCCCTTCATTCAGCTATTCTTTGATGCTTTTCTTTATTCAGCTATTCTTTGATGCATTTTAGAGCAAAAGATTTTCTTTCAAGCATCATGTGTATGCTGATCTTTGGTTTGGAAGGACAGCGAACAGGAAAGAAGACAGAAAGGATGGAGGGGGGGAGAGAGGGAGGAAGGAATGTCCTGTATCCCAGTGCAGCAGCCAGCCCAACAGCCAACTGCAGAAGCTCAATGAAAGGAAAAGACTGAAATAGTCAAGCAGGTGAGAGAGGGCCAGACAGGCCTGATTAAAAAAACAAAATCAAAAACCCTGACCATTTCTTCTTTCCATCCAAACCAGATATTTCTTTAATCCTTGTTCTTTTCTCACAAAGATTTAACGTGTTTTGCTAGAAAATCTTTGCTACCAGCTGGACTCTTACATCATGTAGGCAAGAAGCAAAGGCGAAGAAAATAACACGGTTACAGTTTTAATTTATATTTTAAAAACATGTAAATTATGGTTGGAAGCAGGAGGCGGGGAACAGGTAAGTCTCTCAATCCATGTCGTCATTGCAGCTGTAGAAACCTCAGCACCACGGAGACTTCCATATTACACTGTGACCAAGACAGGGTTCTCTGGTCTCCTGCCACCAAGGATCAGCACCACTCACATTGGTACCAATGCAAGTAGCTACAGCAGGCACCACCGATAGGGGTGTAAGCCTTGGTGCGTGGGACCGAACGCTTAAAGCAAACTTAGAAGCTTCACAGCGACGCCACTGGTAAATCGGCACTAGGTATGTTTATGGTGGCTTTGCCTTCATTGTTCATGCAGGTAACAGGCCTGTAAACACAGCCTTTAATGCATAACCTCTAGAAGGTGATGTACTGTGGTTGGATTAATATAATCAGACAATCACGAGCAATTAGCAAAGACAAAGGGAGAAAATGCAAAATCAAGGAAACAAACACAAAAGACATTTTTTTTAAAAAAGCTTTTTTGAACAAAGGCAATTTAAGCTTTTCAGAATAAGAAATATATATGTATGTATGTATGTATATATATATAATCTATAAAATGTCAATTCTTCATTATCCTTTATTAAAAATTGCAAATGCTAAATTAGCTATGGAAACACTGTAGATGTTGAATAAACAAAGCTTGAGTCATTTTACTAGGCCAAAATGTTTAAAAAATTTTTTTAAGTATATTTATTTATTTTGAGAGAGAGAGAGAGAGCAGGGAAGGGGCAGAGAGAGAGGGAGAGAGAATCCCAAGCAGGCTCTGCACTGTCAGCCTAAAACTCAATCCAGGGCTTGAACTCACAAACTATGAGATCATGACCTGAGCTGAAACCAAGAGTTGGACCCTTAACTGACTGAGCCACCCAGGCACACTGTAGGCCATAAATTTTTATTTTTTAAATGTTTTATTTATTTCAGAGAGAGAGAGAGAGAGAGTGCATGAACAGGGAAGGGTGAAGGAAAGAGAGAGACAGAATCCGAAACAGGATCCAGGCTCTGAGCTAGCCGTCAGCACACAGCCTGATGCGGGGCTCAAACCCACGAACCGTGAGATCATGACCTGAGCTGAAGTCGAACACTTAACCAACTGAGCCACCCAGGAGCCTCCATAATTTTTAAATTTTACGTTTTGTTTCTCCTTTAATCCCATCTCCTTAGATTCATGTGTCTCTTTTAGAATTGAGTTTCTTTTAATGCTCTCACTCATTTGTTTTGCCATTCAAACTTGGTGCTTATGAAAAAATGAAGTCAGAGTGAAGACTTGGAGAGAACAACATTGAAGGAGTAAAGACAGAGATTTGGATTGTGAAGAAGCTGGAAGTAAACTGAGAATAAGGACAAGGTGGGCAGGATGCTGGGGTGGCTTAGTCTTTTAAGTGTCCAACTCTTCATCTGGGCTCAGGTCATGATCTCACAGTTCCGTTGGTGAGATCGAGCCCCATGTAGAGCTCTGTGCTAACACTGCAGAACCTGCTTGGTATTCTCTCCCTCCCTCTCTCTGTGCTCCTCATGCACTCTCAAAATATATAAACTTAAAAAAATGATCAAAATATTTTTAAAAAAAGAACGAGGTAAGCAGAGTCTCCCACCCCACCCTAAGCCCACGTGAACCTCTTTATATCTAGCATAACTACCATTCACAGTGACTTCAACAGTATTCACACAGGAACCAGTCCAGGAAGGAAGTTCTATGTCTATATTCTAAATATAAATCAGTTAATTCAAAGACTATGTTCTATAGGTCACTCTAGAGTGATTTCACACCAAGACCTTAAATATGTTATTTAAGTTTCTTTTGTATTATTTGCTACAAACCATTTTCTATCACAATAATGACAATACCCTCACGCAAAGAATGGCCTGGATATATCTGGTCAGTTTAGATGTGAACCAAACTATTGTTTCTGAGATGTGGAGCATTAATTCTTTAAAGATATAAAATTTAGGGGCATCTGGGTGGCTCAGTTGGTTTAAGCGTCTGACTTTGGCTCAAGTGATGATCTCGCAGTTCATGAGTTCGAGCCCCACATCAGACTCTGTGCTGACAGCTCAGAGCCTGGAGCCTGCTTCAGATTCTGTGTCTCCCTCTCTCTCTGCCCCTCCCCTGAATGTTCTGTTGTCTGTCTGTCTGTCTCTTTCTCTCTCAAAAATAAATAAACATTCAAAAAATTAAAGACATAAAATTTAGACATAAAATTAAATGTAAGCTTTAGATGTGATGTTGGGTAGTTTGCCTTGATAGACATATTCCATCACAAATTCAACTGTTGGGCCTTCAGCTCAAGAAATGATCATTAGAAAGGTTTTCAGACAACATGAACCATACCTTGAGCTTCATCTGTTATAACAGTTTCCTTTTTTTGACGGAAGAGTTTCCAGGCAGGCACAGGAGGTGGTTTTGGAGGTGCTATGAGAGGGCACGACCTAGTTCTAGTCACCAGCACAGGATGGCTACAGATGTGGGAAAGACCATATTCTCTCAGCTTCTCCGCAGAATTAGCCTAAAGAGTGGAAGTCACGTTTGAAAGGATATATGCAATTGCCTTGTGCACTTAAAAAATACTTCCTGTCATTATGAAAATGCTGTTACCACAAGAAAGTGGTAATAAAGGAAAAATAACCCACATTTCGACCTCCTAACATAAGCACTAGTACCATTGGTACTTCTTGTCCTGTTTTTAAAATTTTTCTGAGTCTCCTATCTACTGATTTACAAAATGAGAGACTTGAACTAGAAACCACTTTTCAGTTCTAAATGTTTAAGATGTTCTGAGATTGGAAAAAAACCTCAGCACCTCAGTTTTGGCCCAACATTAATCAACCATTACTGTTCTGGGTTAATGCTTTAATAACAATGCTTAAAATGTGAAGGTTGTGTTTGTTTGTTTAGCCTCCAGCAAACTACATTGTTTCAAGGGAAAAAATCCACTGCATAAAGTAGGTGAGGCCCATGAGGTGATAAGTCGGTGCCTTGTCTATAGCTCATGCCCTCACCATCCAACAGAGGCTGTCGCACAGGAAATCCCCGAGATCTCTCCAGACAATGGAGCCTTTCATAAAGGGCAGAGGAGAGAGGCTGCCCTAAATCCTGCTAAATCAAGTCATTGTCTGGGAAGATGCTTCCCATATTCGACTGTTCCCATCTCCTGAAGCCACGCTGCTTTGGCACAATTCAGAATCATATTTAAGCAGAACTTCAGTTACTAACTGATAGCTGAAATATGCCGTAAGAAATCAAAAAGTCTGCGAAAGTTAAAGTAATATATTCTGTCGCCAAATTCTGGCATTCACAGTCTAAATGTTGAAACATTTCAAGTAAAATAAAATAACTACATTTAAGTCAGTTTTGCCAATAACTACTTTTCTTCCTGGTGATTTTGCATCATTGATTTCTATGCAAATAGCAATGCCTGAAAACGTACATGTATAAAGTTGTCATTTAAATTGGGCCCAGAAACCCACCTATTAGCCCATTGCAAACTATTGACTCAGCCAGGCATGCCTTACTCTTGTCACTGTTTTACTACAGCTCAATGCACACTTCCGGGACGTGCAAAATAGGTGGGGTCGCTGTGAGATAAAACAGTTCTTGGTGAATCCAGGGACTAACTAATGACTGTAACAATTAATTCATAATTGAAAGGAGACAATCAGCCCACTATAGAGTCCAGAAAAGGCACTTAAAAGTGTTTAAATATGCAAAATAAAAAGGAAAGTGATTCAATGTTAAAGGCAGTGGGGGAAGGCCTAATAAAAAATAGAAGGAATTGTTACATCCCCTTTATCGTTTTTGTGAATGTTAGCAATTCCTTGAAAAAGAATTTGGAAACCTCCAATATTATGCCTTTGAGTGGCTTAAAAAATGTTTTTTTGGGGCCCCTGGGTGGCTTAGTCGGTTAAGTGCCCGACTTCAGCTCAGGTCATGATCTCATGGTTTGTGGGCTCGAACCCCGCTTTGGGCTCTGTGCTGACAGCTCAGAGCCTGGAGCCTGTTTCAGATTCTGTGTCTCCCTCTCTCTCTGACTCTCCCCTGTTCATGCTGTCTCTCTCTCTCTTAGAAATAAATAAAACTTTGGAAAATATATTTTTTCATAAATGTTCTAAATTCTAATCCTTTTTTCTATAGTTTTTGCCCCGCCAAGTTTAAAAGTTTCCCAACATTCGAGATGGGGATTTATAGGATGATTTATTGATGTTATATCGTATGACAATGTCTCAGTATAGTAAGAAAGACCAGTACGATAAAATTTATACTTTGTCTCCAGAATCGAAGCCATGCCCATAGTAGTATTTATAAACTGAGTCACTTCCAAATAGCTTATTATTGAATATTTATCAAATTTTGTCTACATATCTCAAATTCTTCTTATAACTGTAACCAAAGATGTAGATTCTTTACTCTTTCTGGAGCCACACAGCATTGGAAAAGAAAAATATTTTAAGGCATTTGAAAATGGAAGGTTTAGTGTCAAAAATTAAGTATCATGTTAAACATCTATTGTATTGTTTGGATAATCCACAAAAATACTAGCTGATTTGAGGTAAATAAGCTGATTTCTCATACTTTAACTCCAACATACCATACAATACTTCTGAATTATGTAAGGAAGCAATGCTATTGATAACAGCTATAGTTTGATGTTGAGAAACTTTGTTAAAAGATCTCAAATTTTCTTACATTAAAGTTAGAAGCATAGAGAGACTTGGAATAGTAAAATTTCACTCAGGTGAAACCCTTGGTAGGCACTTAAGAAATAGTTCTGAATAATTCATGTGTAAACTTAAATCAGAAGTTTCCTTGCCCATAAGAATTTTTTCATCCCTCTGCCCCATCCCACCTCAAACATCCTATTTATATTTATTTGTTGTTTTTGTTTTTGTTTTTTTTTAAAGTAAGTTCTACCCCCAGCGTGGGGCTGGAGCCTACTACCAAATGCTCTACTGACTGAGCCAGCCAGGCACCCCTCAAACATTCTAAAAGAGTTTGAGCAAGGGTGTAGCTTTCTTAGAACTTGCAGATTGCATATTTAAATAAAATTAAAACAATTTAGAATATCGAAGAACAAGAAGATGGGAGAATAATGTGGGGCAGTTCATGGCATCCTGTTCCTTTCCAATTTTTCTTATTCTTGTGTTCTAGACCAATTCTTTCAACAAATGTAAACTATTGACTTATTTGTGGTCTTATTGTTTTGGGGGCTATAATTTTTAGCAGTGTACTCCATTTACAAAATGCCATTAGAATACAATTATTTTCTGTTGATTTATCTTTAAAACACTGTGTCTCTTTATATTCTGATTTTGACCAAGAGAACTAGACCAGCCTATTGGCTAATGTAAAAGATTCAGCAGGCAAGTTAGGGAGACAGTGAGGTTCTATAACAGCTCAGTATAGCCTTGAAGTTCATTTTTTTAAATATTAGTTTCAGGTGTGCAATACAGTGATTCAACAATTCATTCAGTGCTCAACAGAAGTATACTCCTTAATCCCTATCACCTACTTCACCCAAGAAACAGACTCTTAACTACAGAGAATGAACTGATGGTTACCAGAGTGGAGGTGGACTGGGGGATGGGTGAAACAGTTCATTTAATTATTGTTCCAGGCATTGGGTTAATTCCTGAACCTCTGGGCCCCTTAAGCCATTTTTAACCCCCAGAGAAAGGATTTATAATACTCTGTATGTCTTGACTTTCTTCAACATCTCAAGCTGCCTCTGAGACTTCTCTCCTTGCTATCTACTCAACTTTTAGTACTTCTCTGAACCCAGCGAGCTCTCCTTCACCTCCAGACTTTCCAACGTTAGTCCCCCTTTGTGTTGAGTACACTTTTTCCTATTTATTAAGCAACTTCTTAAGGCCATCACTTAAACACTTCTTCCTTTGGGAAGGTTTCCTCAGTCAACCATTAAACAGACAGATGTTTCTGCTATGTGTGTCATATTAATTTTTCCACTCATTGATTCATTCATTTGTTCATGCATCCAACACACATTGTTTGAACACTATATTTCTACCATATACCAGATGCCTTGTATGATCTCTGTTATACCAGCTTTCTAACTTTATTACTATTGTTGGCTTGTCTGTCTTCTTCATTAGACTGAGTTTTGTGAGGAGGGAGTTTTTGTTAATCTTGCTCATCACAGGGTCCTCAAAACCTAATTCATTATTTAGCACATAATAGATCATCAGTAAAATCTGTTGGATTAACAATAAACATAGGTGATCTTTTTTGTCCTTAAATTCAAAACTAACTTTGTGCTTAAATATTAATTTCTCAGTGGGACAGCCAAGAGTTCAAACAGATTATTTTGTGTGATTTGTGTGTGTGTGTGTGTGTGTGTGTGTGTGTGTGTGATGTATTCATCCCATTCACGTATTTTATAGTCTTAAAAATAGTTAAGTACTTCCCATAATAAGACCATGGCAGTCCACAAAGCATGGCTCAGGTCATTTTTCAGTCCACAGTATTAGGGCATTTGATCTCTGGAATATTTAAGACAGCATCTAGGCCAATGCCATGTAAAGAGTTTTTAAAAAATCAGGGCTGAGATAGATGACTCCCTCAAATCTTAATCAGAGACCTAAATTGGTGGAGGGCCAAGGAAACACACTTGGATTTAGGCAATGACTAAAGTTAATTAACTTTGAATTAAAATCAGAGAAACTGCCACTATCTCTCCATTCATAATGGCATATTATGTATGCACTGTCATCTCGACAATATTCCCCTGTTAAATGGCAGGCTTTTGTATGAATAAATGGTGTCTGTTCAAAAAGGACAAAGGAGGAGGAAGAAAAGGAAGTGGAGATGGAGGAAGAAGAGCTGGAAAAAAAAGGAGAGAGAGAAAACAAAGGAGTGATAACATTATACTGCTCGGGCAAATCACCTAGAAGACAAATATACTGTGTAGTAAAGTGCAATAAGCATCCAATTGGCTTATTTACACTTCAACCAAATTTTCATCAAATTTTTAATATTCAGGTGTTTGTAACTAACCCAGAGAACATTTATATATAATTATATACTTCCCATAATAATACCATGGCAGCCCACAAAGGATGGCTCAGGTCATTTTTCAGTTCACAGTATCAGAGCATTTGATCTCTGGATTTCTATTTAAGACAGCAACTAGGCTAATGCCATGTAAAGAGGTTTTAAAAAATCTAGTCTTCTCTACTTTAAATGCAATGATTTCAGAACCTAGAATTCTAGAATTAAAGTGCTGGATGTCTAGGGGTCCCCCAAAGGGTTAAGATTTAATAAGCTCCAAATGCAATATTGTGTTTGTTTAAATAGAGTGAAGAGCAAATAAGCTGGTGGACTTCACCCTTTATAAGGGAAGGAGAAAGTGATTTTTATATCCAATAAAAACTCTCGCTGATTGCACCCAGACTTAAAGTGAAAAAGGCTGACCTGCTTAGATTAAAGCCTCGTCCGGAGGGGCCAGCTGCTTATGTATCACACACAGGTTCCTGCAGGACCACCACCCTCCAGGAACAGAGCCTGGGGAGTGGGGGGATGGGGGGGGGATCCAGCTCAGCACTCTCCCTTTGCCCTGATTCAGAACACCAGTATCTCCCAGAAGGAAGCTTCTACAAGCTTCTGATGCCGATGTTTGCAGCAGCCACCCAGAGGAGGCTTGGCTCTGGACTGTCTGGCTCTGGAGGCCAGAGGAGATTGCATTCCTAGTCCTTTGGGACTAGAATAATCAGTGACACCCAGAAAGGAGCTCATATTCCCATCTGGTGCCCTGAATTTGCAGCTACTGCTAGGAGACACCTCTAATGGCCAGGCTCTGGCAGCCAGTGGAGCTTACGCCTGTGGGTCCCACCAGACTGTAACCAATGGAGTCGTTACATTGTCGTTAAACAGCTACCACCCCCAGGGCACAGCAAAAGGCAACAGACCCAGAAGTTCAGTCTTTCTGTGCGGGAGGCCTATGAATTGATCATCATGGCTGCACCCTGAGGGGCAGATTTGAAATTAAACACACATCTTGGGACTGACTGTGATCCCTTCCAGACACCACGGAAGGGAAGCACTATGCTTATGCTTTTCCTCTGCCACCCTCCACCCTCCAGAGTCACCGTGTCTCTTGGAGAGAAGATTCACACATGGTGGGTGCCCTGGTTTTCATGTCCTGTCCAGCCCTCCGGTGTTTGGCAGCAGCTACCCACAGCAGCTACCCACTGGAAGCCTCTGGATTGCCTGGTTCTGACAGAAGGGGGAGCTCGCGTGCCTGGCTCCACAGGACTGTGGCAATTCAGACAGTTCTAGGCAGGCCGCCACCCTCAGTGCACCAAGCAGACAGCGAATTGAGCCCCACCCCAGTCTGTCTGTGAAGGACTCTTGCCTTGTTCTGAGCTTCCTCCTGAGGCAGGCTTCAGGTTCCGCAGTCACCTAGTGGCTATGGAGCTGCCCTGAAGGAACGCTGCGGACACCATCTTGGCATTCTCCCTCTGCTTTGTTCCAGCGCACCAGTATCTCAGGAAAGGGTTTTTTTTTTTTTTTTTTTTTTTTTTTTTTTATTACTTGGGGCCCCAGCTTTTTGAGGCCGCACACCAGGAGATGCTACCAGAGAGCCTGGCCACTTGCTTGCCCTATGACTGTGTATATTTGCATCCTTTTAGGAGCTGCTGCTTATAGGTCTGGCTTCCAAACTGTTTGAATCTAAGTGCTAAGATCCTCCCTTTAGGGACACTGACAGGTCTTTTATACATACATATATATGTACATATGTGTGTGTGTGTGTGTGTGTGTGTGTGTATAATATATATATAATGGACTGCCTGGACACACAGCTGGGGGAAAGATGGTTGTTTCATCTACTGTATAGAAACCAACACAGAGTCAAGCAAGATGAAGAACAGAGGAATATGTGCCAAAATAGAGAGAGAGAAAGAGAGCGAGAACAAGATAAAAACTTAGAGAAAAACCTTAATAAATGGAGATAAGTAATTTATCTCATAAAAAGTTCAAGGTAATGGTCATAAAAATGCTCACTTGACAGGGGAGAAAAATGGATGAACACAGTGAAAACTTGGACAAAAAAGGAAAATATAAAAAAGTACCAAAGTGAAGTCACAGAGCTGAAGAATACAGTAACTAAACTGAAAAGTACACTTAGAGGGGTTCAACAGCAAACTACATAAAACAGAAGAAAGGATCAGTCAACTCATAGACAAGACAATGGAACTCACCCTATCAGACAGAAAAAAAAAAAAAAAACAAAACAGAATGATGGAATATTAGCCATAAAAGAGAATGAAATCTTCCCATTTGTGACAACATGGAATAGACCTCAAGGGCATTATGCTGAATGAAATAAGTCAGACAGAGAAAGACAAATACCGTGTGGTCTCTCATGTGTGGAATCTAAAAGCAAAACAAGCTCATAGAAACAGAGAACAGACTGGTAGAGTTGTCAGAGGCATAAGGTGGGGGGAGGGAGTGAAATGGGTGAAAGGGGTATAAATGTACTTAAATATATATACTTAAAGATTATGAGAAACCCATACAGACCATGTTATTACTAAATATTATGTTGTCAAATATTTAACGTCATGGAAAGAAGTTAATGGTATAGTGTCAAGTGAAAAACCTGGCTTCCAAAATACAATAAATGCATAAAATTTAATTCCACTGTGTGCCTTTGTGTATATTTTCTAAATTTTCTCTAAGTTGTGATATTTATAAGAAAAACTCAATTAATGTTTTTGTGTGTGTTTTATCTAAAGGTACAAAGTCATAACAGTGATTTACCAGATATGGATGTGAGTTCATTTAAATCATCTTATGTTAAGAAAATATTTATGATCTGTTTTTAGAGAGATAATTTATTACTATTTAGATATGTTTACATGATCTTACTGAAATATATAATTCATATGCCTTTTATTTTGCTTTGAATGGAAAAAATGATAATACATGATTCTACTTTTTTTTTTTTACAGTGGCTAAGGGTTTTATTTGCTTTTTTTTTTTTTACAAATAGTTTATTGTCAAATTAGTTTCCACATAACAGTCAGTGCTCATCCCCACAAGTGTCCTCCTCCATGCCCATCCCCCCACCCCCCCACATCCATCAGTCCTATGACCCAGCAATAGCACTGCTAGGAATTTACCCAAGGGATACAGAAATGCTGATGCATAGGAGCACATGTACCCCAATGTTCATAGCAGCACTCTCCACAATAGCTAAAACATGGAAAGAGCCTAAGTGTCCATCAACAGATGAATGGATCAAGAAGATGTGGTTTATCTATACCATGGAATACTACAAGGCAAAGAGAAAAAATGAAATCTGGCCATATGTAGCAACATGGATGGAACTAAAGGGTGTTATGCTGAGAGAAATAAGTCAGGCAGAGAAGGACAAATATCATATGTTTGCATGTATAGGAGGATTAGGAGGAACTTAATGGAGGACCATGGGGGAGAAGAAGGGGGAAATGGTGGGGGAAAGGGAGAGAGGCAAACCATGAGAGACTCTTGAATGCTGATTCTATGTTTTTTTAAACATGAAAGTATTGCAATCATCTAAGATAACTGTGAATGTTCCAGGTCTCTGTGTTCAAGTGCTTAATTTTAAAGATAAGTAGACTGAAATCCAGGAATTGAATTTTGATTAAATTCTGGTATACCGTCTACCACAACAAATCTCTCTGTATCTCTGTTTCTCTCTCTCTCTCTCTCTCTCTCTCTCTCTCACACACACACACACACACACACACTCTTACTCTCACACACTCATACACGCACTCTCCCTCTCTTTCTGTCTCCCCCTCCTAACACACACACACACACACACACACCATAAATGGTACTGTGTTTCCTGGCCTTGAGTGCTTACCAATTTTTCTAATGAAAAGACCTTCCTTTCAAACAAATAGAGGGGCGTAAAGGTAGCATATACAACCATGTGAGGAGGCTGTGTTGCTGAAGAACCTGTAAAAATAAACAGGTATTGTGTCATGGAAATTTTAGCCAAATGGGTCTGTCTGAGATTATTCTAGACTGTTCCAAGTCCTTAATGAGCTTATCTTTGCTGGTGAAAAATAGGTAAATGACTCAATATAATTAATAAATGTTAAATTTTACATGTATATCTATTTCATAGAACATCTCATTAGTTTTACTTCATCATAATACCATTTAATTGCTTAAAAAATCACTTTATGTCATTGTAAAAAAAGTTATCACAAAAACTCTATCAGTCAATGTCACTTAGAATAGTCTACAAATAATTACGTTCAAACGGAATGATTTTTAAATTGACATTTTTTAAGCTTTCATAGATAAAACATTACTTTGAATTTGAAGAAATCCAGAAGTTTCTATATCACTTCAGAAAAAAAAGAAAACATAACTAATCCTTCTGTGAAGAAGGAAGACTTTGATAGTAACTTAGTTCGGATTGCCATATATATATAATTATATTATATTATAATATATTTTATATTATATAAAATTATTATATATTGTACAATATATTTTATATTATAATTATAGTTATATAATATAATTATTATATTATATATATATGGCCAGGAAATTCCTATTTATTTATTTGTTTCCAGTATAGTTAGCATACTGTACTATATTAGTTTCATACACAAAACTGATTGCTTAATATTTAATGCTTCTGAGCATCACTTATTTTTTCACGTGTTTCTTAACAGACCTGAAATTACTATATATGATTCAATGTGCTTTTGTCGTATAAAGATTCTGGCTAAAATGATTCAATTTATTTTCCTTTATTGTCTTTATTTTTAATTAGAAAGTTGTGTTTTATTCCTTTGCAAATTCAAGCACTAATATTTAACTTATAAGATATTTATTGGAAGAATAATATTTTTAGAAATATAAAATATAAATTAGATATGAATCAAGGATCTCTATAGCACAGATTAATATGTAAGTTATGCCAAACTTATAAAAACATATTTTTACATTTAAAAATTAAAGTGTATATATGTGTATATATTTTTCATGGAGCAGATCTGAATCCAGGCAAATTTTATATATATATATTTTTTTTACACAGGAGACATATACTAATATATATTTATATACACTAATATATAATTATTTTTATATTTATATAAATGTTTTTATATTTATATAGTTTATATGATTATACATTGATATGTATGGATCTTATATAATATATCATATATTATACTTTATGTGGTATATTTTATAATTTGCAATATACTATATATAACCATATAATATATTATTTGTGATATGTTAATATATAACATATACATTTAGTTATTAGTATAGGCTTTTCTCCATGCAAACCCTTATATCTCTGTTGTACCATTAAAAACTTGGACAACCTTGGCTTCTGTCTCATATGTATGACTTTGCCTAATATCCATACCAATTTGAGAGTTTAACAATTATAGGCAAACTTGAACAAGTATTTTTAGATATGATTAAACAGAAAACACATTTTTGTATTCCCACATTGTATTGCAACTTTTTACAATTCAAAAATTTCCAACACTATAGGAAATGTCTAAAATAGTTATTATTCTAGGAGACTGAAAGCTTACAATCTGATAGAGACTGCAGAGAGTATTGTACTTCTGAAGAGGGTCTTGAACCATGAAGGGACCATTTGAATTTTTCCTTTTCCTTTTCTTTGTCTCCATTTTTACTCTTCTTCTTCCCAAGGTCTTTTGTATCTGCCTTTTCTAACATATTAAAAAATATATACAATAAATCTTCTAACTACAAAACTTCAAACTATATTACTTACTCAGTTATTATGTTGAAAAGAAGGCCAAAACAGCAAGTTATTTAAATGTAAAATAATAGCCATAAATTTCCCAAAGCACTACTCACCTCTAATTAGAAACATCAAAATAAAGCAAGAGAAAACTTTGAAATTTGACAATGCACTGTCAAAGACATGCAGAATTATTTATTTATTATCGACTATACATAATTTTGTATTAAGTGGAGATCACATTTGAATATAATTTACATTATATATATGTTAATATATAATTATATATTATATATAATTCTGGGATAATTGTCTCATTTTATTTTATTTCTTTTTCTTAAATAGTTTATTGTCAAGTTGGTTTCCATATAACACCCAGTGCTCATCCCAACTAGTGCCCTCCTCCATGCCCATCACCCCCCTCCCCATCTCCCCCACCCCATCAGCCCTCAGTTTGTTTTCAGCATTCAAGAGTCTCTCATGGTTTGCCTCCCTCCCTCTCCCCAACTATTTTACCCTTCTCCCCCATGGTTCTCCGTTAAGTTCCTCCTAATCCACCTATACGTGCAAACATATGGTGTCTGTCCTTATCTGACTAACTTATTTCGCTCACAGCATAACACCCTCAAGGTCCATCCATGTTGCTACACATGGCCAGATTTCATTCTTTCTCACTGCCATGTAGTATTCTATCATATAGATGAACCACATCTTCTTGATCCATTTGTCCGTTGATGGACACTTAGGCTCTTCCCATGTTTTGGCTATTGTTGAGAGTGCTGCTATGAACATTGGGGTACATGTGCCCCTATGCATCAGCACTCCTGTATCCCTTGGGTAAATTTCTAGCAATGCTATTTCTGGATCATAGGGGAGTTCTATTGTTAATCTTTTGAGGAACCTCCACACTGTTTTCCAGAGGGGCTGTACCATTTTACATTCCCACCAACAGTGTAGGATGGTGCCCGTTTCTCCACATCCTCGCCAGCATCAAGTCTCTTGATTTGTTCATTTTAGCCACTCTGACTGGTGTGAGATGGTATTTCAGTGTGGTTTTGATTTTATTTCCCTGATGATGAGGGACGCTGAGCATCATTTCATGTGGCTGTTGGCTATCTGGATGTCCTCTTTGGAGAAGTGTCTGTTCATGTCTTCTGCCCATTTCTTCACTGGATTGTTTGTTTTTTGGGGTGTGGAGTTTGTTGAGTTCCTTATAGATTTTGTATACTAGCCCTTTATCTGCTATGTCATTTGCAACTACCTTTTCCCATTCTGTCGGTTGTCTATTAGTTTTATTGATGGTTTTCTTTGTCGTGCAGAAGCTTTTTATCTCGATGAGGTCCCAATAGTTCATTTTTGCTCTTGAGTCCCTTGCCTTTGGGGATGTGTCAAGTAAGAAATTGCTGCGGTTGAGGTCAAGAAGTTTCATGCTTTCTTCTCTAGGGTTTTGATGGTTTCCTGTATCACATTCAGGTCCTTTATCCATTTTGAGTTTATTTTGGTGTATGGTGTGAGAAAATGATCTAGTTTCATTCTTCTGCATGTTGCTGTCCAGTTCTCCCAGCACCATCTGTTAAAGAGACTGTCTTTTTTCCATTGGATACTCTTTCCTGTTTTTTCAGAGATCAGTTGGGCTTACATTTGTGGGTCCAATTCTGAGTTCTCTATTCTATTCCATTGGTCTATGTGTTTTTGTGCCAATACCATACTGTCTTGATGATGACAGCTTTGTAGTAGAGGCTAAAGTCTGGGATGGTGATGCCTCCCATTTTGGTTTTCTTCTTCAATATTACTTTGACTATGCAGGGTCTTTTGTGGTTCCATACAAATTTTAGGATAGTTTGTTCTAGTTTTGAGACGAATGCTGGTGCAAATTTGATTGGGATTGCATTGAATGTGTAGAGTGCTTTGGGTAGAAACGACATTTAACAATATTTATTCTTCTGACCCGTTAGCATGGAATGTTTTTCCATTTCTTTGTGTCTTCTTCAACTTCCTTCATAAGTTTTCTATAGTTTTCACCATACAGATCTCCTATATCTATGGTTAGGTTTATTCCTAGATATTTTATGGTGTGTGTGTGTGTGTGTGTGTGTGTGTGCAATTATGAATGGGATCAGTTTCCTGATTTCTCTTTCTGTTGCTGCATTATTGGTGTATAAAAATGCAACTGATTTTTGCATGTTGATTTTGTACCCTGCAACTTTGCTGAATTCTTGGATCAGTTTTAGTAGGCTTCTGGTGGAATCTGTTGGGTTTTCTATGTAGAGCATCATGTTGTCTGCGAAAAGTGAAAGTTTGACTTCTTCTTTGCCAATTCTGGTACCTTTGATTTCCTTTTGTTTTCTGATTGCTGATGCTAGGACTTCCAGCACTATGTTAAACAACAGAGGTGAGACTGGACATCCCTGTCGTGTTCCTGATCTCAGGGGGAAAGCTCTCAGTTTTTCGTAATTGTCTTATTTTAGAATAAAACTAGTTTTCTTATTCCTCCTACCACATCATAAGGTTTCTATCTGCTGTTTCCTCCACGTAGAATACTCTTCCCTCCACATTCCTCAAGAAATCTCTCTCATCTTTGCAAATGTAGCTCAAAATTACTTAGGGAAATTTCCCCTGATGCCCTAGGCTAAATATGAACTCCTATAGTTTTGTGTATTTCCCTTCAGGTCTCATGTCTAAGTATATGGTTATAGTTGGGGTTTTGTTGTTGTTGTTGTTGTTTGTTTTTGTTTTTTAAATTAACATTAGTCTCTCTCACTAGAAAATAAGTGCTAGGATTTAAATTCCACATCTGATTTTCTTCACCGAGTTATCATTAATCCTGAAACATTTATTATTATTCTACTCAGCAAGTAGTAGATTTGAATGCATGGATGGACAGGTGTTAATTTGTGATACATGAAAAAATATTCTAAGTTCAAATTAATTTGAGAAATACTGCATGAAACAAATTTAATCAGCTTTCTTGGTTTGCTTTCTTTCATAAATTAATGCACACTAGGTCATTTAAAAAAGGGCTTATTATAGGCAGATATCACTCACACACTTGATCTTGGTATAGTTTTGAGGAACATTTATGGTAATAGTTTCTGTGTGGTAAATGTTGGTAGATATGATTTTGATAAGGAGTAATTTGGATAAAATAGCAATATCTTATAAAACAAATATTTGAAAGATTATAGAGGCTATTAGGGTATATAAAATAGCTAAGTATATTCTAGTATATCTAATCTTACTTTACTATAAAAACCTCATTGTTCATATGTATAGCTATATGAAATATTTTAGAAAATATAAGATAAATAATTATTAAATATATGTCTTACTTTATGATCCTATACTTTATAAAATAACCTGAAATTATTTTATTTTAAAATTTGAACTTCTACCTTGCAATAAATCATCAGCTAATCATAATCTAATCTGCGTCTATTTCACACTTCGTTGGTGCAGGGAAAAAAGACAAAAACAGGACTTTTTTTTCTCGTTTTGGTCCATTCTACTCTACGTAAACATATAAGGAAGATGTGCTTGATGGAATTTAAAAACTTAATGTTTCTTCCTATATTAATACTATACTACATCGGTATCATCAAAATACATAGTTGCCTCTGATTTTTAAGACACTAAAATATAAAACAATAACTAACATAATAGTAAATGGCATTACTAGTCCTAAAATCCTACAAAGAAAGGGTCGTAATTATTTTCACAACACCTAGTAAATGACAATGACAATAAAAAGTCATTAAAATCAGCAACGATTGTAAAGCATTTATATATAATAGTCATATTGAATAGCATTGTAATATAAAATGTCTTACCCTTTGGAGCTTTGTCACTTTTCTCAGGTGACTTTAATGCTGTCGCTGAAACTTCAGGTTTGAATTCTTTGCCATCTTTCATTTCTTTGCCATCCTTCACTTCTTTCCCTGCCACTTTTAATTTGCTTTCTACAATAGTTATTTTGCTTTCAGAGCTGGATTCATCTGACAGCTTAAATTCAGGCAATATTTCCTTCAAGAGCTCCCAAACTTTGTCCATATATCCTGGGCTTAAATAAAACACATCAACATTAATTTCCAAATTGAACTTTTTACTCCACTATATCATCAAGAAATTACTGACAGAAAAATCAATTTACAATTTCACAAGACTAATTTCAATAGTAACTTCAAATTTTAGATTAAAAACACTATTATACATTTATCTATCCAACAAGCTTTGGCTGAGTGCCTACTGTGTGCTGGGCTTTGCTGATGCAAAAAGACCAAACAGAGTTCAGGTTCCAAATGGTGGTGTAGGATTCTGAACTTAGCAATTCCCATGACACACCAAACCTATAGCTACATATGGAACAACTTTCTCTGGAAAAACAAAAACAAAACAAAACAAACAAACAAACAAAAAAACAACTGGCTGCACGACTCATACATCTGCTGAATGAGAAAAAAACCCATAATGATGTAGTGAAAGCATTCCCAAGAGGGAAGTTCATAGTGATAAATGCCTATATCAAGAAATAAGAAACATCTCAAATAAACAATTTAACTTTGTACCTCAAGAACTATACAAGAAGAACAAACAAACCCAAAAACTAGTTAAAAAAAACATTAAAATACCAAAGATCAGAGTGGAAATCAAGGAAATAGAACATAATAATACAATAGGAAAAATCAATGAGACTTAGAACTGAGTTTTTGAACAGATGAACAAAAGTGACAAATCTTTAGCCAAACTCACCAAGAAAAAGAAAGAGAAGAGTCAAACAAAAACTGATACTATAGAAATATAAAGGATCACAATACAATATATAAACAATTATATGACAAGTCAGACAACCTAGAAGAAATGGATAAATTCCTAGAAATGTACCACCTACCAAGACAGAATCATAAAGAAATAGATAATCTGAACAGACCAATTACTAGTCAGGTGATTGAACCAGTAATCAAAACAATCCCAACAAACAAAACTCCAGGATGCAATGGCTTCATTGGTGAATTCTACCAAACACTTAAAGAATAATTAATACCAATTTTTCTCAATCTCTTGTGATAAAATAGGAGGAACACATTCTAATAATTCATCTTAAAAGGCCATCATTACTTTGATACCAAAACCAGGGCACCACATGTAGACAAGAGACAAGAGAAATAGAAGGCATCCAAATTGGATAAGAAGAAGTAAAATTGTCACTATTTGCTGATGACCTAATATATGTAGAAAATACAAAAGACACAACCAAAAACTGTTAGAACTAATAGATGACTTCAGTTAAGTTGCAGAATACAAAATCAATATACAAAAATATGTTGCATTCTATACACTAAATGAACTATCAGAAAGATAAATAAAGAAAACAATTCCATTTACAACTGCATCAAAAATAATAAAACGTCTAGGAATAAATTTAACCAACGATCTGAAAGACTTATACACTGAAAGCTATAGGACATCAATAAAAGAAATTGAAGAAAGCCCAAATAAATGGGAAGACATTCTGTGCTCATGGGTTGGAAGAATCAATATTGTTAAAATATCCATACTACCCACAATCGTTTCATGCAATTCCTTTCAAAATTCTAACATTTTCCCACATAAATAGGGATAATCTTAAAATTTGTGTGGAACCACAAAAAAAAACTCTGAATAGCCAGAGCAACTGAAGCCAGAACAAAGCTGGAGGCATCACACTTCCTGATTTCAAACTAAGTTACAAGTCTATAATGATCAAACAATATGCTATTGACATACAGGCACTTAGATCAGTGGAACACAATAGAGAGCAAAAAACTAAACCCACCCATATATAGTCAATTAGTTTATAACAACAGAGTAAAAAATAAACAATGTGAAAAAGATAGTCTCTTCAAGAATGGTATTGGATGAACTGGGCAACCACATGGAAAAGAATGAAACTGGTCACTATCTTACACCATACACAAAAATCAACTCATAATGGATTAAAGACTAGAATGTAAGACCTAAAACCATAAAACTCCTAGAGAAAACATAGGCTTCTTGACATTGCTCTTAACATTGCGTTGTTGTTTTTGTTTGGTTTTGGTTTTGTTTGGATTTGACTTCAAAGGCTAGGGCAACACATACAAAAATAAACAAGTGGGGCTATATGAAACTGAAAAGCTTCTGCACAGCAAAAGAAATGACCAACAAAATGAAAAGGCAACCTATTGAATGGAAGAAAATATTGTCTTAGTTTATTTTTTAATGTTTATTTATTTTTGAGAGAGAGAGAGAGAGAATGAACAGGGGAGGGTCAAATAGAGGAGGAGACACAGAATCTGAAGCAGGCTCCAGGCTCCAAGCTGTCAGCACAGAGCCTGACACGGGACTCAGACTCATGAGCCGTGAGATTATGAACTGAACCAAAGTCAGACTCTCAACTGACTGAGCCAACCAGGTGCCCCAAGAAAATATTTGCCAATCTTATATCTGATAGGGAGTTTAAAAATATGAAGTAGTTATGTAACTGAAAAGCAACAAACGAAACTCAGACTCTTCAATTAATAAATGGATAGACAATCTGAATAGACAATTAAAAAAAAAAAGACATACAGATAAACAAAGGTACATGAAAAGATATTCAGCATCAGTAATCATCAGAGAAATGTAAACAAAAACCACAATGAGATTTTACTTCATAACTGTTAGAATGGCTGTTATACAAAAAAATAAAATAAAATACAGGTATGGCAAGGATGTGGAATAAAAAAGGAAACATAATGAACTCTTGGTGAGATTGTAAACTGGTGCAGTCACTATAGAAAACAGTATGGAGTTTCCTCACAATATTTAAAAACAACTGTCATACAATCCAGCAATTCCAATTCTGGGTTGTCTGAATAAAAGGAAAACACCAATATAAAGAGATATGAGTACCCCTATGTTTACTGCAGCAATATTTATAAGACCCAAGATATGGGTAAGAAAGAAATATTACTCAGGTATTTAAAAAAAAGATCAAAATCTTTCCATTTGTGACAGACAACATGGTGGACCTGGAGTGCATTATGCTAAATGTAATAAGTCAGAGAAAGACAAAAATTGTACGATTTCACTTATATGTAGAATCTAAAACACCAAACAAACAAAAGAAAACAGAAACAGACATATAGGTACAGGAAATAAACCATTGACTATCAGAGGTGGAGGCGTTAGGGATTGGGTGAAGTAGGTGAAGGGATTAAGTAGAAATTCCCAGTTATAAAAATAAAGAAGTCATGGTGGTGCAATGTTCAATGATATTGTCATAGCTATATCATAACAAATGGTAACTAGACACCCTGGGGATCACATAGTAATATATAAAAATGTTGAATCACCATAATGTATGCCTGAAACTAATAGGAAATTATATGTCAATCATATTTCAGTTTTAAAAAAATGAAGTGGCGAAGTGTTCTATTCCAGATGAACTACACCAACTTCAGAGAAATGTTCCAAGAAACAAATATTCTCCTCATCTAAAATTGTCTTTTTATAGCCACTCAGACATATCACTGATTGTGTTCCTGTTATTATACAGAGAGTTAAAAGGTTTTTTTCTTTTCTTTTCAAATGGCATAAATGCACAAATTGAAGGAAAACATAAGAGTCAAGGTCAAAAATTGCACATAAGCCAGTGCTTCCTTTTGGTACTCCTCACGAGGGTGGAAAGGAAGGTGTCTATTGGAAATACCACAAAATATTTTCCTTCTAACTGATTTTCACATGGGAAAAATCTCCAGTAGTCAACACGAATTCTCCTTGACCATGTAGAACCATGTAAAACCATGAATGTGACTGCAAGGCCCTCAGGGTTTTTCTCTTCACTTTCAAATCCTTCCTGACAACAGAAACACTCAACTCCTGCACATATCACGTAGCTCTGACAGTATAACTCTCCCACCGTCAGTGCTCCTCTCCTTCCTCTCCTTCAGTCAAACCCAGTCAACAGTAAAGGCTCAAACCAAGTCACAACACTCTATGAAGCCCTATCTTATCCCTGCCGGCATCCTTGACTAATGGCCATTGCCTCCATATTTCAACTGAAACGTTCCTACAATCTTTTTTATACTATTTCATTACTTTCTTTTCATTTAAAATTATATATGTATACATAAAATTGAAAGTTTATAGTAAAGAACATTGTATGAATAATTTAGCAGAATGTTCATAGGAACATCTTTTTCAAATCGTGATATACATACATCAAAGATACTATATATCTTTTACTTTTTAGTTGTATTTAGGAGAAAATTGATAAATTTGAATGTTTGGATCAATTACTTATTCTTTACACTTTTCCCCATTTTCAAAGGTTGAGTACTAACTACCCCATATATATTTCTAGATAATATTAAATAATCTAGTGACAGTCACTAGAGAGGAAAAAAAACTTATAGTAATTATGTCTCTATGACACATTAGGTATTTTTTCTACCACCTACTCACTTATCTTAAGAACAACCATATAGGATAGGTCATTTTACTCTCATTTACATGCAAAATTCACATGGCTGAAATTGAAAGTGTAAGAACATAAACCTTGCTAAATAGTTCTGACTCCTAAGCTCAAGCTTTTCTGCCTCATTTTCATAGAAATTTCAGAAGCAACCATAAATTCATGCAAATAGGACATCTAAACTGCTCAAAAATTTTTTTATTAATTTAAGGTGGTCTCCTTATAATTCTGAAGCATATGAATACTTTTCAATTTTCATGTTTGATTTCAGTGTATGATTCTGGCGAGAGACAATTCACAATTTCTAATTGACTAATTTTCTAGTTATGAATTATTTTGATCTCCTGTTTCTTTGCCATCCTCCAGTGGACTTCTGACGATTTCATGTCTCTGCTTTCTTTACTCACTACCATGCAGGAAAAAATAAGCAAAATTATAAGCATTCCATCAACACTGAAGATAAAAATTTAGAAAAGCCCATACTTTTAAACTTCATTCTGTCTCTACTTCTCTCCACTAATATTGTCCATATTATATCAAGAAATATTCTTTTTCCTTAGGTATCAAAAAAGATTTTCCATGAAATGACCTAAAGGGGTGTTGTCTATACCTTTTCTTAAAATTAAAAAAATAATATCATTTCCCCTTTCAGGAGAAATGTCTTTTGAGGAAGAGATATATTTTTTCATTTTTTCCCTGCAGATATTTTTTTAATGTTTGTTTTGAGGGAGAGAGACAGACAGACAGACAGACAGAGCATGAGCAGGGGAGGGGCAGAAAGAAAGGGAACCAGAATCTGAAGCAGCCTCCAGGCTCTGAGCTTTCAGCATAGAGCTCCACGCAGGGCTCAAACCCACAAACTATGAAATCATGACCTAAGCAAAAGTTGGATGCTTAGCCAACTGAGCCATCCAGGTGTCCCCAGATATTTTTATTTGAACCAGGCAATAGCTAATTTATCCTGCTGAAAAGATGCTTTAGATGGTAAGATCCAAGTCACTAGCAACTAAATTCAATCTCCTATAACCTAGATCCTTGAGAACAATAGCTTCCCAATATCAATAAAAAATCAGAGATGATCCAAACTGATAACTGAACTATGGATTTGATCTTCTTATAAAATCCAGCGTCTGAACTGATGATATTCAGATGTATCAATATGTTTTTTCTATGAACTTTGGCTTGATTAATTTCTACTATCAATGGTAATATAATCAAATTGTGTGTCTATAACCTTTATGTATGAAATAAAAGTACTTGTGAAATTTTAAGTAAGCTTTACATTAAATGTCTCTTTTGTGGACATACACAAATATCTAGAATCACATGAAATAAATACTGTGGGCTTTCGACCCAACAAGACTTGGATTCATATTTTTTCTCCTCCAGGTACAATGTGCACAGCTTGGGGTAGTCAACCACTCTGGGCTTCAGTTTCTTCATTTGTAATGAAATATACCCAGCTAATGAGGTTATATGAAATATCAAGTGAGATAATATTTTCAGGGCTGTGGTTTTTAATTAGAAGTAATATATTAATATGCCTAATGCCTAATAGGTATTTTATTATTATTAATTATTTCTTAATATGTGTGGCTAATTACAAGTTGCCTTTATGTTGCTTTTATTTATTTTTATTGGGAGAGAGAGAAAGGAGGACAGGGAAGGGACAGAAAGAGGGGGAGAGAGAGAGAGAGAGAGAGAGAGAGAATCCCAAGCAGGCTCTACGATGTCATCACAAAGCCTAATAAGGGACTTGATATCACAAACCATGAGATCATGACCTGAGCTTAAATCACGAGGTGGATGCTTAACCTACTGAGCCAACCAGAACCCCCCCCCCCCCATATGTTTCTGTATTAAGTCAGTGTAGTAGTTGTATAAGTATAAAGGGACACCTGTAAACATGATAAATAATTAACATGGTTTTAATATTTGTAGTTCACAGTATTTTTTAAAAACAGAATTTATCCTGAGCTCCTCAAGGGATTTTTGTATAATGCTATAAAATATTAATACACTAAAATATTATTTTCACAGACATTTTGTAAAATGTGAGATTTTCTTAAAGCTTCATAATGTTTAGTTAAAGAAACATCTTGGGAAAGAAAGAAAAATACATATGAAGAACTTAATGGTAAAACCTACTGGAAAGGAATCACTTCTGGTAACCATCCTGTAAGGGCATGAATAACTGTGAACTCCCCTAATTCTCTCATCTCTGCTACGTGGATGCTAAAAAAGCAAATGCATAATAGCATAGTTAATAACACTTGAAAACACACACAAAGAGATATGTAAGGACAGGGAATCTTTAATAAGCAGTGATATAATAATAAATGTAGGGCTCATACTGCTTATATGTTAGAGTACAAGAAAATACTATTCCAAAGGCCAGATGATTCATTTTGTTAAAGTGTTTAAAGGAATCCAGTGTAAAAGTTCATGTTTATTTTAAAAACATGCTACAAGCCTTATTTTAAAAAGATATAAATTAATATTCATGTCATATACACAAAATGTATTCACATATATTATAAAATATATAAATTTAGATGATATATTTTTATAGATATTCAATATACTATTGTGTTCTTTAAAAAACAGAACCATGTCTTTTATATTTCTAATGTCAGCTACTATCCTAAGATGCCCATGAGGCAGTGTACTAAATCAGTCTCACACAGCAGGTCAAGATGACATCAGATAATCTTAATTTAATCCTTAGATAATTTCAGAGGGACGAGAAACATCTTTTCTATCCTATACAAAAAAGTAAATTTGCCACCATAGCATAAAGTCAAATGAGATTGTGAATGACTAAATACTACTCTTCTCATTTCAGTCCTTTTTCCCCCCAAAGTGATTAGGCTATTTGCACTGACCCACAGAAATGCCATACCCCTGTTATGACCAGGATCCCCATTTCAGTTTACCATGTGCCAGCATGCCAGCAGTGGTGATTAATGGTATTGACCAGACATGTTTTCTTCTTCTGAAAGAAATCTTACTCTCTTAGTCACGTGTTCTACCCTTTATAAACTTGTATTGGTTTGTTGCTCATACATTATGAATTTTGATGTATCTCCATGTGTCACAGATAACAGAAATCTCCTGTGGAAGTTCACAGTCTAGTCTAAACTCTGTGGATAATCATATTTATGAAGTGGCTGCATACCTCATGTAAATAGTGTTCTTTCATTTGCAGAGCTCACAGTGATAGTGAAATACTTACTACACATTAATTTTTAATGTAGAAAGCAAAAACTCATATAAAGATAATTGTTATGTACTATAAAATTTGAGAAACAGTGTATAGATAAATATAAATTGTACCACACAGTCCAGGTAGCCACTAGAAAGCCTAAGAAATGTCTCACATTTAGTTGGGTCTTTATTTCTGAGCTGGATTTATTTATTTTCTAAAATAGCAATAATTCTATTTCTTAGGAGGCTCTAAAATTCTATGGAACTATAGCTTTAAGAAAGACAAAATGCCACTCCAATTTTCCAGGTCATGCATTTAACACTTCACTGGTGTTAATTCAGCTCTAGCTCTCAGAATTTCAAGTTACGTCTGAGAATTAGGAACATTAGGAACATCATTCTCTTTCCAAAAAAACAAACATGATTATCACCAGTGTGAATACTTAGTGCTATTCAGCTACCTAAAAAGATCTGGGCTGAGGCTTTTTGTTGTTTGTTTTTTGTTTTTTTAATCATTGAAATTAAGAGTTTTGAGCTGCATGAAACAAATTCTGAGTAGACAATCGAGGGCTGGTGAGAGAAAAGAGATCTGTCCAAGATGGCAGTAGAGTGGCTGGTTTTGTTGTATAGCCTTGGGAAAGAAAAAAGAAGCTGAACTAAAAGAAAAAAGAGCAGGCTTCTGATGGACAGAGCTCTGTTTACAGAAGGGAGGAGGCTGAGCACTGAGCAAAGGGTTGCAGCGGTTTATTGGAGCAGGTGGGCATCCTGCGGAGAATGAGATGCTGTCACACCCTGCAGGAGGGTGAAGGGTATCAAATTCAAGCTGGCTCAGTGTAGGTGAGAATCCCCCCACTGAGCAGTGATACAAAGTTGCCAAGCCTTTGCAACTCAAGCATCTAAGATTTTTTTTTTGTATGGCTAGTGTGGGGATGGACTGACCTAAGGTCCCTGTAAGGTGGAAGCCAAGAGAATGAAAGTGGCAGACATGTCTCAGATATGTTGATGCGCAAGACATGCAGGAATGGAAGATATAAGCATATTTCACAAGAATATTGAAGCAAATGGAAGAAGTTTGTATCACAAATGTATTAAAAGGGAGCAGTGTTACCAAAATCATGAGGAAGACATTAAAAAAACTGATATCTTTCAGAAGTGTTCAGGTTTTCAAGATTATAAATTATTGCTACATATACAAAACCTAAAATTTCAACTGAATTCCAATATACGTTTTTTGGTATTTAGATGAACCAATATATTCCCCTACAAAAACAACCTGTATCTCCTGCTCAGCTGAAACACTTATTTTTCATGATTATGTTCTATTCATCATAAGAAAGCATTTGATATAGAATAATTTGTATTTTCAATTGGGAGAGTTTTGTCTTATTTCTGGTTAACCCAATACTTCAAATTAGTGGTTTTGGCATTTTTATATCAAAATGTTTACAGTGTTTGGAAAGAAGTCTATTTTAAATAGTTTTTTTTTTTTTTAAATAAAGCTATGCGATACAGATGTATAGTTTTTTGTTGTTTGTCTTTTTGGTTTTTGTGAGTAATAGTTCTTCCTTCTACATACTCAACATTTGCCAGCTTAATGATAGCTTTACACAAAAGCATTGGCCAGAGTTCAAAGTCATAGGTTGTGGCTGGAAGCAATAGATTGTTGTCTTCATCAAAAGGAAGAAAGTCATCAATAGTTATCTTTCTCCAGCAACCCTAAAAATGAGAAGAAAGGAATGTACAGTCAGTCAATTATGTTACTTTTTCTCATACGTATTGTATGAGAAATACAATGTAACACTGCTGATGTTACTATTTACTGTTTTATAATTTTATCTTACCTTCTTACAGCTGAAGATTGGCGCACTGCTTTTCAATACTACTCTGGCTGAGAATTTTAGCTGACTATTTTGTTTATTTTATTTTATTGTTATTTTGTTTTATTTTATTTACCTACATATAATATAATATATATTTTATATTATCTATAATATTTTATTTATTTATATCATAATTTATAAGACCTAATAAACACATTCTTGGGTGCCCATCCTACATAATGCAGTAAATCAAAGTGTTTCAAATAGCAGAACCAAAACATTATACAACCATGGATAAGTTTGGTCATAATTAAATAACAATATAATCATAACACAAATCCTCCAAATGTAAGTAATTATTGTTCATCCTGATAGACTCAGTGATTTTAAACTTCCAATTACCAGATTGCTTCTACTCCTAATTAAAGATCTAATTTTTAACATGAAGTTAATACTTTATTTAATAAAATGATTCTATATTTACCTATATGCATATTGCTTCACAATTGAAAGTTTGAGACAAATGATAACATTAATGACTATGAACTGAAATATTTTTTAAACTTTGGTTTTACATGTGAAATTTTTTTATGAATTTATTTTTTTCCCAAGAAATATTTTCAGCAGTGATGCAGGCATTGTGAACCCAAATTCTGCACAACACATGGCCTATGCCAGTGAATTGCTTAGAGTCTATTGAAGGAAGACATTTATGCAAACAGTACAAAACATAATATATTCATGGTCCTCTAGGACCAGAAAAGCAAATGTGACAAATGTTGCTTGTGAAAGCCTTCACGACAAGGTGACATCTGAACTAAAATTCAAAGAGCAGTAGTTTTCCCAAGTAGATATGGGCGATAGGGTGAAACATGATTTATTTGTATGGGATGCATAACTCTGAATTCATATTGCCTTATTTAGTGGTTTCTCGTCTTTCTTTCTTCCCTGACAGATGATGTAGGGCAAGACAGGATTAAAACATAAGTGTTTAGCCACTCCTTTCCCTAATTTTAAATGACATGACCCCAAAAAATACACAATGAAATAAGCCAGACAAAAAGACAAATATTATATAATTCTACTCATATGACATATTTGGAAAAATGCAAACTTACAGAGACAGAAGGCATACTAGAGGTTCCCAGGGGCTGGGTGGAGAGGAGAATGAAAAATTATTGTTTAATGGGTACAGAGGTTCCATTTGGGATGATGACAAAGTTGTGAAAACAGACAGTGGTGATGGTTGGACAACATTGTAAGGATACTTAAGGCCTCTGAATTGTGCATTTATAACAGTCAAAATGCTAAATATTATGGTGCACATATTTTACCACAATAAAACCTAGTAGTGTGAGTTCCCTTTCTATACTTCAATTTTTGAAAACAATTTTGAAGGAACCAACTGGATCCCCATGAAAGAACTGTCTTAAAGCAGACTTAAGGACTTACGCTAAACCAGTTCAATGGATATCATATACGTATAGCTGATCAATAATATATTTCCACTGGGAATGCTTTGATTACTAAATACCATTGAACTATACAGTCTAAAGAGATGTGAATTGCATCTCAAAAAAGTTATTATGAAAAATACACAGGAATAAGTGTTCAATATTACATAGCTAAAAACATACTTTAACTAGAATTATAACAATTTTCCTGGGAATTTTTTTGATTCTTACCTATTGATATTTGGTTGGTGGCTTGGTTAAAGTTCATGGAGAAATTAAATATTATATATATAGATATGAATATTGCATATAACTATTATTATGAGATCTTATAATAGAACACTGAATTTATTCACTTGAGTCTTTATCTTAGAACACAGAAATTTTTTAAAATTTCATTTTAGAGAGAGAGAGCATGAGAGCATGAGCGGGGGAGCGGTGGAGGGAGAGACAGAAAGAGAGAGAGAATCTTAAGCAGGTTCCATGCTCAGTATGGAACCTAATGAGGGGCTCAAACCCACCACTCTTGGATTCTTGGATCATGACCTGACCTGAAATCAAGAGTGAGGTGCTCAACCAACTGAGCTACCCAGGTGCCCAACACTGAAACATTTTTACACTTTTTTTTTTACCTGGATGTAAAAGATGTACATTGGGCAGTTTTTACTAAGTTTACTGTGTTAACACCACATAATTTGAAATAACCATCAAAATGTTTAATTACTTAGCATGCTTATGAAAAAGGATGCCTCCTTTATTAATATAAATAAATATATTACTAAGTTACTTTAGAATACAGTCATGTTCAAATTGTATTTTTTTAATTTTTTAAATGTTTTTATTTATTTCTGAGAGAGAGAGAGACAGCATGAGCAGGGGAGGGTCAGAGAGAGAGAGGGAGACACAGAATCTGAAGCAGGATCCAGTTAGCTGTCAGCACAGAGCCCGACGCAAGGCTCGAACCCACGAACTGTGAGATCATGACCTGAACGGAAGTCTGAAGCTCAACTGACTAAGACACCAGGGGCCCGTGGAATACAGTCATGTTCAAATTTCAATATTTTCCACACTTGAATTCTAAGTCAAGATAACTAAATGGTTACATATATTTATATCCTCTTCTTCCTAAGACCAGGCTAAAGGGATAATAAAAAATGTTTTGGGGGGGCTCCTGGATGGCTCAGGACACTGAGTGTACGACTTTGGCTGTCATGATCTACCGGTTCATGAGTTCGGGCCCCCCATCAGGTTCTGCGCTGACGGCTTAGAATCTAGAGCCTGCTTCGGTTTCTGGGTCTTCCTCTCTCTCTGCCCCTCCCCTGCTTGGACTCTGTCTTTCTCTCAAAAATAAATAAACATTAAAATTTTTGTTTAAATGATTTTAATTAACAGCAGCAATCACAATTCCAAAAGATCAAGGAAAGAGCAAGCATTGGACAGAGAGTTCAGCACATACCTGAATGAACATAATTATATAGATAGGAAAGAACCCTAAGAGCACTCCCCCACCTTCGGCCCGTAACAGGTGGTGCCTTCCCATACAGGGCCTGATGGTGAAAGGCTGGCTTCTGTGAATGTCCTGAAATAATACAAGGCAGTTTCTCTTTCCGGCAGAGTCAGTGGGCAGAATTGTGACTTCTATTGCCCTCCTGCAGTAGACAGGAAGTGCTTTCTGCATTAGTAGAACCTATTAAAGGATCTCTTATTTCCACGCTCTACCCACGCAGGGATGAAGTGGTACACACCCCCTCCTCAGCTGGTGCTAAGGATACTGCCTGATGGGGTCTTCTCATCGGACAACAAACAAGAGTGAGAGAGCAGAGTAACACCGCACAGGCTTTATAAACCAAATTAACATATGAAACACAGCCCACAGAGGTGAGCCAGGATGTGGATTCTGAATCTAAACAGGTTGACTATGTACTAAAATAAAAAAATTTAATTAGCAGCGTCATACAACATAACACTAAAGATGTCCAGGAAACGATCCAAAATTACCAATCATGCAAAAATGGAAAATCCAAATTTCAATGAGAAAATACAATCAATAAAACTTAATGCCAAAAATGACAGGGAATTTGGAATTTTTAGTTATGAAATTTAAAGCTTATGTCATAAAAATACTCCAGAAAGCAACTATGAATACTCTTTGAAGCAAATAAAAATAGAATATCTTATCAAAGAAATAAAAAACATAAGAGAAAAAAAGAAATTTTAAAATTAAAAAAAAAAAACCTTCATAGGAAAAGATCAACAGCAGAATGCAAATGGAAAGAAATTGGTGAATTGGAATTAAAGTCAATAGAAATTATAAACAACCAGGAAACATAGATTTTTTTTTTTTAATGATAGGAACCTCAAAGACCTATGAGAAAATGAAAGAAGATACAACATCCATGCCTTCAGAGTCCCCCAAAATGAAGAAAGGAATGTGGGGCTGAAAAAAAATTTTAATGCATAAATGACTGAAAACTCTCCCAAATTTGTCTTAAGACATGACTCTTGTAGAATCAAGGATCTCAGAATATCCCAGAGAGGATAATCTCAAAGAAATCTACACCCAGACACATCAAATTCAAACTTCTGAAAATTGGAGACACAGGAAAAAAAGCCAGAAACCGGCTGGTGAGACAAGACCACCCGATCGCTCTCCAGAAACCACAGAGGCCAGAAGGAAGTATCAGGCTACTTTTCAATACTGAGGGAAAAGGCTTGCCAACCCACAACACTGTATCAAGTGAAATACCCTTTAGGAATAAGGGTGAAATAAAACATTTTCAGACAAAAGAAAGTTAAGATAATATGTCACCAGAAGATTGACTGAGAAAGGATGGTGAAAAAGAAAAAGAAAAGGAAAAAGGAAATGAAAAGGATGGTGAAAGCAGAGACAAAAAAAAAAAAAAAAAAAAGGAAATGGAAGAAATCTTAGGATATCCGGAGCAAAGATACATATAAACATATGGCTAAATACAATAGTGTTCTTTGCTTCTGGAACTTTTAAAATTATATTTGACATGACTTCTCAGCCTTTTGCTAAGATTAAGTATAGTAAAATTATATTTGACATTTAAAAACAACATTTACTTTATAAAAGTTCTGAATATGTATAAAATACCTAATCAATTATGTTGTAAAGGTGTAAAGGGACCCAAATGATGGTAAAGTAGCTATATTCCAATTTAAGTGGTAAAATGCTGATATTACTAGATTGTGATAAGCTAAGTCTGTCTATTTTAATCCCTAGAGCAACCACTAGAAGAAAAAGTAATACACACAGATATACTCAAAAACACTAGAGATAATTCAACATGGAATCCCAAAGAATGTTCAAGAAACACACAGGAATAGGGAAATAGGTACCAAAAAAAAGTAACAGAGTAAACAAATAATACAATGACAGACTTAAATCCCAATTGTATCAAATATAAATTGCATACAAATTGAAGTGTAAGAGCAAATTGGATATGTTTATGAAAATTAAAAATTTGCATATATTTGAATAATTCCACATGTAGAAATCCCAGAAAAAATAATCATAAATGAGCAAAAATATATACACAAAGATGCTATTTTACATAATTGTATTGGTAAAAACTCCTGTTATAATCTAAATATCAATATGAACCTAACAAAATATGTATAGCTCTTATATTCAAACAATGGAGTACAATGTAGATTGATATATACTAGCACAAACAATGCCTATAGTTAGGGAAAAATACATTTTAGAACAAGAAGTGTCATATTATCCTATTGTTGCTATAAATTATATATTGTAGGTTTATATATGTTTATAAGATACAAGTTTAGGAAGGTATACATAAATTATTTATTGTAATTGTGTTTACCTAGAAAGAGAAAAAAGAAAACCATAATGTATATCTTGTCAGGAAGAATTTAATTCTTCACTACACCTAATATGCATACAGGTGTTGACTCAGATTTACCACCTGGGATTTAAGTAGAAACAGGTAGAAATATCTGCCCTTAGGGGCGCCTGGGTGGCTTAGTCGGTTAAGCGTCCGACTTTCGCTTAGGTCATGATCTCGCGGTTTGTGGGTTCGAGCCCCGCGTCGGGCTCTGTGCTGACTGCCAGCTTAGAGCCTGGAGCCTGTTTCAGTCTGTGTCTCCCTCTCTCTCTGACCCTCCCCTGCTCACGCTGTCTCTCTCTCTCCTAGAAATAAATAAAACATTTAAAAAAAAATTAAAAAAAAAAAAAAAAAGAAAGAAATATCTGCCCTTAGACCAAAAAGAACAAATGTCCACCAACCAGAAAACCAGAAAGCCATCTTTCTATCACATGAATACAGTCTCTGAGAAATTTAGGTTATTTAAAAATTGCATCTATCTAGCTATTTATTATCACTGTTATCAGTATTCTATATACTTTCAAGGACTGCAATTCCAATGTCAAGAATGGACCAAAGTAGAAGAAAACCAACAGAAGAGTATTATCATCTGGCTTGTGTATTTACCTTACAAACAGAAGGGTAAGCTGCATTTGCAGATACTAAACACAGAAACACCTAAACACTCCACCACAAAGCTATTAGAGGTGATAAATGAATTCAGTAAACTAGCAAGGTACAAAATTAATATGCAGAAATCAGTTGTGTTTCTATATACTAAAAATGAAGTAGTGGAAAGAAATATTAAGAAAATAATCCCATTTACAATTGCACCAAAAAGAATAAAATACCTAAGAATAAACTTAATCAGGACGGTAAAAATCTGTCCTCTGAAAACTATAAAACATTTAAAAGAAATTGAAGACAACACAAACAAATGGAGAGCTACTCCATGCTCATGAATTAAAAGAATTAATTTTGTTAAAAAGTCCGTGGCACCCAAAGCAATCTACAGATTCAACGCAATCCCTATGGAAATACCAACGATACTTTTCACAGAACTAGAATAAATAATAATAATATTTGCATTCTTCCCAAGTTTACCTTCTCTCTATAATCCCTCAACCCTATCCATGGTGTAGTCTCAACTCTCATTCTTTGCTGTGCATTAAAACTTTGGAGCCTTGGGACACCCGGGTGGCTCAGTTGGTTAAGTGTCTGACTGGCTCAGGTCATGATCTCACAGTTCGTGGGTTCGAGCCCCATGTCGGGCTCTATGCTGGCAGCCAGCTCAGAGCCTGGAGCCTGTTTCAGATTCTGTGTCTGCCTGGAGCCTGTTTCAGATTCTATGTCTCCCTCTCTCTCTGACCCTCCCCTGCTCATGCTGTCTGTCTCTCTGTCTCTCAGAAATAAATATAACGTTTAAAAAAAATTTTTTTAATGAAAAATAAATGTGAAAAGAAACAACTTTGGAGTCTTGTCTGCCAAATCTGTTTCATGATTGGTAAATAGGGAAGATAAAGGCATTTAGGAAGTCATTTTCTCTCCTCACAAAGTTTTGACTTTCTTTCTTTCTTTTTTAATGCTTTATTTATTTCTAGGAGACAGAGAGAGAGACAGCGTGAGCAGGGGAGGGTCAGAGAGAGAGGGAGACACAGACTGAAACAGGCTCCAGGCTCTGAGCTGGCAGCCAGCACAGAGCCCGACGCGGGGCTCGAACCCACGAACCGCGAGATCATGACCAAAGCGAAAGTCGGACGCTTAACCGACTAAGCCACCCAGGCACCCCAAAGTTTTGACTTTCAACATCTCTCATCTTGCTATGAATTTCAAAACACCAAAAATCCTATTTTAGATCTCAGAGGCTAACATTACCTTCTTTACTTTTATGTCCCTGCTGTAACAATCTCATTAATTACTTTTTTAAAATGTTTCATTTTATTTTTGAGAGAGAGTACGTGTGCGCAAACAGGGAAGGGGCAGAGAGAGAGACAAGGATCAGAAGCAGGTTCTGCGCTGAGAGCAGAGCCAGAAGTGGGACTCAAACTATACGAACTGCATAGTTACAAGGAACCTTACACTTAGAGGGACCCCATTTTTTTTAAAGTGCTGCTATCACCGTATTGAAGTTCCTAATCATTTTTGAGCAAGGGGCTCTGCAAATCGTGTAGCTGGCTCTGCCTATGAGCTTGGGCCTTGGGAGAGAGCATTCCACCAACAAAACTCAAAGGGATTTCATAATCTAGTGTGATGTGTGAATCTAGTGTGGTGTGAGCCTATTCTGTCGTTCGAACTAGGGGATTTTTCATTCTCTATTTCTACTATCCCATTTCCTTCTTTTCAGGCAGAAGCAAAAACTTTTTGTATCGAGGTAAGATTTGTTAACATGAGCACAAATCTCAAGCTTAGGAAAAAGATTGGATGGAACTGGGCCTCTCAGTGGGAGGAGAGAAAGAATGGACCCTGCTTGGGCAGTCTCTTTGCTCAAGATGGCATACCACATCAGAGAGAAAGGAGGAAGGAAGAGAGCCCGTGCGTCCACCTGCCTACCCAGCCCACCTGGCTGAGACGACAGACATAGCAGAGAACCATCCCTCCATGTTTCAAGCAGCACCAGTTTAAAAAGCACATGGGACTGGTGTGACAGGGCAAACAGCAATGCTTCATATCGATCCCAAATTATATATGCAGGACATTTCTTCCCAGTAGGTGCACAACTGATATCCTGTATAAGTGCATGACCTTGTATTAGCCTAGGTAACAGCATGTAAACAAATATATTTCAATATGAAAGGCAATTTTTAATGCACATGAAAGTGAACTTACCATCCAGTAAAGTTTCACAACATACTTTCCATAGCTATTGAATAAAGGCATGTGGCCTTTCACAGCCTTGCACAGAGAGTAGATGTGTTCCCAGGGCTTCCAGGGAAGAAGAGGAGGCTCCCCGGTAGTCCCTTTAAGATAATTGTTCAAAATACCTCCATTGAATATCTTCCACACGGCATAGATTTCACTGATAATCCATCTCATCAGCTAGAGACAAAAGCCATTAGTGTTAATCAGTTGATTTTCAGTTATTGGTACTATAAGTCACCAATAAGTTTAGGGGGAAACCTACTTCCAATAGTAATATTAAATTCTACATGTCATGTGTTCCACATTTTGATTTCTGACTTACAGAATAAAGTCATCATTCTTGCCTTTGTTGTCGGCAAGTATAGTCACAATGCAAGCTAAAAAGGCTTAACATTAAACACACTCTTAGCTAAGAACTATCTTTCAGAGTAAACTGTCAGTGATTTGACATTGACCTCTATTAGGTATTGACCTTCATTTCAGCTGTTTGTGTGTGTGTGTGTGTGTGTGAGAGAGAGAGAGAGACAGAGACAGAGACAGACACAGAGAGGGCAGAGGGAGAGAGAGAGAGAGAGAGAGGGAGAGAGACTGAGGCTTCTGAGAGCAGTGGTGCTTTTATTCTGGAACTAACTTTTGATAAATGAGTAAGCTACTCTTCTGTAAGGGTTGAGAAGTTTGAGAAGAAAATGATCTCCCCTTATGTCAATAGGATCAGTTAGACAGTGAATGAGATGAGAAAGAATTAAAATCGCATACACAGTTAAATCTTCTCTAAGTCTTATATTTCATGTGTCAATCTGCAGGTGCAGAGCTGATCTAAGTAAAACTCCCATGGCAGAGTTTTCAACAGGCAGCAAGGTGTGGTGGGGAGCTGAGCAGAAAGAGACCAGGGTTTGAATTTTCTTCCGGGGTCCTTCTGCTCTGGAACATGTCATTTCACTGTCTCTAAATTGCAGTTTATGTAATGCAGTCTATAAAATGTAGATTATACTATCTCTTTTTCAGCAATTTACAGGGAATAGAAACAATGTAAAAAAAAAAGACCTGCGAGTCACAGTGGTGTTAAGTAAAGACATTATTACCCTCAGTAATATTGGATTTTCTGAAATATGTTTAATTGCCTGGTTTATAAGGAGATTAAATACTTGAGACTAACCTTATAAGATTTGTTTTCCTTAACTAACATTATCTAGAACATTTATTCAAGTTTAGTTAAGTTGACAAAGATAAGCCAAGTATGTTCCTGTATATCTGGTAATTTTTAAAACATAGGATATTTTATACTTTTCTTCCCTCAAAAAAATGAAAAGCTAAAGTCTACGCAGGCTTTGGCTCACAAAATTAGCATATTTTAGACTAAAATACAACGTATAAAACCATTCAGAGGTAACTTTATACTAATCAGTACAATCTGGTTGAAGAAATAAATGTTTTGATTTTAATATTGGTCAAGATATTTAAGATAAGAAAGACAAAGTGTCTGAACCAATAATGACGATTGATTTTGACTGGGTCTTAGGAGAAAATAATTAAAAAAAAAAACAAAACACCCTGTTTCGTCGTAAGGGAATGCAACAGGTTTGCCTCTGATGGATAAAACCCAAGGTGCGGAAGTGGGGGTGTTTAGGTGAGATTTTTCCTGCATTAGCAAGTCTAACACCCTGCACTTGAGCACAGAGCAGAGCAAATCTGGCAGCAACTTGATGTCAATTGCTAGGCACGTGGGTCAAGAGGCAAAATACCCAGATTGTGAGATCTCAGCTACCCTGGGTCAGTGGGCAGGAAGATAGGGACACAGCAATTGTAATACTAACATTTCCCCACCATTTGCTCATTATTAAACTCATTTGAAGAGGCTTTTCTTCCTCTTTTGTCTGGCTTATAAAACACTGAGCAATTCCAAAGCTTAGAGGTAAGCAAGAGAAAACTGAAATTGACCATCTGGGAATTGTTTGAAGCAGGTCTGGAAGGTATTCTGCAATCAGTCTTCAGTTAAAAATTCCCTACATACCTCACTGCAGAGTAAATGTTCATTTGCTGAAAACAAGTCAAACAGGATTTCATTTTTCACAACTACTGGAGCCTGAAATTAAAAAAAGAAAAAAATATATATATAAAGAGATATTACTCTTTAGGAAAAATAAAGGAAATGTAGCTGAATGAAATAAAGTTTCATGTGATATAAACAAGTCAAACATGATCTCATTTCTCACAACCAGAGAAATTAAAGGAAAAAAAAATAAGCACATTATTCCATAAGATGACCCTCTTAGAAATATCAGTGACATTCACTTAATAATGTAATGCCTATAAAATAGAGTCTTTTCATATAAAAATGAAATGTTGTAAGATATAATATATGCAGATAAACTTAGCATGCAAACACACATAAACTGAGAGTTTAAAAGTGACTTAAAATTTAAATTAACCTCTCAAGTTACACCTGAAGCTTAGTTAACATGGTAGCAGGAAACATATCTTCACCTTTGATAAAAAATGTTAACTGTGACAGCTTTTAAAAATCTTGCCCAATTTCAAATCCTGTTTTTTAAAAAAATCATCTAATGGTCATTATTTTATTGGTATATATCTGAAGATCCTTTTATATACTTAGAGCACTCATGAATAAACATAATAAAGGAAGAGGTGATTTGTAATAGTTTTTAAAAATGTGTTACAATTCATATCAAGCTTATACCCTCAACATATCAAATTAACATAAATATGTTTTTGATTAGTAAAATCATGGAAACTAATGCCATTGACTACTCTCAATCACATGGACAAATTAACATCTTGAAAACTCAATAAAAAAATTTTTATGTCTAAGAAAAACTTACTCAAAACTACATTGAAGGTTTGAATTGAAATGTTTATAATCTATGAACATAGCAACTTACATATATATTATATAAAAATATATTTTAAATTCTGGTTTGGCTAATTAATTCCAAGGTGACACTTCTAAATTATTTTTAATGTTTATTTATTTTTGAAAGACAGAGAGACAGAGCATGAGCAGAGGAGGGGCAGAGAGAGAGAGGGAGACACAGGCTCCAGAGTGGTCAGCACAGAGCCTGACGTGGGGCTCGAACTCACAAAAGGCAAGATCATGACCTGATCCGAAGTCAGCACTTAACTGACTGAGCCTCTCAGGTGACCCCAAAGTGACACTTCTAAAATGCCCATACTCTTCAGCAAGTACCAATGTACATTGAATTCAATTAATAATAGATTAATTAGATCTATTAGATTAATAAGTAGTGATTATCTAAAATTTGAGTGAAACTTAACAGTTGCCTGCCGACAAATGAAAAGCAGGCACTGACAGTGAGTAAAAGATGGCAAATATTAAGGTAGAAGTCTCTACAGAGGTTTCTCTATTCCCTATACCTGAGACAGAATACATCTTCAGACGTCTTACATCTCTTCAATGTAATCAGCACTCAAGGGCCTGGGCCATCGATGCCTGATTCTCAGAAATAAACAGATCTGATCACTCCACCAGTGGTCAGGACATGTTAACCTTCTGAGTTGGAATAAGCCCTTGTTGATTCTGATATCTTAAATCTACCCTTTTCAGTTTTTTCATAACTTAGCTTCTCTCTGACTTAAATCATGTCCTGTGACTTCATCCTTTGCTTTGAGCAGAAGAGAGTAAATCTTGTATAGAAAGTTCATTATTGGGGCACCTGGGCAGCTCAGTTGGTTAAGGATCCAACTTTAGCTCAGGTCACAATCTCACAGTTTATGAGTTCAAGCCCCACATCAGGCTCTCTGCTGACAGCTCAGAGCCTGGGGCCAGCTTCGGATTCTGTGTCTCCCTCTTTCTCTGTCCCTGACCTGCTTTCATACTCTGTCTCTCTCCCTCTCTCTCAAAAATAAATAAAATATTTTTTAAATTTCTTAAAATAAGATAAAAAGAAAGTTCATTATTGTTTTGCTAAATTTTTGTCTAAGCTTTTTAATATATGTTCATATTTAATGAGTTTCAATGTAAATGAATGTATCATCATGGACCTTGACATTAAAGCTTGAGAAACATTATTCTTCTACTTCCCTAGTTAGCTGAAGTTTCAGTTGTGGCTGTTCTGGTGCATACTCCAAGAGGAGCCTGTGCAGGGGACCCAGAGAAAGAGCACAGAGGGAGCAGAGGTGTGGAGATGGGGGGGGCAGGGTTATGATAAGTGTAGTAGAGGTGCCATCAACAACAATGGATGAGTTTGTTTATAAAACAAGTGTATCTCTCAGAACTAAAGTATGCTAAAAAGAGATGGCATAAAACTCTTCTACTTATTCACATTTGAAATAGCCTCACTTCATGGAATTAATACCCTTTATTTGCATGAAATATAAACTCTGCACATCCACTGCACAGAGCCTGGATATTATTAATAATATCAAGTGCATATAATGCACTATAAAGTTCATTATATTAACACCACAGCATTTACATTCATCACATCAATATTACCTAACAGTATACATAATTTAAAGGCATAGTTCATGTGCATTTGATTTATTTTATTTGAAATGTGTTAGAAGTATGGGGCCCTGGGTGGCTCAGTTGGTTAAGCATCCGACTTCAGTTTAGGTCATGATCTCACAGTTTGTGAGTTTGAGCCCTGCATCGGGCTCTGTGCTGACACCTCGAAGCCTGGAGCCTGCTTTGGTTTCTGTGTCTCCCTCTCTGTCTGCCCCTCCCCTACTTATGCTCTGTCTCTCAAAAATAAATAAATGTAAAAACAAATTTTTTAAAATGTCTTATAAGTAGACATTTAAAAATATTCTGATGGCCAGAGGAATATCTTCTTATTTTCTTATTTTACTAAATATCTTTGAATTTAGAAATATCTTCCTCAGATATTAGCAGTAATTGGAAATATGGCAGATGAACTGTACTTTCTCACATTAGTAGCAGTGCTTATAAAGACTAAAGATTTTAGGAATAAAATCGCTTTGTGTAGAAATTGAGATTTGGTGAATTCCATAGTAAATGGAAGACTCAACTCCATTGCAAACATTTGACTAGCACTAAAATACTATTTTAGCCTACTGGTTTTCCATGCATTAAATGAAAATAGTAGATTCATAAAGGGAAAAAAAAGACATTAGACTGTGTAGACACTTAAAACAGCAAATATATTCAAACTAAAATAGCTGTTAAGATAGATCAGTAAATCTAAAGTTTTCATGTACATAAGTGCTATTTAAAATGATGGTTTCTCAGGGCACCTGGGTGTCTCAGTCAGTTAAGCATCTGACTGGATTTCTGCTCAGGACATGATCTCACGGTTCATGAGTTCAAACCACACAAATCACTATGAACGTGAGGGCTTATTGGGATTCTCTCTCTCTCTCTCTCTCTCTCTCTCTCTCTCTCTGCCTCTCTCTCTCTTTCTCAAAATGAATAAACAAACTTTAAGAAAATAAAATTAAATTAAAATATGGTTTCCTGAGCACTGTCCCAGTCAATGTGATTCAAGTAGCTGGGCATGGGCTCCAGAAATGAAGATGGCCCTTGGTAAATGCTTCAAGAATACCTGGAGCACAGTTAACCAAGTGCAAATCTCTTGGACTAGAAAATTAACACTAATAAACACTAGAGCAGAACTTCATATCACATAAGTTCCTGCTAAGGAGGAGGAAAAGGAAAGTCAATAAAAAATTAAGGAACAGCTTCCCACACATTTTAGGCTATCCTTTGACATTACACAGAGAAGGAAACTCAAAACCCTAAGCAAAATTTCAATATTCTCTTCGGAACCAGTACAAGAAATAGTAAACTCTATTGAAAAACATTTATTCCTATTAAATGCCAACATCCAATTCCTTTTTCTTACTGAATACCATGGGGAAAATTTACCCTACAGTGTTGTAAAAGTGAGAATTTTCATAAGTAGGATAGTATAGCCCATAGTTAATATTGTTCAGTAGTGAAAATATTTCTTACCCTATTCGTTAAAAAATCCTGTGGACGCTTCCAGGAATAAATTTTCAACGAGGGTGGCAATTCAATCTTTCCTTCAGGGTCTTCAAAAAAATGCTGTATAAAAATATATTGAGCATTTTTCTTTCCATATGGTTTTATTAAAATAAAGGCAACTCAATCTTAATAAAAATTAATAAGTGTATAGATTTGATGAATAAACAAACATAGAGCGATTTGTATGTTTTCAGAGTTAGTTCATGGACTACTTGGTGAATACTGGAGTTAAGAATACTGTATTTAGTTAACAAAACCTTGATTGTTGAGTAATATTTTATTGTAGAGGAAGCATTCCAAACAAGCATAAGCTGCTTTGGGATGTGAATTTGGTATGGTAAGAAAACAATTTAGATGGGCCAGATATGGACATATTTTGCACTGAAAATATTGTGTTTTTTTTTAACCTGATTAGAGAAGATTTTAAAAGTATGATTATATATAAATGCAATTCATACCTCTGATCTGAATTTCACTTATTAATTTTCAAAATTAAACTTATATTTTGAGATAATTATTGATTCACACGTTATGGTGTGAAATAATAAAGAGAGTCCCTGTGTCTTCACTACTTAGTCTTTTCGATGGTAAAATCTTCTAAAACTATAATGCAATATCACAACCATGATAATAACATTGGCTCACTCAAGATACAGAACAGTTCCATCAGCACAAGGACCCATCTTAGACCCTTTTATGGCCGTACTCACCCTCCACCCCCCTTACCACCTGTTTAATGCTTACAACCTGACAATCAATCTGGTCTCTTTCTCATTAGCTTTGTCATTTCAGTAATGTTGTATGAATGGAATCAGATAGCATGCAAACTGTGGATTGGCTTTTTTTCCCTCTCTGCCTTATTCCCTGGTGATTCATTTCATTCAAGCTGTTGCATGTATCAGTAGTTTGTTCTTGCTTGTTGCTGAGTAATATTTCATGATATGGATATTTGTTTGTGTACCATCTGTCCATTGAAGTACATTTGAGCTGTTTCCAATTTGGGGTCATTACTTATAAAGCTGCTATAAATTTTTGCATACAACTTACAGGGTTTTTGTATGAACATTAATTTCCATTTATCTGAGATAAATGCCCAGGAATGCAATTAATTTATTAGTTTTTGAGCCTGTAGTATGGGTCAGTTAGTGAGCTCTGGAGGAAAAATGACATACAAAATGTCTACTTTCCAATGCTAGCAATATAGTAAATTAGAGAGACTTCAAGTAGCTACTGTGTAAAAGTTCTTATAGCTCACAAGGTAATTAGGTCCCATTTCAAAAATGGAAAGTACCAGGGATACAAAAACAATGCTCTAGAAATATAAACTGTATTGCTAAAAGGAGTAACTAAATTTTACCTGAGTTAATAGTGATGGGACAAATAAATACTATTTGTGATTTTTATGGTAATCCTATTTTTATTCTAATGTACGTGTGACCTGAGAAATAGTCTCTATTTGAGGGTATTCAAACCTAGTAAATGTCTATGTGCATCTGGAACATATCCAAGGTACTGGAATTCTTTGAATGAAGACAAAGGTAATCCCCACATCTAGGAAAAATGATAAAAGAATGAGTCCCTGAAAAGCAGGCTGAAATTTCCAAGAGCCACACTAGGCTTCTGACTTGGCCTCGTGTTATTTTTTTCCCTTACAAATATGAATACAGTTACTCTGAACTCCTCTGTCAGTTCTAATCAGAATCACCCATGGATCTATTTTTATTTCTGATTTTCCCTCTTGTTTTTCAGCCACTTGGTTCTATTTCTCTTCAAAACCCTAGGTAATGATGTCTTCCTCCAGCGGGGAGGGTCTTATTCCTTCCTGGCAGGCAAAGTACAAAATGTTGACCCTGTCAACAGTGGGTTTCAGGATTTGGTCGGGCTGGTGTAGCTCTGGTTTACCCTTACTCAATATAGAATGCTACAGCCATGTTGGGGGATTCTGGGGGACTAACCAGAAGGCTGGTGTGTCTGAGTTCCTTCACTCATTAAGGGTATACCCTTAATCCCAATCTCTTGCCATAGCATCATGAAATATTTTCTTATTTAGCTTCTGGCTGTTGCGTTTTACTCATTTACTCAGCAGCAAAATCTTCACACATAAAGTTTAGGAGTCAGGTAAATGCCTTGAAATAATGTTATATACAAAATTTTCAGATCGTGTCTCTATAGTTACTTCTGGGATTCTGGTTCAAGTTTTAGCTGTTTTTGTACCCCAGACAATATCCTCTCTCTTAGCCCAGAGAAATTGACATAAATCCCAAGTCACTACATTCTGCTTGCCTTCTAATTTTCACATCTTAAATTATTAAATTTCTTTGAGGAGAAAAGAAAAAGGTAAATTTGGATCCATCTTATCATAATCTCTTGTGATTCCCTTTTCTCCATGGTAAGTTAATGGTACTCTTTCTATGTTGCTTTGCCTTAAGTATATTTCTTATACCCAGTTTACAATACTTTATTAATATGTTTCAATTTTGTTCACCCTTCCTGTCTCTTTGCTGCTGTCCTAAGCCCAGTTGAAGAAGTGAGACCCAAATCTGGAATTACAGAGAAGGGTTAGCTTATCTGTTGCTGATTTCCTGATCACTAGCCTCACATCTAGAGAAGTGACTTTCTATAAAATCTCAAGGACACCTGCTATAGTTCCGTGCTTATGGTAACTGAGCCTGATAAAATATGGATGTTGCAAATCATGGTAAGAGCTACTGCGGTACTTTATCACAGAAATGTAATCCCCATGCTTGGAGTATCCACCACTCACTTCTGTGGAGGGACTGTCCCTTCCCAAGCCATGAATGCTGCTGAGGTTGTAGAACAGAACTGGGAGTGGGAAGCAAAAGGACCCCAGACAGAACCTTTGCACTGTTGTAATAACCAGGGTTTGAGCGCTGTTCTCCTACCTTGTGAAGGCAGCAGAGACAGAAAGGATTGTTAGCTAAAGTTCTGAAGTATCACACTCCATTGTAAGAACTCCTATTTACCACAGGAGGAGGGCTGGTGCCTCCCTAACCATACAGTTCTGTGTAGCTCCATAGTCCAAGGGCCACCGTATCTATTTTGTGGTCTGATGTTCAGCCAGCAGCATTTCCGTATGTTGCCTCCAAATGAAATGGGCATCCAGTGACCAGCACCTGTGTCTAGAATTTGATGCCTAACCTTCCAGGGATCAGCAAGATTTTTTTCACAGCGATCTGATAAAGGCATACTTGCACTCCAAGGGCCCTAAAGTGTGATAGTTTATATTTTATTTCTTAGTTCAAAGTTTTCACTCACTTCTACTTTTCTCCTCCCTGCTGTTTGGGGTGACTCATTTTTAGACCTTTTCTGGAGCCCAGATGCTTAACGGAGGATTTGTACAATCTATCTTCCTAATGTAAGTTCACACTCAAGCGCCACTAGTTGTACATTTCTTTTAAAAATATGTAGAATATTAACATTTTCATTTGAACCCAGAGAGTCCCAAAACCATTTGTATCTGAAAGTTCCACAGCCACCCTAGGTATGGTGCAAAGAATATATTCCCTCACATGGTGCTAATTTAAAATTGTTCAGGTACTAACAGCATCAGCAGTTAGTTATATTTATTATCTTTTGTAAACAAATTACTGTTATGATTAAAGCAGGTTATCATTCTGCCTTTTGTGAACAACACATAATTGCTAATAAATACCATTTTGGAGTTCTCTATGCAAATGAAGACACCAGAGTTCAATGTGGTCATTCTGGTAATTTTGGTTTTGCTTTGAAACTGTATTGTGTCTATAAACATTTTTGTTAAATGAATCGCTATACCAAATAAGTGAGTCCTATTTAAAATACAGCCCAGACCCATACCTTCAACAAAGAAGTCTTTAGAAATAGAGTAAACATTTTTAAATAGACAGAAAAACCTAAGATGACATAACTGGAAAATGTAGGAACACCATTCTCAGCTCCAGTCCCAGGGATGCATCATGTTTGAATGGCCACAAGTGAATGAAGAATATCTGGCATCGTTACCCAAATATCTTGAAGAGAATATTAAGAGGGATTCAACTTTTCTCTCACAATAACATCTTTAAAAATTGTCTCCTATAATCTCCAGATAACAGCTCACAGGTCTGCTGGGACCTTTCATTTTCTAAACCACTATCTCTACTCTTTTTTTTTTTTAAGTTTATTTACTTATTTAGAGAAGGAGAGAGAGGGAGAGATAATCCCAAGATAATCTCCTTGCTGTCAGTGCAGAGCTTGAGGAGGGGCTCGAACCCACATACTGCGAGATCCTGACCTGAGCTGAAATCAAGTGCCTGCCTGTCACTTACTCCACCCATGCGCCCCTCTAACTCACTGTCTCTAAATGCCTGGTTCCCCACTCTGTCCAAAATCCAATAACTAAATGTTCTATCGATTCCCCTTTATTTCACTGTGAGTCTCTGGTCATGTCTCTCCTTTCATTGACTCAAATACAATTAGTAAAGCTCAGGTCTAAGGCTTGGAATGACAGATTGGTAGGATGGAGGGAGACAGACAGAGAAAGGAAAATTTTCTCTCTTTTGAATGGAGGCCCTGGAGAAAAAGGAGCGCACTCCCATGTTAGGAGATTGTACTCCATGACAAAATTTAAAATGAAAATGAAATCTGGTCACTTTCAAATGGACTTACAAATACAGGGCTTTTTCCCATTTTATCCTTGTCCTTTCCACCTTTGCCTGCATCCCACTTTTCTGCATTTATGTCGGCTTCACTCCATTCTGGCCAGATTGGGAACTTCCCCTTCTTCTGCTCGGCGGAACCAGCTTGCACGTTACTGCCAAAAAGGTACTGACTAGAGACAAAGCAAGGAGGTGGGTTAGTTTTCATTTGAGTCTCTAAGGTAAAATATTGGATTAATTGCATGGTAGACCCTTAATGATCTTCTCAGCACTCATGTTAATGACATTTTTCAATAGTCTTACCTGTGGCCAGGTGGCATCCCCAGGTTAGCTTTCAAAAGACTGAAATACTCACAGAGATTATTCCATAAACAAATTTTGAGCCTTAGCCCCTACTAACCAATGTAGGACATTCATTATAAACACATAAGATGCCATTAATGCGAATATTTCTATACAGTTCACACTTGAAGAAAATCCTTTATGTGTATAATATTAATAACTTTTTGAAGATAAGCATAGATATAATTTTGATGTCTCCCAGGAGAAAAATGTTATGTAATCATTATTTTAAAAGAATTTTTTAAAAATTGGATAAGCCAGAAAGACATACCCACCCCATTTTAGAATCTACATTGTTAATAACTGTCTGTTCTTTCAAACTAATGGGAAAATATATGCATTTCTTCTTCAAAACTAACATCATTCAGCTTATTCTTTTTATAGAATGTTTTTTCCACTTATCAGCATTTTGCAAATAGTTCCTATGTCAATTAAAATTTAACTAAATACAAATTTAATGATTGCATACTAACCCATTATATGAATATATAGCCTTTCATTTAATTAAAATCCTATACTGGAAAATTTGAAAGTTTTGATTTAAATTTTGTATTCCCTATTATAAACCAGACTGTTTCATTATTGCCAAATCTTTGAAGACATTTTTTCTAAAGTCTATTTATTTATTTTTGAGAGAGAGACAGTGTGGGGGGAGGAGCAAAAGGAGAGGCAAAGACAAAATCCCAAGCAGACTCTACACTGTTAGCATGGAGCCAGGTGTGGGGCTCAAACTCACAAACCATGAGACCATAACCTGAGCCAAAAGAAAGATTTAGACACTTAACACTGAGCCACCCAGGCACCCCTTTGCAGACATTATTAATTCCTTTCTTAGTATAGATTTTCGTAAGAAGACTTATTGTACCTAAATATATGCATATTTAAAATTTGTGATATATTTTGACTAATTAGCTACAAAGATGTTGGACTTGTTTTTACTCTTATTATTAATCTATGGCAATCTCTTATCTCTAAACCTTAACTTTTAATGTTTATTATTGTAAATGTAAAATCTAAAATGCCCATCTTGTTTAATTTGTCAAGTTTTCACTATGAGTGAGGCTAGGACGCTGCTCTCCATCCTGAAATAAGCAGTGAACAAAGCGACTGAAATCTTTACTCTTATGGAGTTCTTGGTCTAGTGGGTGGAGACACAAACCACAGCATAAATTAAGTGAAATACAGAGTACGTTTGAAAGAGAAAAATACTAGGGGGAAATATAAAATAGGAAAAGGAAACTGAAGAGTTAAGGTACAGAAGTTTTAAGACAGTGGTTAAGGAAAGCACTCCATCATAGGACAATATTTAAGTAAATAGTGAAAGAAAACACGAGATTAAGCTATGTGGATCTGTGGAAAGACTGTTCTGGATACAGAAAAGGAGCAAGTGCAAACAGAAAGAGTCTTCTACATGCAGAGAGTGTCCTAGCTTCTTTGAAGCAGAAAATTATCACTGGGGCTGAGGGGAGGTGAAAGGAGATCATTTCAGAGAGGTAACAGGAGATGCAGAGATTACAAAGGTGATCTAAGCCAAAAGAAGGACATTGGTTTGCCCAAGTGAGATGGGAAGCCAAAGGAGAGTTTTCAGCAGGGAGTTTTATAACCATTCTTGCTGCAGTGTCAACAAAAGTCCAAAGGAAACAAAAGAGAATTTAGAAGGTACTCAAATAGCATGTAAGAGCTAATGGTGATGTGGACCAGATTACTAACAGTAGTAAGGCAGGAAATAATTCCCTGTTTTTAAGATAGAGCCAATAGATTGAATTGATATTTCCTGCAAGACAGAAGACCATGGGATGGAGCAAAACTGAGGTAAGGGGTAAAGCAGCATTTCACTTCTGAATGGGCTGTGTTTTAAATGTTTATCACCCGTTTGTGGAGATGTTGAGTAGTCAGTTAGACATAGGATTCTAAGGCTTTGGGAGAAAGAATGAATGAAAATCTGAGTCATCAGCATTTAGATAATATTTAAAGTGTTAAGACTGGATTCAGTCCCCAAGAAAATAACTAGACCTAAGGAATACGCACTCTGAGGAATACTATTCAGAACACCTAACACCTGGTAAGGAATGAGCAGGTCAATCCTCAAAGTCCCCAGTTCTAGTTATACTGGGCTTAATTTACCTAGCTAGTGGGGTCAGGGATGTAGGGTTTTCGGGGTGGGTCAGGGACCCAGGGAAGGAGGCAGAAATGTCTGGAGCTCAGGATTATTGGTAAGGTTATTGTTAGGACTATTCAACAGTCAAGTGAAAATATTTCAATATTCTAATATCAACAGTTGTAGACCTGCCTTTTTAACACGATACTCCATGTTGTTAAAAGTCTGAAAGAGTAGGAAAAAAACTGAGAAAAGCTGTTGATGAGTGTGCTAGACAAAATAATCCCCCGCTCCCCGCAATATATCCATACCATAATCACCAGAACAGGGAATATATTACCTTCCATGACAAAAGAGGTATGTAAACAATTTACAGTACTTGAGTGGGGACGTTATCCTGGATTATCAGGGTGGCCCCAATGTAATCCCAAGCGCTCTCAAAAGTGGAAGAAGGAGGCAAAAGTACTCAGAGGGAGATGTGACTCCAGAATAAACAGAAAAGGAGGAGACTGATCACATGGCTCACCAGTCCTCTTTTCCATTTCCTACATTTCCCATATTGCTTTGCAATTTGGCTGGTACTTTGTGGTGATGTTTTGGACAATGACATGTGGAGGAAATGTGTTGTCCCCTACCTTGAGGCTCATAAAACATCCTGTGAGATACTCATCAGCATGGCTCAATCCTTCAAGGAAGATTTTTTGAAAGTGGTAATGCCACAAGATGAAAGGAGCTAAGAATCCTTATATAGCACATACTAAGCCACTACTAAACTCCTGATCACACTCTAGTATAAATGAGAAATATCCTTTGTTGTGTGATTTGGGGGTTGTTTGATATTATAGCTAGCCCTGATGACTTCACTCTTGCTACTGTGACGTTGTAGCTAGCATGGATTGTTAACATTGACAAATATATAGGTTATAATTCCTTTTTTAAGATTTGGGAGTTCTTTCTTATTTTTAATCATTGTAAACATACACATGGTAAATTACTTATAGATTATTTTTCTATTACCTTAAATTTTTGACACTTGATTCATGTTCTATCATTGTGATTTCCGTCTATTTTTTGTATATTCTTGTGTTTGAGGACATTTGCATTATCAGCCTATCCTTATCAAGGTTTTCTTTTCCTCCAAACTCCTTTCCCAAAGGCAATACTGTATTGAAAGAATGTGTTTTCAGTGTAATAGAGAATTTTCTTGTGTCAGTGATCCCAAATAAATATGCCATCCAGGAACCCATAGGTACTTTAAAATCAGATTTCAAACCTATATAAGTCTCAGTCCAAAGGTTTTCATTTCTCAAGGAAGATTATTTTTTTCACCTGGACACTAAGCATAAAAAAGCTAACTTTTTTATAACCTATAGAAAAGCTAACCTTCTTATAACCTAAGATTATAAGGCAGATTTTCTTATTCACCTTTTTAAAAAAAAATTTTTTTAACCTTTATTTATTTTTGAGAGACAGAAAGAGACAGAGTACGAGTGGGGGAGGGACAGAGAGACTGGGAGACACAGAACCCAAGACAAGCTCCAGGCTCCCAACTGTCAGCACAGAACCTGACTCGGGGCTCGAACCCACGAACTGGGACATGATGACCCAAGCGGAAGTCGGACATTCAACCAACTGAGCCACCCAGATACCCTTCTTATTCACCTTTTTAAAAAAGAACTCAAATTTGGAAAGTCTGCTTTTATTTAAGGCTGGAGCCCTCTCTTTGCTCACTTGTCCTATATATATTAAAACAAAATACTCTATTTTCCTAAGACTGATAAGCCTTCCCTAGGGAAGCTACAGCCTCAGCTTAGTTATAACATTCTTACTTTCAGTTCCCTCCTCATTTCTGGATTCTGAATATTTTTATTTCTTCTTCTTTTTTTAATGTTTATTTCTGAGAGAGAGCACATGCAGGGGAGGTACAGAGCGAGAGGGAGACACAGAATCAGAAGCAGATTTCAGGCTCTGAGCTGTCAGCACAGAGCCCAATGTGGGGCTCGAACCCACAACCGTGAGATCATGACCTGAGCCAAAGTCAGACGCTTAACCAACTGAGTCACCCAGGTGCCACTGGAGATTTTTATTTCTTTATGTAGGCATTTGTAGGTATTATTTTGTTTGATCTAATCCACCATCTTGCTGGAAAAGAAAGCCTAAAAAGATATACATTGTAAAGGGGTGTTTCTAAGTAGCAGGTAAGAAAATAGAAGAGAAGGATGACAATAGGGAGAAAGGGAAAATTTTCATAATATTAACAGAAAAATCAAAATGTAAAATAGTACATCTTGATTTTTCTAATAATATTTACCTCATTAAGGAAGCTCAGAGTTTTAAAAGTTATTTTTGTAAAAAAGGAAGATCTAATTTCTTAAAAAAAAATAAAAGATTATGTTTTGCTTTCCTCTTCATTCTGTCAAGTATAAGTAAATGTGCTGGCTCCCTTCCTTAAGCCATTAAGCTTTATCACTAATTGGCCTACTTTCTTTGTAACATGTCAAATTTGATTCCATCTATATTGAAGATCACTTAAAAAGACTTTTATCTGAGGTTATCTTATACCAACTCAATAGTTCACCTATATTGTTACATGCTCAACATAAACAATGGTCAAATATAGCCCAATGTCAAACATGCTATAGACTTCCAAAGATCATGCACAAATATATTGCTTTTGAAACTCTCAGCACAATATGCCTTTGACATTCACTGCCAGAATGTAGCTACTGCTTT